GGAGCAGCTTAGACAGTTGCCCAAGCCTGAACCCTTAACCCTGAGCCCTAAACCCCAAACCCCAAACCCCCCAAGGCCTCAGGTTTTTGCACCTTCTTTGGCACCCGATAGGGTGGGGGGGGGGGGGGGGGGGGGGGGGGGGGGGGGGCTACCAATGATCCCCAACCCTTTCCGCCCCCCCCCCTCCCCTCATCGCTGCAAAGCTACCAGTCGGCCCAATCTAGTACCCCAAACCTTAAACTCCAAGCCCTAAGCCAAAACCCCAAACCAGTTTTGGGGGGAAGCGCTCTCGTGGTAGATGAGGTTCCGGGTTTGCATTGGACATCACATCACGCTGGGTCGCTTGGTGCAAGTAGGCGTTGGGATTTTGACTGGTGTGCCCTAAATCCCCTAAAAGAGCTAGAGCGCCCGAAGAACCCTCTAAAAACCTTCTAACACCCGCCCAAAACACCCTAAAACGCCTGAAGCCCCTTTACGAAAAGAAAACCATCCTAAACCCTAATATCCCTTAAAGCCCCCTTAACCCTAAACCCTAAACCCTTTACCCTTTACCAACAAAAAAATCATAAACCCTAAGACCCCTAAAGCCCCCTGAGCCCGGAAACCCCGCCTTCAGCACTTGCGGAGTCCAGGCCGGGCCGCTGACCTTCTCCGTCTTCTCCCCGTACCTCGCGACAAAGGGTTCGGGGTTTTGGGGTTTGGGGTTTGGGGTTTGGGGTTTAGGGTTTAGGGTTTAGGGTTTAGGGTTTAGGTTTAGGGTTTAGGGTTTAGGGTTTAGGGTTTAGGGTTTAGGGTTTAGGGTTTAGGGTTTAGGGTTTAGGGTTTAGGGTTTAGGGTTTAGGGTTGAGGGGTTAGGGTTGAGTGGTTTGAGGGTTGAGGGTGAGGGTTGAGGGTTGAGGGTTTTTGAGGGTTGAGGGTTGGGGTGAGGGTTTGGGTTTAGGGTTTAGGGTTTAGGGTTTAGGGTTTAGGGTTTAGGGTTTAGGGTTTAGGGTTTAGGGTTTAGGGTTTAGGGTTTAGGGTTTAGGGTTTAGGGTGTAGGGTGTAGGGTGTAGGGTGTAGGGTGTAGGGTGTAGGGTGTAGGGTGTAGGGTGTAGGGTGTAGGGTGTAGGGTGTAGGGTGTAAGTTTTGTGGTTTCCAGGCTTAGGGTTTGGGGTTTGGGGTTTGAGGGTTTGCGGTTTGAGGGCTTAGGGGTTGAGGCTTAGGGTTCGATGTCTTTTTTTGCTCTGTTTGGGGGTGGGGGGCAAGAGGGGTTCAGGGAGGCTTTAGGGGGGCTCTAGGGAGTCAGGGTTTAGGCTTAGGGGGGCTTTAAGGAGTTTAGCGTTTCTGGGCTAAGTGGGCTTAGAGCTAGGGGGCTGAGAGAGTTTCAGCGCTCAGGAATTCGGAGTGTTTGGGGTTTGGGGCGGTATCTGGAAGCTGTAATCGAGAGAGCCAACACAAACTGAAGCCTCGTACAGTCTCGCACCTTTTAACACCAAACCCTGAGCCTACACCCATCTAAACCCCCTAACCCCAACAAAGCCTCAAGTCCTACACACAAGGAGGGAGTGGAAACCCTCAGTAAACTGCAAGCAGCACGGCTGCAACCCCCATCCAACCCAACCAACCGGTTTAAGGTTTAGGGTTTAGTCAGGGGCCTAGGGATAGAGCTTTAGATTGGAACTTCGGGTTTAGGGCTTAGGGTTTAGGCTGAGGCTTTAGGGGGGGGTAGGTGGGTCGGGGGTAGGGTAGCAAGGAACTCCCCAGAATCGGCCAAGGGGCGCAAAAGCTTTGAAGGCGGCATGGGCAACGCTGTTCGACGCGTCGAACTTCCACAGGAACTCGTTGCCCACATCATCCTGGACGCACTAACCCTAGACCCTGAACCCTAAACGGCCCATAGACTCCAATATCCGCAGTTTAGGAAATCCCGAAGCTGCAGTATGGGTCCGCAATACGACTTAAGGATAGTTCCCGAACTGGGGGAGGGGGGGGATACTAGTGTCTCGAACGTATACAATGCCCGAACTGTTGGGCATTTGGATGTGTGAGGGCTTCTTGGCTTCGCCAGTGCTGCGCATATGCCCGTACAGAGGGCCTTCTGGGATTTTTGGGGTTTAGGGTTTAGGGTTTAGGTTAGGGTTGAGGGTTGAGGTTGAGGGTTGAGGGTTGGGTTTGAGGGTTGAGGGTTGGGTTTAGGTTTAGGGTTTAGGGGTTTAGGGTTTAGGGTTTAGGGTTTAGGGTTTAGGGTTTAGGGTTTAGGGTTTAGGGTTTAGGGTTTAGGGTTTAGGGTTTAGGGTTTAGGGTTAGGTTTAGGGTTTAGGGTTTAGGGTTTAGGGTTTAGGGTTTAGGGTTTAGGGTTTAGGGTTTAGGGTTTAGGGTTTAGGGTTTAGGGTTTAGGGTTTAGGGTTTAGGGTTTAGGGTTTAGGGTTTAGGGCTTAGCCGAAGCAATGGGATGGCAGGCCGACATACACTCCTCACATGTGCTACGAAGCTTGGCGGTCCCCATGCATGCCGAAGCTCCTTGGCCAGAAGCTCTAAGCCATCCTCCGAAACCTGCAGCTTAGGGTTTAGGGTTTAAGGGTTCAGGGTTAAGGGTGAAGGGTTTAGGGTTGAGGGTTTGGGGTTTGGGGTTTTAGGGTTTAGGGTTTGGGGTTTGGGGTGGTGCACATAGGGGCTTTGGGCTGAGGTCTTCTGACCCCAAAGTCTCAGGTGGGAAGCATCGAACCTCAAACCCAACAGCCAAAGCCTGATTGACCTCGAAGAATCATCGGGTCGGTGATTGCCCTAAACCCTAAACCCTAAACCCTAAACCCTAAACCCTAAACCCTAAACTGAGGGATTCATAGGTGGGGTTCTGGGCCCGCATGCCCGGAACACCAGACCCCGGACCTGGCAGGGGACTGAGGGGATCCAAGGTTAGTTGAGTTTCTTGGGTACAGGGTATTGAGTTTTGGATGGTTTGGGGCTTAGGGATTAGGGATTCGGGACCAGGGTTTGGGGTTTAGGGTTTAGGGTTACCTTAAACCCTAAACCCTAAACCCTAAACCCTAAACCCCAAACCCCAAACCCCAAACCCCAAACCCCAAACCCCAAACCCGGCCCCCCATCGTGCCTGCGGCAGCTTCTGAAAGCATACCGGGTCGTTTGCTTGGCAATCGCCGAAGTCATCCGCCAAGACGTCTGTCTTGCCTGACGTTGGACCCTAAACCCTAAACCCTAAGCCCCAAACCCTAAACCCTAAACCCTAAACCTTCCAGTTCTAGGGCTGGGGGACTTCGTAAGTCTACTTAGAATCTCTGCAATCCCATAACCCAACTTGCTAGCCCTGCTTACTGAGTCAAAGGGCTTTCCAAGTATTTGGCGTTTCTTCAAGGCTTTTGGAGTTTGGATCTCCCTGGGTTTAGTTTTAGGGTTTTTGGGCTTCCCATGAAAGAGGGGTTTAGGGTTTAGGGTTTAGGGTTTAGGGTTTAGGGTTTAGGGTTTAGGGTTTAGGGTTTAGGGTTTAGGGTTTAGGGTTTAGGGTTTAGGGTTTAGGGTTTAACCTTGTCAGGGTTCAGGGTGCTCTGGAGGGGCTTCGGCAGCACCCCAACTCCATCAACATCAGCCCTACACCCAGCACGATGAACCCTAAACCCTAAACCCTGACCTCCTAAACCCTAAACCCTAAACCCTAAACCCTAAACCCTAAACCCTAAACCCTAAACCCTAAACCCTAAACCCTAAACCCTAAACCCTAAACCCGTTTCGGGCTCGGGGTGTAGGGTGCGCCCTTGTGCCCGGAGCGCCTGAAGGCCAAGAGGAGCCCTTCGTAAACCACCAGAACTTGTGGTACTCCTTGCCGCCGACCTTGATCGAGCCGTAGCGGCCCTCGGACTGCGCGGAATCTGCCTGCAGCAGTCGCCCTAAACCCTAAACCCTAAACCCTAAACCCCAAACCCCTCTCTCATGGGAAGCCCGAAAACCCTAACACTCCCACTGCGGCCGAGACTCCATCGGAAGATTCTTCACGTCCGAATCGCTGAGAGCTTTGTTCATGATCTGGACGTTTCGCATTTGACCCTGCAGCGCCTCCATACTTAACAGAGTGTGGCGCTTTTACTTGCCAGTTTCTTCTAGAGGGAAATTGGAGGCGGGTGGGGGGGGGGGTATTGGGCACCATCTATCTCCCTATCTAACCCTTTTTATGGGAATTCGATGACCTAAACCCTGTACCTGAGGGGGCCAGCGCTTTGACGTCCTTTCTCATCTGAGAGACACGAAGATGATTGCAGGCTTAAGATTCGAGGTTTTGGGACTTAAGGGTTCAGGGTTTCACGATGGCACCCGCCCTTTCGCGGCGACATGCAACGTACTTAGGTCCAACTAGGTGTTCTGCGAAGGTTTTGGCTGGCGCTCTCTGAACCACCCGCAACAATTTGAGAAGTGCACCACCTACTTGAAGGCGGGCGATCCCGTTGCCAAACCCCTAAGCGCTGAGCCCTATAAACCCTAAGCCACCCCCCCAACCTCTCCCGACTCACTGGCCCCCTGAACCCTAAACCCTAAACCCTAAACCCTGAACGCTAAACCCTAAACCCTAAACCCTAAACCCTAAACCCTAAACCCTAAACCCTAAACCCTAAACCCTAAACCCTAAACCCTAAACCCTAAACCCTAACCCTAAACCCTAAACCCTAAACCCTAAGTTAGTGACTCGGGATTTGGAACTTTAAGGGCTTAGACTGTCCCTACACCACGGGCCTCATGGGTGCGGCCAGGCTCGCCAACGCAAGCGCAGAAGCCGCTTTTCGCCGCAGCATTCATGCTGCCGCTGAAGCCTCGAAGAAGGGCTTAGGGTTCAGGGTTCAGGGTTTAGGGTTTAGGGTTTGGGGCTTGGGGTTTGGGGTTTAGGGTTTAGGGTTTAGGGTTTAGGGCTTAGGGCTTAGGGTTTAGGGCTTAGGGTTTTGGGTTTAGGGTTTGGGTTTTTTTGGCAGGGGCTTGAGGGTTCCGGGGTTCAGAACCCTAAACCCTAAACCCTAAACCCTGAACCCTAAACCCTAAACCCTAAACCCTAAACCCTAAACCCTAAACCCTAAACCCTAAACCCTAAACCCTAAACCCTAAACCCTAAACCCTAACAGGAGTCTTAGAGGGCTAAGGAGTGAAGGCGGGTCAGAACTCCGACATGACTGGGCTGAAAATTTCACGGCAAGCTACCACTTGACTTCAAGAGCTTTCCGTTGGCGTAGAGCTTGACGGTGCCTTACTTCAAAAAAAATAATAACCAGGGGGAACAAAGGTTAAACTTCATGACTCCGACTAAACTAAGCAAATTCACACAAACAAAAAAAAGTGTCAAGCTCAACTATTGGCTCAGTAAGGTGCTCTTGTCCCAGGTCGCCGCGACCGTCTTCCAGCCATCATTCCTGGGGAGGGAGGCAGAGGGCTTGCTCGGAGGTTTTGAGTACTTATTCACCCAACACCCAATTATCCCATATTCGGGCACTTCAAGGGATTATAAGTGGGTTATAAGTACAGGTATAACTGGGTTCATAAGTACCTGAACCTCCAAGTGGGGAAGCAGAGGGCTTGGTTGTGGGAAGCATCGGGCTTCACCAGCAACATCCCCGAAGGCGCCCTAAAACCCCCACCTTACACTCAAAAGCCTAAGCTCCCTCAACCCTTAGGGTTTAGGGAATAGGGTTCAGGGTTCAGGGTTCAGGGTTCAGGGTACAGAATTTAGGGTTTTGGGCTTCGGGCTTTGCTTCCGCAACTGCTCTGCTGACCGAGGCTCAGCAAACCTGGCGACTCCACGGCCACCTCTTTGAAAGCGCCATTCGTCTTCCAGTATCTTGGAACCAGCTTGGGGTCTTTCGGGCTTGGGGCTTGGAGTTTAGGGTTGAGGGTGTGGTATCTAGGGTTTAGGGTTTAGGGCTTCGGGTTTGGGGTTTAGAGTTTAGGGTTTGGGGTTTAGGGTTTAGGGTTTAGGGTTTAGGGTTTAGGGTTTAGGGTTTAGGGTTTAGGGTTTAGGGTTTAGGGTTTAGGGTTTAGGGTTTAGGGTTTAGGGTTTAGGGTTTAGGGTTTAGGGTTTAGGGTTTAGGGTTTAGGGTTTAGGGTTTAGGGCTAGGGTTTCCTGAACCCTATCTGGTACAACCATGAGGCAGATGCAGGCCGCCGTTGTGGTGTCCGGGGATCATGCGCAGAGCCACGAAGTTGTCCTCAGCACCGAAGCCCACCCTAAGCCCTGAACCCTAAACCCTAAACCCTAAACCCTAAACCCTAGACCCTAGACCCTAAACCCTAAACCCTAAACCCTAAGGATTAGGTTTGGCTGAATCCATTCCCTCATACCCAACCTGAACCCCCAGGTCAAGGCCCAAAATCGCACCCTCGTCCCTCCAAACCGAAATTTCTAAAAAAAAACCTCAACCCTAAGCCCTACACCCTAAACCCTACACCCACCCAAAGCCCAAAAACAGCTCGAACAGGCCTTGAACTCCGGGTTCCCTCAGCCTTCTCACTGCTGCCAAGGCGCGCCCGAAGATCCCCAGCCGAGAATGCCAGGGTGCTTGCGCGATTGGCTTCTTGGGTTGACCTGGAATTGGGTTTGGGGTTTAGGGGTTTGGGGTTTGGGGTTTGGGGTTTAGGGTTTAGGGTTTAAGGGTTTAAGGGTTTAGGGTTTAAGGAGCTTAGGGTGTTGGGTCGCAGGGGCTTCTGGCGGTCTAGTTTAGTTCTGGGGCCTTCAAGCATGTAGGGAAAGAAACCCTGCCCTAAACCCTAAACCCTAAGCCTTAAACCCTAAACCCTAACCCTAAACCCTTGGGCCTAGCTCCCCTGAACCTCGACCCGAAACCTCCCTGAGCCCTGACTTCAACCATGGGACTGAAAAGATGAAAGGCCCGCTGAGTCCGATCCGAACCCAAGGTTTAGGGTCTAGGGTTTAGCGTTTAGGGTTTAGGGTTTAGGGTCTAGGGTCTAGGGTTTAGGGTTTAGGGGTTCGAGCTTTCAGTGCTTTAGGCTTAACCCTAAACCCTAAACCCCAAAGCCGCAACTCCTTTAACCGTCAACCCTATAAACATCTAGAAGGCCTTTGAGACCTAAACCCTACAAGGCAACCCTAAACCCTATTTACGCCCGAAACCCTAAACCCTAAACCCTAAACCCTAAACCCTGAACCCTAAACCCTAAACCCTAAACCCTAAACCCTAAACTCTCCCAACCCCGCACCTCGGCAAAGATGGTGAACGGCCCGTTGGTGGGCAGAACGGCGCTTGAACCCTCGCTCTCGAGCCTTGGGTCCAGGGAGCTAGACCCAAGGGTTTAGGGTTTAGGGTTTAGGGTTTAGGGTTTAGGGTTTAGGGTTGAGGGTTGAGGGTTGAGGGTTGAGGGTTGAGGGTTGAGGGTTGAGGGGTTGAGGGGTTGAGGGTTGAGGGTTGAGGGTTTAGGGTTTAGGGTTTAGGGTTTGGGGTCAATGAGGGCTTGGGGTTCCCATTTTGTTTAAGGTTCTAAGGTTCCAAGTATGGGCCCTCAATGTGGGTCCCTTGTTATATGGGTCCCTTGCTAGAGGGTTAGAGACAAAAACTTCGGTTGCCTAGAGACAAGGGTAGGGGGACCACGCTAAGGGCCCCACTAAACCCTAAACCCGCGGTGGGGGAAAAAAACCTCACCCCCTCAACGGGGTCATGCGGAAGCTTTGAGGGGTTGAGGTTCAGGACCTGGGGCCCTAAGCCCGAAGCCCTGAACCCTAAACCCTAAGAGCCCCAAACCCCAACCCCTGAGCCATTGAACCCTGAACCGCCAACCCTCCCGAAGAAAACCTTGAGAGCCTGGAAGGGCTTCAGCCCTAAACCCTAAACCCTAAACCCCAAACCCCAAACCCCAAACCCTAAACCCTAAACCCTATTCAGAGCAAAGCGGAGGGGCTGGCACTTCCCACACTCGAAGGCCTCCTTGTGGCTGAGGACAAGCGGGGGCTTGAGCCCGGCCTGCAAGGGTGCCAATAGATTTAGGGTTTAGGGTTTAGGGTTTAGGGTTTAGGGTTTAGGGTTTAGGGTTTAGGGTTTAGGGTTTAGGGTAGAATATCTCCCAGGGGCCGAGATAAGCAAATATGCAGGGTGTGCTGGTTTTGCCGTGGATGGCTTGGGTGAGTCAGCTCGTGAGCATTAGCGAGGCCAGGCTTTTCGGGTTTAGGGTTCAAGGTTTCGGGTTTTTGGGGTTTTTAGGCCACCCGAAAGCGCGGAGTTCTCCAAAACCCAAGAGCGGTTGAGGGTTTAGGGTTGAGGGTTTAGGGTTTAGGGTTTAGGGGTTGCGGCACCCTGCACTCCCCAAGTGCCCCGCACCTCGCATCCCTTGGACACGACGCCTCCCACCATGAGCGCGGTGGTCTTGATGCCTCGGCCCAGGAGGAACCTACTGTAGGAACAAAACGGGTGCCCTTTCTTCGGTCTATTAAAGGGGGTTATAAGGGAACCCAAACCCCCAAAAAAAGGGAATAAGGGCCCTGATGGCTACTCCGGGTCCCAGGTGCTGTAGGAAGTTCCCGTGGCGAAGGACCGCTTCCAGAGATTCAGGGCGTGGTTGTCGCTCCGTTTGAAGCCATTCGCCGGCACTTGCTCCCAGCCGTCACCCCCGAGGGCGGCGTCGACGCCGGCGTTGTAGCCTGAGTAGCCCAGCAAGCAGATCATTAATGAGGCCACCCCCTTTTTTGGGGTTGGCTACTTTATAAGGGAACCCAGAACCCAGAAAAGAGGGGATAAAGGGTAGCACAGGGCTACCAAGTAGCTACTCTTCATGACCCACACGTAGAGCGTGACGGGTGCGGTGTAAGCGATCGTCCACGTGCCGGCGGAGGGCCAGGTCTTCGTGCCCCAGTACCTATACTGAACGTGGCACCCTAGCAAAATTATCATTTCAGCTGTTCCTTAGGAGTTATAGGAATTATGGTAACCAAAGATTAAAAATCATTTCCAAGTACTCATAAGGTGCTTGCCACCAATGAGCACCGAGGGGACGTTCTGCAGCTTGTAGTCTCGTTGGCCAGGGTTCGCCAGGATTCCTCGGATGGCGCCCTTTAAAAACCCTCTGAAAGATCTTCCTGTTTTTTTTGGGGGGTTTCTGGAAATAGGAGTACCTCAAGGGAATCCTACTATTTGGGGGCTCTACATTTTGGGTCCCCTTTTTTTGTAAAACTCCCATATATGATCCTCTTAAACCCAATAAAACGGAAAATGCAAAATGTCCCAAGGGCCTACCCGAGATTCCTTCCGACATCGTGGTCACGGGATTCCATCCGACATTCAACCCAGACGAGCCAGTGATGGAGCCGCATTCGGAACCCCCGGCCCCGCCTTCCGATTCCTTCCAGGGTATGGGGTTTAGGGTTTAGGGTTTAGGGTTGAGGGTTTAGGGTTTAGGGTTTAGGGTTTAGGGTTTAGGGTTTAGGGTTTAGGGTTTAGGGTTTGGGGTTTGGGGTTTAGGGTTTAGGGTTTAGGGTTTAGGGATATTTTGTCCAGATGTAGACCCTCGAACTCGTCAAGTAGCCCTGAAGATGAAGCCACCCTAGGGAAAAAAACAGAGGGTATCCCTTAGCCATCAGGCATGAGTGAGACGTGGAACCCTAAACCCTAAACCCTAAACCCTAAACCCTAAACCCTAAACCCTAAACCCTAAACCCTAAATCCTAAACCCTAAACCCTAAACCCTAAACCCTCTTCTCCAGGCCCGCTCCTCCACGACCTTGTCCTTGCACGCGCACAGCGGGGCCGTGTTGGAGTGGCGGACGCGGTCGCACTTCAGGCTACTCGGACCTTCCATGAACTTGAGCAGACATTATCATTTTAGGGTTTAGGGCTTAGGGTTTAGGGGCTCAGGGTTTTGGGTTTAGGGTTTAGGGTTCTTAGGAATTGTAGTACCCAAAAACTCAAAAAACTATTCCCAAGTATCCCTAAGGGACTGGTTCCGGACGTCACGGGCGCGCAGTCGTCTCTGCTGCGTCCTGTGCTGAAGGGGGCGCCTGCATAGTTCCTCGCTCCGTGGAAGCCTCGTTTGGGGCTTAGGGCTCAGGGATTTGGGTTTAGGGTTTAGGGTTTAGGGTTTAGGGTTTAGGGTTTAGGGTTTAGGGTTTAGGGTTTAGGGTTTAGGGTTCAGGGTTCAGGGTTCAGGGTTCAGGGTTCAGGGTTCAGGGTTCAGGGTTTAGGGTTTTGGGTTTTGGGGTTTAGGGTACTGGAAAAATGCGCCCCGGGGATCGTTGTTAAGTATGGCTGGTTTTGGGTCTCTATTCTCGCATAGGTTCCCTAAAGCTTAGGGCGCGAAAGAGGGCCCACATTTTTCAGAGTCGTAGAACAACGAAAATGTGCGAATCCGAGAGGCTCATGCACTTGTAGCCGGCTTCCTTGAATGCTTTGGACACGCGATCGTTGGAGGTGAGGGCGGCCATCTTGTCTTTATCCTCGGGGGAGGTCGGGCGGCAGAGCAATTCTAAGATGCTGGGTGGGGATTGGAGAAACCTCTGCGAGAAGCCAACATCTGATCCCTCTCAAACCCAATAAGGGGGGCATGTAGAGCATCCAAAGGTCTAAACCCTGAACTCTACACCTTAAGCCCTATTACTTGAGGTTTGCCAGCCTTCCTTGTCTCTACTGCAACAATCCAGAAGGGTGGTTCCGTAAAATCAGGTCCCTACAACCTGAAACCCTACGCCCTAAGTTGGGCATTTTGGGCCTTAGACTTAGGATAACCCGAACCCAGATGTTTACGGGAAGGAGGCGGTCCGTCTTACACCCGAAACCACTAACCCTAAACCAAACTTCAACCCGAAACCCTAAACACCCTAAACCCCAAAACCTGCATTAACAAAACAACTAAGCCCCAATGAGCTTCAGCACGAAACCGTGAACTTCCCAAGCCACCCAACCTCCAACCCCTACCCTCAGCCACTAAGCTCAACCCTAAACCCTCAGCCCTAAACCTCAAACCCTGTACCCTGTACCCTAAACCCTAAACCCTAAACCTCCAACCCCTGACGAAGGCACCCTTCCGAAGCCTCGAACTCCCCAAGCGCCTACTCCGAATCGCAAGGGTTTAGGGTTCAGGGTAGCTTCGGACTACTTCACATTGGAACCCTAAATGCCCCAACTAAACCCTCTCTAAACCTCAGGCTTCGGGCTTAAGGTAAGGGGGGGGGGGGGGGTAGAAGCTGAGAGCTATCTCGTGGGGCATGTGTTGGGATGTTCCCCCTGATGCGAACAATCCTTGAATAGGGATTCTAGGGGTGGGGGGGTACCAGAATCCCCCTAAACCCTAAACCTTAAACCCTTAAACCCTAAATCAAAACCCATAAGGGGGAACATCCCCAAGGCATGTGTCCCTTCCGTAAGAGGGTATCTTGGCTAGGCTCCCTTGTCGTCCACCCCTCAGACTCTACCCAGAGACTCCAGCATCCCTCAATTGCAAGAAAGACCTTGAATCATACTAGGATCTCTTGTGCATTTTACGGAAGGTGTAGGATATGGGATATTTAGGGTTTTAGGGTTCAGGGTTTTGGGTGTAGGGCTTAGGGTTTAGGGTGTGGGGCTTTGGGTTTAGGGTTTAGGGCTTGTTGCAATTTAAGGAAGATTCTCGTCTCTTGACAGACCCGGGAACTCTTCAGCCAAAGTGTCGCAGCTGCGGAAGCCGTTCGTCGTACAAACCTGGATGGTTGCAAGCCACTCTGAAACCCTACAAACCCCTTAAAGGGTACAAGGACCCCTCCAAGGGGGCCCTTACCTTACTCCCCTATATTACCCCTACATGACGCCTATATATACCTTACATAGTCCCTATATACCTAAGTAGCCTTTCCTACGGGCCCTTGTTAGGGTCCTGCTTTAGCCGTAAAACCCTTAACCCTAAACCCGAAACCCTAGACCCTAAACCCTAAACCCTACATGTGGTTCAGAGTTATTGCCTGCGCCGTTCGGCTCTCTAAAAGTTGGGACTTTGGCGCTGGCAGTTGAGACACCAAAACTGCTCGACGTCATAGCAGTCTCCAGCACATGTCGAGACTTCTAAACCCTAAACCCTACTCCTAGACTCCTGGACTCCTAGACTCCTTGACCCTAAACCCTAAACCCTAAACCCTAAACCCTAAACCCTAAACCCTAAACCCTAAACCCTAAACCCTAAACCCTAAACCCTAAACCCTAAACCCTAAACCCTAAACCCCAACCCCTAAACCCTAAACCCTAAACCCTACGACTCTTTGATCCTGCCATGGCACGCTGTCGCAGGACTGCGCGAAGTTGGCTTTGAACCACACCCTTTCCTGCGGCTGTCGCACTTGCAGGCTGACTTAGGGTTTAGGGTTTAGGGTTTAGGGTTTAGGGTTTAGGGTTTAGGGTTTGGGGTTTGGGGTTTAGGGTTTAGGGTTTAGGGTTTAGGGTTTAGGGTTTAGGGTTTAGGGTTTAAGGTTTAGTGTTTAGTGTTTAGGGTGCAGAAATCTGCGACTACAGAACTAAGAATTAGCGAACGGGCCAGAAGAGGAATTAAAGCCGCCGTGGTCTGACTCTAAACCCTAAACCCTAAACCCTCAACTGCAAACCCTAGCCACCCGAACCCCAACCCCTGCGAGCCCGGCCTTCTTATCCTTGCACGCGCACACCGGCTTGTGGCCGCCTTCGCCGTTCCTGTCGCAGCTCAATGAGCTGGCGCTGGTTCCAGGCGTGACGGGCGCGCAGTCATCGTTCCTGGGGGGCGTTTGGGTTTAGGGTTTAGGGTTTAGGGTTTGGGGTTTGGGGTTTAGGGTTTAGGGTTCAGGGTTCAGGGTTCAGGGGGTTTAGGGTTTAGGGTTTAGGGTTTAGGGTTTAGGGTTTAGGGTTTAGGGTTTAGGGTTTAGGGTTTAGGGTTTAGGGTTTAGGGTTTAGGGTTTAGGGTTTAGGGTTTAGGGTTTAGGGTTTAGGGTTTAGGGTTTAGGGTTTAGGGTTTAGGGTTTAGGGTTTAGGGTTTAGGGTTTAGGGTTTAGGGTTTAGGGTTTAGGGTTTAGGGTTTAGGGTTTAGGGTTCTTTCATGGGCTCTACAAGGGTTTAACACATAGGGTTTTTGGGCCCTGGTGAAACCTATTTTTCTGGGGTTAGACAAAAAAGGCCTAAAGCCTGTTAACAAAAACTGCTTCGAAACACAATTCTAGGTTCCTGCTCGTGGAGAAAGGGCTGCCCGGATAGTTGCGGGGTCCGTGGAAGCCTGGGACAAGACAGCTCGCGTATTGGGTCACTTGGATCTTGGGTTGTTTGGGTTGTTTGGGTTGTTGGGGTCATTTGGGTTACATGGGTTATCTGGGTTAATTGGGTTATTTGGGTTGATTGGGTTGTTGTGTTTTAAGGCACTTCAAGGGTCAGGAGAAGCCGCCACTGGCAAAGCACAACACCAACGACCTCTGCTAAGCGTGCGATTGATACTGAAAGCACAGCAGGCCATTTTGTCTGGGGGGCCCTTGCACGTGTAGCCACCCATCCGGAAGGCATTGTCCACAAGTTCATTGTTAGAAAGCGCCACCATCTTCTCTTTATCCTCAGCAGCCGGAACTCACGACAGCAGCTCTGCTCGACCCCTAATCCCGACACCCACAACCCTAAACCCTCAACCCTAAACCCGATACACCCTAAACCCTAATACACCCTAAACCCTAAACACCCTACACCCGACACCGAATTGGGAAGAACTGGCACTTCACGACCGTTTAGGGTCCTTGTGTCCAGGCTGCGTGACCTAGACCTGCGTGACGCAGGTGATATCCGTATCAATAGTAATGATGAAATGAAAAGAAAGCTCAGAAGAGAATATGAAAAGCACGGATCATAACATTAATATTACTCATAACATTATAGATTTTCTTAACATTCATAACATGAATTACGATGACCATAGACAAAAGAACTGGGCATGCTAATCATATCAAAGGCGTGAGTACTTATTGGCTTGATGCCAAAAAGCGGTCGGTCATAAAGGGCATCTGAGCGGCACAGCGCTCGTAGAAGTTTGCGTTGCAAACCTTGTCTCGACAACGTCGGAAGATTAAGGTTTAGGGTTGAGGGTTGAGGGTGAAGATGGCAGAAGGGCATGCTTTGAGCTACAGCTGCTGCACTTGTGCGAACAGCCTACAACCATTCCTTCCGGTGAAGGCTTTCGGAGATGGGTCGCCTTCCGTACCGTATTGCCATACTAAAGATGTAGGTCCAAGAATATGATACACAACCTGACATGTCTGACACCAACCCCCAAGCCCGCACCCTAAACCCTAAACCCCCAGCCTAAACCCAAACCAGCCTCAACCCCGAACCCTACACCCGCGCGACGCAGTCCCCAATCGGCCGCGGCACATTGTCGCAAGTATCCCCATTCTCACCGACGAACCACTCCTTCTCGACCTCGGGGGTGGACCATCTCTTAATTAGGGGATGTTCCTTTAAATTGCTAAGAGCCTGACTGCACTCTAAGGAGTGTTCTCTCAACCCTAGACCCTAAACAACGTTCCCCTCGCTATGGGAGATTGGAGTTTCCTGGGAAGTGTGTTTCGGGAGGGTTTGGGCCAAGTTTAGGCTTGGGGTTCAGGAGTCACACTTGAGCTGCGTGCGTTCTTTAACATCTGGGTACTGTACCCGAGCCCCCGAGCTGGAGAACTGCCCACCATGCCCAGGCACGCAGTGACAGCACTTGGGGGGCGTCTTGAACTGGCGCCATTCCGAGTTGGATCCTTTCCTGGTGTGCAGATTTAGGGTTTGGGGGGTGTTTAGGGTTTAGGCTTACGGGGTTTAGGTTTTAGCAGTTTTTGGGTTTAGGGGGGGTTATGGGGTTTAGGTTTTAGGGTGCCCAAGAGAGACCAGAACTCAACTCAGTAAATTGTACCGCTTACAGCAGCACTCGAGCTTAAGAACTCCCAAAAACAGAAAAAGCAATGATCCCCTTTTACCTTTATGGGGAAGAATGTTTTTACTTTCTCAGGGTTCTTTAGCAAACAGCAGGAATTTCTAGAGTACGAAATGCTTTGAATAGCGCCGCTTGCCATTAGCTCAGAGACTCCAGCCTTCACCAAAAAGCAAGCTCTACTTGGGTTTAGGGTGGTTAAGGTTTGGGGTTTCGGGTTTGTTGTTCGGCACCTGTTGTGGATGTCTACATGCTTGTCCAGTCAAGTCTTTTGCGCTTTTCGGGTTGTGAGGGCCCATGCGCTGATTTCAGCAGTAGGGCCGTAGAGTCATGCAAATGGACGGGCATTCCTCAAACCAGCGGCCACAATGGGGAAAACTCCGCATTGACCAGATGTCCCGGTGGCAGATTGGGAAACTGATGCAGAATCGTGCCCGTTAATACATTCAAACAAAGTGCGGGCATGGGCAAGAAGACAGCGACTCGTCGCCGGCTGTCGAACAGGGTTTAGGGTTAAGGGTTTCGGGTTCAGGGTTCAGGGTTTAGGGTTCAGGGTTTAGAGTTCAGGGTTTAGGGTTCAGGGTTTAGGGTTTAGGGCTAGCCGAGCCACTCTGCCCCCATAGGTATGCCTCCCAGAGAGTCCGCGAAGGTCTCATCCAGGGAGTAGAAGGCCTTGTGGCTGGAACAACGATCGGTGACTCGCCGACAAGAATGGGTCAGTTAACCACACAAACCTCGCGAACCTCATAACAGAAGGAAGAAACGTCGGAACGATGACTACTGATTTTAGTCGCACGTATACGAAGAGTAGTACATGAGAAAGAACAACAAAGAAAAATCGACTACTCCAAGCAGACGGCCTTGAGGCCTGTCGAATCCACACAGGACGACTTTTTCGTTCGCGCCACCAGTTCCTTGGCTCGTGTTTGGGATTCAGCTTGGGGGGTGTGCGGAGTTCAGGGGTTTAGGGCTTAGGCTTTAGGGTTGAGGGTTGAGGGCTAGGGGCTAGCATCTTTTACCCTGAGGCCTACTTCGTAGCCCAAGACTGTATGTAAGAAACCCGAAACCCTGAACTCACGACTGCAAGATGCCCTTGGCGGGTGCCGTGCCTCATTCTTTTATGCTTTTATGCTTCTTCTTCTTCTTTCTTTTTTTATTTTCCTTTTTTTTTTTGGGGGGGGCTCAACCCCAAAACTCCCAAAAGGGGACATCATGTAGACTGTCTAGAGCTACGACTTCGAGCTCGGGAGCTCAGCAATTCGGACGGGATGGGATGTTTCGGGTTGGTTGGGTTTAGAGCTTGACGGGTTAGGCCGAGCCCCAGCCCTAAAGCCTTCAAGCCCTAATTAAACCCCAAAGCCTCTAAGCCCTAAACCCCAAAGCCCCCCAAACCCTAAACCCTAAACTCAAAACCCCAAGCCCTACACCCTAAACCCTAAACCCTATACCCTAAACCCTAAACCCTAAACCCTAAACCCTAAACCCTCCAAACCTCCAAACCTCAAAACTTGTGCGGCTGGAGCTCATCCTTCGAGAGGGCCCGGCTCCAGAAGGCGAGTTCGGAGGCCTGGATCTTGATCCTCGACACGTCTGTCCTGTAGGTGTTAGGGTTATAGGGTTTAGGGTTTAGGGCTTAGGGCTTAGGCTTAGGGTTTAGGGTTTAGGGTTAGGGGTTAGGGTTTAGGGTTTAGGGTTTAGGGTTTATGGTTTAGGGTTTAGGGTTTAGGGTTTAGGGTTTAGGGTTTAGGGTTTAGGGCTTAGGGTTTAGGGTTTAGGGTTTAGGGTTTAGGGTTTAGGGCTTAGGGCTTAGGGCTTAGGGCTTAGGGCTTAGGGTTTAGGGCTTAGGGTTTAGGGCTTAGGGTTTAGGGTTTAGGGTTTAGGGTTTAGGGTTTAGGGTTTAGGGTTTAGGATTTAGGGTTGGGGTTGAGCGTTCTCAGGGAATTTTTCAAGGTGGCTTGAGGAGGGGGGCCTAAGGGTCTAGAATGTGCTTAAAACAGTTTTCAAGGCGTTGCAGCCTTTGGTCCTCAAGCTCACCCCCGCCCCCTTCCCTCCAAATGCAACACCCCCCACTCCAAACAAAACAAATGGGTTTGGGGTTCAGAGTTAAACCCTGAACCCTAAACCCTAAACATTACACCCTAAACCCTAAACCCTAATCCCTAACCCGAAGCCCTAACACCTAAACAACCCTAAACCCTGAACCCTAATCCTCAACCCTAGACCCTAAACCCTGTTGGACTCGAAGTCCGAGGGCTCAATCTTGTCGGGGGGGTCACGTCAAATACTCCCCTAAACCCCAAACCCCAAACCCTAAATCCTAAACCCCAAACCCCAAACCCTAAACCCTAAACCCTGAACCCTAAACCCTATACCGTCAAGAATGTCCAAGTTGCGTCTTGGCCCCGATGATGACATGCCCGAACTCCTCCACCGTCGTCGCCCATCTCAGCTGAGGATCTCTCTGCTGCTGCGTGAACATGCTTAGGGTTTAGGGTTTAGGGTTTAGGGTTTAGGGTTTAGGGTTTAGGGTTTAGGGTTTAGGGTTTAGGGTTTAGGGTTTAGGGTTTCGGGTTTGGGGTTCGGGGTTTAGGGTTTAGGGTTCAGGGTTTAGGGTTTAGGGTTTAAGGCGCATTCGCAGCACCATCATTGAGCAGCTAGGCCACCGCGATGACGTGGACACCTTCATTTTCTGGGCGCCGTCGATGTAGAAGTACAACTTCTTCTCCTGTCTCTTGTACCTGGGTCGAGCAAGAACCCAGCACCCTGTGCGGTTTAGGGTTTTGGGTTTAGGGTTTAGGGTTCAGGGTTCAGGGTCTAGAGTTTAGACCCTAGGGTTTAGGGTTTAAGGTGTAGGGTTTAGGGTCTAGGGTTCAGGGTTTAGGGTTTTTAGGCATACAACTTACCGGCAGGGCAATTCTTACACGCCCCGGTCCCATTACTCCGAATGCCCCAACTCGAAACATGCTGGGGTTTGGGTTTAGGGTTTGGGGTTTAGGGTTTAGGGTTGAGAGCTTGGGCTTGGGCTTGGGCTTGGGCTTGGGCTTGGGCTTGGGCTTGGGCTTGGGGCTTAGGGCTTAGGGCTTAGGGCTTAGGGCTTAGGGCTTAGGGTTTGGGGTTTAAGGTTTAGGGTTTAGGGTTTAGGGTTTAGGGTTTGGGGTTTAGGGTTTAGTGTTGAGAGCTTGGGCTTGGGCTTGGGGCTTAGGGCTTAGGGCTTAGGGCTTAGGGCTTAGGGCTTGGGGTTTAAGGTTTCAGGTTTAGGGTTTAGGGCTTAGGGCTTAGGGCTTAGGGTTTAGGGTTTAGGGTTTAGGGTTTAGGGTTTAGGGTTTAGGGTTTAGGGTTTAGGGTTTAGGGTTTAGGGTTTAGGGTTTAGGGCCACCAAAACCCTGAAGCCCTGAGATGATGCTAGAGAATACATGGAAACCAGGGAGGTTACTCCACAGGCCCTGTCCAAGACCACCGAAAACGGGACCCTAAACCCCAAACCCTAAACCCCTCATATCTCCCAGAATCATCGGACACCCTTGTAAGAAAAAAAACCAAGAAGGGCACACCCCAGTTTCGTAAACCCCCGAATCCTGACATTACTGTTGCACCCTCCGTACTGTGTACCCGCCCAGCCGCACAGTCGCTGGGTTTGTTGGTTGATTGATTGATTGATCGATGATGTGGGCTGGTGTGGGACCCTAAACCCTAAACCCTAAACCCTAAACCCTAAACCCTAAACCCTAAACCTAAACCCTAAACCCTAAACCCGTGGTCAGAGCCCCTTTCACCAACAGCTAGGACAAGAGACTCCCGAACCCGGAAGCCAGGCAGCGAAGACTTGTAGTGTTTAGGGCTTTCGGGTCTGAAGGCCTTGCAAAGCAGCCCTCCTAAACCCCAAACCCTTAACCCTTAACCCTAAACCCTAAACCCTAAACCCCAAGCCCTAAACCCCAAGCCCTAAACCCTAAACCCTAAACCCCCCAAAACCCTGAACCCGGAGCTCACAGTCGAAGCTGCACGAAGGCGATGTGGCGCCAACCCGAGCCGACGAAGCCCGGGTTGTCCCAGACGGCGGTGTCCAGCCTCTTCTCCCCCGGGTCGTGACCTCAGTCTGCAGAGGTGCCTGTTTTTGGGTGTAGGGGTTTAGGGATTTAGGGATTTAGGGATTTAGGGATTTAGGGATTTAGGGATTTAGGGATTTAGGGATTTAGGGATTTAGGGATTTAGGGATTTAGGGGTTTCGGTGTTTAGGGTTTAGGGTTTAGGGTTTAGGGTTTAGGGTTTAGGGTTCTCAGGGCTCTTAGGGTTTTGTAGGAATTAGGGGGCGGGCCTGTTGGGGGCGGCTTCGGGCAGCGGACTTCCCTGTCTAGACCCTATCTGGCATTCGAGAGTTCAGGGACTTTGGGAGTGAAGGCTTTCATGGCATAGATTTCAAGGGTCCAAGGGGCTCAGGGTTTAGGGTTTAGGGTTTAGGGTTTAGGGTTTAGGGTTTAGGGGTTGAGGGTTTAGGGTTTGGGGCCAGGGGTTTAGGGCGGATGGAGGAAGTGTGGGTGCTGATGGCTGAACACACCTGGTGCTTCTTGAAAGCTACATTTGAACAAAGAGTAAGGGTTTAGGGTTCAGGGTTTAGGGCTGAGGGCTATGGCTTAGGGCTTAGTCTTAGGGCTTAGGGCTTAAGGCTTAGGGCTTAGGGCTTAGGGCTTAGGGCCTTAGGGCTTGGGGCCTTAGGATTTCGTGCTTCGGCCTCGAAGCCCCGCAAAACCCTCAGAGTCCCTAAGCCCTAAGCCCTAAGCCCTGGACCCTAAACCCTAAACACTCTCTATCCTATGTATATTTAATGGCTAATGGCTTCCCGGTTTTTCCACTAAAAATTCCCGGTTTGCCACCAAAAATTCCGGGCTTTCCACAAAAAATTCCCGGTTTTCCACTAAAAATTCCCGGTTTTCCACTAAAAATTCCCGGTTTTCCACAGATCCAAGTTTTCCACCAAAAATTCCCGGTTTTCCACTAAAAATTCCCGGTTTTCCCACTAAAACTTCCCGGTTTTTCCACCTAAAATTCCCGGTTTTTCCACTAAAAATTCCCGGTTTCCCACCAAAAAAACCCGGTTTTCCACTAAAAATTCCCGGTTTTCCACCAAAAACTCCCGGTTTTCCACAAAAAAATTCCCGGTTTTCCACAAAAAAAATCCCGGTTTTCCACCAAAAACTCTCGGTTTTCCACAATCCCGGTTTTCCACAAAAAAATCCCGGTTTTCCACCAAAAATTCCCGGTTTTTCCACTAAAACTTGCCGGTTTTTCCACCAAAAATCCCAGGCTTTTCCACAAAAACTTCCCGGTTTTCCACAAAAAAATCCAGGTTTTCCACAAAAAAACCCGGTTTTTCCATTAAAAAAAAAAAAAACTCCCGGTTTTTCCACAAAAAAATTCCCGGTTTTGCCATAAAAAAAACTCCCGGTTTTCCACCAAAAAGTCCCGGTTGTTCCACTAAAATTTCCCGGTTTTTCCACCAAAAAATGCCGTTTTTTCCACTAAAAATTCCCGGCTTTCCACAAAAAATTGCCGGTTTTTCCACAAAAAAATCAAGGTTTTTCCACAAAAAATTCTCGGTTTTTCCACTAAAAACTCCCGGTTTTCCACAAATCCCGGTTTTCCAAAAAAAAAAAAAACGTTTTTTCCACCAAAACTTCCCGGTTTTCCACCAAAAACTCCCGGTTTTCCCACAAAAACTTCCCGGTTTTCCACCAAAACTTCCCGGCTTTTCCACCAAAACTTCCCGGCTTTTCCACCAAAACTACCCGGTTTTTCCACCAAAACTACCCGGTTTTTCCACCAAAACTTCCCGGTTTTCCACCAAAATGTACCGGTTGTTCGGGGGGCCTACTCTGGGCTGGCTTTAGGGTTTAGGGCCTACTCTGGGCAGGCTTTAGGCTTTAGGGTTTAGGGCCTACTCGGTACTGGCTTTAGGGTTTAGGGCCTACTCTGGGCTGGCTTTAGGGTTTAGGGCCTAGTCTGGGCTGGCTTCTGGGCTGGCTTTAGGGTTTAGGGCCTACTCTGGGCTACTCGGGGCTGGTTTTATTGAGGTTAGGCCCTGCTCTGGGCTGCCTTTAGGGTTTAGGGCCCACCCTGGGCGGCAGCCGACTGCACCAAAAATTTTAAGATTAAAACATAAAGTAAAATATTTTCATAATGTTATGGGATCCACTGGGTGGGTGGGTCGATATTCGATACCGGAGTAAGGAGCTCTACTAGTGAAATGCTTGGACTTGAGATGCTGAACCCTAAACCCTAAACCCTAAACCCTAAACCCTAAACCCTAAACCCTAAACCCCAAACCGACTGCTCAGTGGGGCCAGGAAGCTTCGGAAGGCCAGTCGCCAGCCTGGAGCCGCCATCCAGAACCTCGGGCGTTGGGCTTTCAAGGTCTGAGGATTTAGGGTTTAGGGTTTGGGGTTTGGGGTTTGGGGTTTGGGGTTTGGGGTTTGGGGTTTAGGGGTTTAGGGGTTTAGGGGTTTAGGGGTTTGGGGGTTTAGGGGTTTAGGGGTTTGAGGGTTAGGGATTTAAGGATGGGGGTTTCTGCTGGTGCTTCAGGGGAGTGGGGAGGGTCCCCCGCTTCAGCGCAACAGTGAGCTACATGAAGCGGGCTTTTGGGCTGCTGCTCAGGAACTTACATGATGCGAAGTTTTAGGGCACCTAGGCTTAAAGTCCAACCCTAAACCCCAAGCCCTAAACCCTAAACCCTAGACCCTAAACCTTAAACCCTAAGCCCTTTCTGTCCCAAGGTGCTGAATGGTACCGGTGCTGCAGGAGAAGAGGTTCGGCCAGTGCTTCATTCCTAGGTTTTTATTCATTTTGTTTCTTTCTTTTGGGGGGGCGGGGGGGTTGGGGGTTTGGGGTTTGGGGCTTGGGGCTTGGGGCTTGGGGTTTGGAGTTTGGGGCTTGGGGCTTGGGGCTTGGGGTTTCGGGTCTGGGTTCTGGGGTTTAGGGCTTAGGGTTTGGGATTTGGGGTTTAGGGCTTCAGGTGCGTCCTTAGCTTTTAGCCAAGAAGGTGGCACTTGTGTGGGTTTACTAGTCTACTGGCTCTTACACGTACTCACATCTAGGGAAGGCTGCGGCGAACACAAAGGCCCCTAAACCCTAAACCCTGAACCCTGAACCCTAAACCTTCAGGTTTGGGGGTTTCGGGTTTCGGGGGGCAAGACCTCAGCTTTCCGAACACGCTGCGTCCTACAGGCGTTGGAGCTTATCGAGTCAACCGGTAAACCCGAATCTCGAAAACCTACACCCCTAAACTCTGTTTCCTATCACCGGAAACCCTAAACCCTAAACCCCTAAACCCCTGAACCCCTAAACCCCTAAACCCCTAAACCCCTAAACCCCTAAACCCCGAAACCCGAAACCCTAAACAACCCCAAACCCGAAAAGAAGTCTCAGGCCCCAGGCTCCCTGGCTGGGCACCTCCATTCGGATCTCCCACGTCATGTCTCCCACCAGGAGGTCCTCCGAAACCCTGAAGGGATTAGGGCAGATCAGGGTTTAGGGTTTAGGGCTTAGGGCTTAGGGCTTAGGGTTTAGGGATTAGGGATTAGGGTTTAGGGTTTAGGGTTTAGGGTTTAGGGTTTAGGGTTTAGGGTTTAGGGTTTAGGGTTTAGGGTTTAGGGTTTAGGGTTTAGGGTTTAGGGTTTAGGGTTTAGGGTTTAGGGCTTAGGGCTTAGGGCTTAGGGCTTAGGGCTTAGGGTTTAGGGTTTAGGGTTTAGGGTGAAAGGGTTCCCGGGGATTTAGGCAGATCAGGGGTGGGCTGGGTCACAGGAGTTTGTGATTGGGAGCTTGGGGGAGTTTAGGGAGTCCAGGGAGTTCAGGGATTTGTGTGGAGTTCAGGGAGTTTCGGGAGTCTAGGGCGTTAGGGAGTTTAGTGAGTTTTAGGGTGCCGAAACTCGAGGTTCGGAGGGGAGATGGAAGTCGGAGATGTTTGCTCACGACGTACCGTGCAGCCGGGACCTTCCTGGAAGGTCGAGCGTGAAGACTGGGGAGTCTAACTAGGTTGGATCAAATCGGGTGCCCTTTGTTTAATGGGGTTCTGAAGGGAACCAAAACCCCCCAAAGAAGGGAATAAGGCTGAATAAGGGCACTACTGGGCATCCTGGCATCCTAGCTAAAACGTGGGGGGGTTTACCGGTTTACCCTGGCCCAAATCCCCAAGCCCTAAGCCCCAGCCGAAGCCCTAAACCCTAAACCCTAAACCCTACACCCTACACCCTAAACCCTGAACCCTAAACCCTAAACCCTAAACCCTAAACCCTGCACCACAGGTTTCGATTCGGCAGCCGTGGAGTCCTTGAACCAGGGCGCGTCCTTCGGCTGGAAGATGAGCGGGCCCGAGCCCTTCCAGTAGTTGGTGAGGAAGTTGACCTTCTTGCTGGCCTCAGCTCTGGTGCCCAAGTTAGGGTTTAGGGTTTAGGGTTTAGGGTTCAGGGTTTAGGGTTCAGAGTTCAGGGTTCAGGGTTCAGGGTTCAGGGTTCAGGGTTTTGGGTTTTGGGGTTTGGGTTTAGGGGGGGTTTTGCGTCCAGCAGAGACCTGAACCCTAGCCCGAAACCCACTCCGCAGCTAAGTGCGCAGGCTAAGGCATGTAGCACAGCCATCAACCTCGATTCTCGGTGACCGCTTGGAAGCAGACCCGAACCCTAAACCCTAAACCCTAAACCCTCAACCCTCAACCCTAAACCCTCAACCCTCAACCCTCAACCCTCAACCCTCAACCCTCAACCCTCAACCCTCAACCCTCAACCCAGACCAGCGGCGATTTTCTTGCAGGTGTCGGAGCAGCCGTCCTCTCCAGGAGGATCGCAGTCTTCGTCTCCAAGAACTACCTTGGCTGCTCATGCTTCAGGGCCTGGGGTACTCCACCCTCCCCCGCCCCCCGCCCCCCCAGGCCAAGAAAAAATGTGTGTATACATCATTGTACATATATGTGTCTTCATACATATTTTATTACACAAACATAACATAACCCCTCCATAAACAAATATGTAATACTCCATTCTAGCATACGAAAGTAAATACAAGATTGGGGGAAAGGAAGTCACCTTCCTGAGTATGATGACCTGTTAACAGCCAAGCCACACCATCACCACAAATGGCCTTGCAGCCTCCTTCCCACTGCCACCCCTGCAGCAGCGTGCAGTTGTCAGCGCAACAGTCGCCCAGGTCGCATTGCTCCTGGGTGTAGGACCCTAAACCCCACACCACACACGAAACCCGACGATTAGCCCTTTAGGGATAAGCATGAATAGCATCGAGGTTTATTATTTCATGCCCAAGAAGGGCTTGGGCCAAAGAAATCAAGCCCCGCAACGTGGCTACTTCATGCAAGGCACGGACCCAACTGCCAGACCATCCCCGCATATTTCGGCCGTCTTGTTCTCTGACGCCACCTTACCAGCTCAGTCTTGCCCTCAGCCTTAAGCCCTAAGCCCTAAGCCCTAGGCCCTGGGCCCTGGGCCCTAGGCCCTAGGGCGCCCTAGGTCCTAGGCCCTAGGCTAGGCCCTAGGCCCTAAACCCGTTTATGGCACCGAAAAGGCTCAAAGGTTAACTACTCAGCACCTAAGCCACCCACTTCCAACCATCGATCAACCTGCATTCCTCGGTGCAGCCGTCTCCCGGAGGATCGCACTCTTCCTTTCCAAGAACCACCTTTGTTTGACGTTGAGGGTTAAGAGTTTAGGGTTCAGGACTTATAATTCTTGCTTAGGATTTGGAGCTTGGGGTTCAAGGGAGGGTACGCAGGGCCGCGAAGGAGCATTCCTGACGATTCCACAAAGGCTTCTCTGTGCCTGCCAAAGCCACGCTGTCGCCGCAGATCGCCTTGCAGCCATCTTCCCACTGCCATCCCGGCAGGAGCTCGCAGATAGGATTGCAGCAGGTTCCCGGGGGATCGCACTGCTCCTTGGGGGAGCGGCACTTAGGGCCATAGTTCGAAAAGTTCTGGGGCAGGTATGGCGCGCCTGGCCGGGGAAGCCTGATTATTCTACCATCCACTTCATCGTACTTCACCCTAAACACAGCTAGGCTACAACGGCTTTGGGATTGTGGGGTCCGGTTCGAACTCTTTGTGGGCCGATGGTGACGCTGTGTTCATGGACGTTACGAGTTAAGGGAAAACCCGAAGTCCCTAAAATCCCTAAGCCCCAGCACCCCTAAACCCTTAAAACCCTGACCCACTAAACCCTATAACTCCCGAAAACCGGTTTCGAGTCTAACCCTAACCCCCTTAAGCTTGTAGGACATAACACCCCAAGGCCCTAAGCACTTTAACCGCCCGAAGCCCCAAATCCTAAAACCCCATGCCCTGTAAGCTTCTAGGTCTTGTGGGGTTTCTAAGCCTATCGGGTTTATACGGCTTAAATGGATTGCAGGGTCTACCGGGTTTATGAGGTCCATAGTGCAACCCCACTCCCTGGAATGATCTGAAAGCCTGTCAGGCCTTTTGGGGCTCACATGCCCTGTCTGCGCTAAACCCTGAGCCCGAAACCCTAAACCCTAAACCCTAAATAAACTCGATAAAGCCCGTAAAGGCCCTAAAGCATTCTCGTGTCTGTCAAAGGGTCTGCCCCCACGAGGAGGCTGTCCCCACAGATGGGCACCGCCTTGTTTTGGAGCCACTTCCATCCTTCCATCAGCCTGGAGGGTTTGGGGTGTAGGGTTTAGGGCTTAGGGTATTTTGCTTCGATTTTAGGGCGTTTTAGGGTTTAGGGTTCAGGGTTTAGGGTTTGGGGCTTGTCGGCTAACCCCCTAAACCCCTAACCCCTAAACCCTAAACCCTAAACCCTAAGCCTAAACCCTAAACTAGCACTTTTGCGAAAAAGGCACTGGCAATCCGCGGTGCACCCCTCTCCAGGAGGGTCGCACTCTTCCTTCCCGAGGACCACCTTGGAAGAGGTCCCTCTACACTACAAACCCTAAGCTATCATTTGCTTAAGAGCCCCCGAAAAGATGTTCAGGGCAATTTAAGGATTATTACTTTTTTGTGCTCTTCCAGGGTTCTTCAGCAATTGGTAGCAAGTGCTCTTTGCTTGGGCTTTTTTTCTTGCTTGCTTGTACGTGGCGGGCGCGTGCGGGCGGACCGGCGGGTGTTGGCACGCCCTCCCTCCCTCAGAGATCTGACATTCTGGGAAATTGCAGTAACGGAAGCGGAAAAGTTGGTCTCCAAAGCGTCCCAAGCCGCGCCATCCCCGCAAATGGCCGTGCATCCAGCATCGTGCCACTGCCATCCGGCAACAAGCTTACATTTGTTATCACCTAGGTTGGCCCTTTTGAAGCGAAACCCTAAGGCCTAAGCCCTATACCCTAAAGCCATAGAACAAGGGGAACTTAAAAATCATCCCAAGAGGGCCTCCCGAGTCACAGCAACCCCCCGGGGGGTCGCACTCTTCATTCCCGGTGACGTGGCTGTCGCCGCATGCCATGACCACGAGCTGCGAGCCGCTGCCGGCGCAGCTTTGCAGGTCCGTCGAGTCCGCGGACTTGCGGCCGTAGACGAGCAGCTTCTCCGCGTACACCTCCTGACGCTCACGAGCAGACGTGGACACTCAAAGCTACTGCAAAGCCAAGCAGAAGAGTCTGCACATGTCTGCACGTGTCTGCACACATCACGAGAGGTCATACAATCATGTCCTGGCTGGCAGTGCCATGCGTTTGCACGAGCCAGGGCCGGACGCACTCGGAGGAGTTGCTGAGAGCCATGCACCAGAAGAGGCACCCCTCCATGGTGTCGGCACCCTTGCATGTCACGGACAAGGACAGGCCGTCATTCCTGGGTAGCCCGGTAACCCTCTTATCACAAGGGTACCCTGTTTTGGGGGGGGCTGGCTAGTTTTATCAGGGAACCTACCTAAAAGAAGGCAAATTGGTAACACTCAGCTACCCCAAGATTCCAGAGCTTGTAGGGTGCCCCCAGGGTCGGCCATCCTGTGGCTTTGGCCTCCCATGGGCCGGCCCCCGCGCTGCCGAGCGTTCCCTCCAGGCGGACGTCGTGGCGGATCCACCGGCCATCTAAGCTGAAGCCTGCATTTCGGGTTTAGGGTTTAGGGTTTAGGATTTAGGGTTTTGGGTTTAGGGAAAAACCCTAAGCTGATGCCTGCGAAGACCAGCTCGCTGAACTCGCCGCACTTCTCAAGGGAGGCAAAGCTTCCCCTGGACTGACTGGCGCAAAGCTCCAGCTCGGGCGAGGGGTCGGGAAGGTCTCGCGACGCGTGCGTGACCGGTAAGCTGAGCACCTTCCTGGGGCAATATTCGAGCTGGCAGGAAGGGGTGCAGCCGTCGTTCTTGTCAGTGTCCGTGTCATCACAGTCCTCCATCTTGACGGCCTTGTGGTCACCACACACCTCGGGAGCTTTCTTATTTCTTGGCTGAGAATTCGAGGGCCTGCTGCTGCCGGCCTTCCAGAGCCCCAAGAACTTGCTGCTATCCTACTAGTACTACCGTAGTACTACCAGTCTCTCGTGCCCCCCCCCCCCCAAGCCGGAAGCCAAGAAACTGCCCGGCATGCTTGGCCAGGCTCCGGGCATTCCTCGGGCATGCTGGTTGCTTACGGCTCGTTGGCCTTGCGGAGTTGATTGCACCCTAGGCTAGGGTGGAGGGTCCGTTAAACCTCTGAAACCCCATGTAAGCCCCCCAACGGCTTCGAGGAACTTTGTTACAACGTTTTCCTAGATATCCTCCCAATCCCCCCCCCTTTCTATAGGGACTTCTCTTTTAGGGATCAACGGTATTCATGAATCGTGCTTATAGGAGCCAGTGCCTGGTTGAATCCAAGCTTGCAGAAGGCCTTGCCGAATGCGGCTTGGGGCGACTTTTCCCAGCCCATGGTAGGGTCAAAGGGCTGATGTCTGTTCGCAGACTGGAAATACTGTATGCAGGTGGCTCAACCTAAAACCAAGAAAACCATCGTATAATCTTGGTATCCACCTCCATCAGCAAGCTCCGGGTTGAACCCTCAATCCTCAACCCTGCTGTCTATCTTCAGCCAGGTGTCGTATCCAGGCACCAGCTTGCACTTCTTGCAGCCCTCCCCGGGCGAATCGCATTCCTGCAGGGCAGTTCTCGAACTGGGGCGGGGGGGGGGGGGGGGGCCTTTTCCTATCCTCTCCTCGAGAAGCCTAATGTGAGAACTCTACTTTTGCTCAAGGTTTCGGGTAGACCCTAAACCCTAAACCTTTGGGTTCTATTTACATGCATATAAAGCACGATCCCTATGCAGACCACAGGTTCGATGCATTGACAATAGCTTAGACCTTCAGAGCACTAGAGGGCAGGGCAGGCGGATGTAGGGTTTAGGGTGTAGGGTGTAGGGTTTAGGGTTTTAGGGTGTAGGTTGGGTTTTAGGGTTTGAGGGTTGAGGGTTGAGGGTTGAGGGTTGAGGGTTGAGGGTGAGGTTTGAGGGTTGAGGGTTGAGGGTTGAGGGTTGAGGGCTGAGGGCTGAGGGCTGAGGGCTGAGGGCTGAGGGCTGAGGGCTGAGGGCTGAGGGCTGAGGGCTGAGGGCTGAGGGTTGAGGGTTGAGGTTGAGGGTTATTTAGGGTGTAGGGTTTAGGGTTTAGGGTTTAGGGCTTCGCCTCCGTCATGTCGAGCTTGCCATTGCCGCAGCTCGCCGCCACGATGAAGGACACCTGCCTCTCCTGATATAGCCGAGTAACCATAAAGAATAACCCTAGACCCTAAACCCCAAACCCCAACCCCTAAACTTTCCTAAACGCCTTCCTGGAGGTGGGTTACCTTTACAAGGGAACCCAGAACCAAAAACAAAAGGCGAACACAAAGGCTGCCCTCTTTTGGCGACCAAGTCTCCCAGTAGGACAGCACCTCGGCCTTCAACGGCGTGGTGCGGATCTTGGAGGTGGCCTAAGGCTTTCAGCGGCCCAGGGCAAAGAGAAAAACAGTACGTACTTCTTGGGCTACCTACCTAATAGAGGGAACCCAGAAGCCAGAAAAAGAAATTAAGAAAAGTAAAAAACAAACTAAAAACTAATCCCTAAACCCTCATAACCAGGACCCCCAAAAAAACACAACAAAAAAAAAGTATACCACTGAACAGCCTCAGTGGCAATCGGGGTTAGCAGCGCATGCTGCGCGCCGTACTGCGCGAACTTCTCCTCGGAGACCCACTTCCTGGGTTTTGCCGCTGTGTGGAGAGCCCAATACTGTTTAAAAAAGGAATATACCTTGGATTATAGGGATCCTTCATACAATTTGAGGTACATCCCTTGTTTTAAAGGGGTCTTGGGCTCTTTGGGTATCTAGTGTGGTTGCGTCTCCTTACTCTAGAAATCTCTTGTTACTGCCACTACTCATAAATCACTCATGACTTGCTATGCATTTGCTATTTCATGTTTTTGTTACGTCTCCTATGAATCTGCTGCTTGAATTATTATTGTTATCGTCATTATGGTGACATCTTTTAGGATCCTTAACACCGCCCAGCTTCAGGGGGCTGGGGTGTTCACCCTATACCCTAACCCCTAACCCCTAGACCCCTAGACCCCTAGACCCTAAACCCTAAACCCTAAACCCTGAACCCTAAAACCCTAACCCCTAAACCCTAACCCCTAAACCCTAAACCCCAAACCCTAACCCCTAAACCCTAAACCTCCTAAACCCTGCCCAGCTTCAGGGCGGAGGTGTTCACGATGTCGCCGACCCCACGAGGGTCGCACAAGGCGCGCACCTGGGCCGAGCCCTTCTCGTCGCGCCAACAGACGAAGCCGCTCTGCCTCAGCTTCTTTTTTGGCCCAGGCGGGGGGGGAGAGGGGGGGGAGAAGGGGGGGGGAAGGGGGGGGGGAGAAGGAGAGGGGAGAAGCGGGGGGGCAGAAGGGCGGGGGGAGAAGGGGGGGTGAGAAGGGGGGGGGAGAACGGGGGGAGGGGGGGTAGGGTTTGGGGTTTTAGGATTTTGGGGTTTTAGGGCTTTAGGGCTTTAGGGTTTTTGGGTTTAGGGCTTAGGGCTTAGGGTTCAGGGTTTAGGGTTTTTGTTTTGGGTTGGGGGTTCTAGGGTTTACGGAGCTCATTCAGCTAACAAACCGCTCAAAGTCCCCCTGTTGACTGTTTAGGGTTTAGGGCCGGGAGCTCACCTGAGAACTCATGCCTCAAAGTTGGGAAGCTCGAAAGAAGCAGTGCGTTTTTTCGTCTTCTCACCCTAAACCCTAACCCTAAACCCTAAACCCTAAACCCTAAACCCTAAACCCTAAACCCTAAACCACCCAAGGCACATGAGGCCCTCGAGGTTGCCGTAGCCATCCGGGATAGACCGGCAGTCGGTCACCTCGGCGTCGTGCACCCAGGAGAGCGCGGAGGTGTGCCTTGCTGCAGAAGCTCGGACCTAAACCCTAAACCCTAAACCCTAAACCCTAAACCCTAAACCCTAAACCCTAAACCCTAAACCCTAAACCCTAAACCCTAAACCCTAAACCCAAACCCTAAACCCTACCTACTCCCGAAGAAAAAAGCCCAAAGAGATGCCACACAAGGGCGCCGAGCGGCAGCAGCCTCGAGGGCTGCCGGAGAATCAGCCAGGCCGCGGTTCCCTTCTTCGGCTCCAGGGGGCTCCAAAGAACCAGCCTTAGGGTTTAGGGTTTAGGGTTTAGGGTTTAGGGTTTAGGGTTTAGGGTTTAGGGTTTAGGGTTTAGGGTTTAGGGTTTAGGGTTTAGGGTTTAGGGTTTAGGGTTTAGGGTTTAGGGTTTAGGGTTTAGGGTTTAGGGTTTAGGTGTTAGGGTTTAGGGTTTAGGGTTTAGGGTTTAGGGTTTAGGGTTTAGGGTTTAGGGTTTAGGGTTTAGGGTTTAGGGTTTAGGGTTTAGGGTTTAGGGTTTAGGGTTTAGGGTTTAGGGTTTGGGGTGTAACGTTGAGGGCCAAGTTCAGGGCATTTTCGGCTTCAGGCAAGTTCAGGGAGACAAGGGGCCTGTGGCAAGCTTCGGGAGGTTTAGGGACTTGGGGGTTCGAGGACCCCAGACCCTGAAGCCTCTACACTTCACAGCCCTACACCTCCGAAAACAGAACCCACCAACTTCTTCCCTCAAACCCTAAACTTCCCAAACCCCCCAAAACCCCTAACCCTGAAGTGTCCCCAAAAACCCAAACAGCTGATGTTGTGGTGTAGGGTTTAGGGCAACACCCCCCCGATCCCCGCAACCCCAAACCCCAAACCCTAAACCCTAAACCTCAAACCCTAAACCCCAAACCCTAAACGCCCCCCCGACCTGGAGAGCTCCGACTCGCCAAGGTCCATCAGCGCTGGCTTCTGACACTCCTTGGGGGGGGGAATGGGGTGAGGGGGGGGGAGGAAGGGGGGAAGGGGGGGAAGGGGGGAAGGGGGGAGGGGGAAGGGGGGAGGGGGGAAGGGGGGGGGAAGGGGGGGAAGGGGGGAAGGGGGGAAAGGGGGAAGGGGGGGGGGGGAAGGGGGGGAAGGGGGGAAGGGGGGAAGGGGGGAAGGGCGGAAGGGGGGGAAGGGGGGAAGGGGGGAAGGGGGGAAGGGCGGCAAGGGTAAACCCTTAACCCCAAACCCCAAATCCCAAACCCCAAACCCCAAACCCTAAACCCTAAACCCCTAACTCCTAAACCCTAAACCCTAAACCCTAAGCCCTAAGCCCTAAACCCTAAACCCCAAACCCTAAACCCTAAACCCCTGCCCAGACTCCAAGGGCGCCGGGCTCCAGGTCCTGCACCATTGTTGGGGTGTTATTCAAAAACGACCATTTCTGCTCCTTATCGGGTATAAGTATCCTCAACCCTCAACCCTCAACCCTCAACCCTCAACCCTAAACCCTAAACCCAAAACGATTTTTAACAACGACCCAGCGTCGTGGCCATGGCGTCTAAGAGCCGGCTCGAGAGCTGCAGCTTTCCCAGGACCGCGCGCTCCATAGAGTCCACCATCGCGTAGCTCTTGCCTGGGGTTTAGGGTTTAGGGTTTAGGGTTTAGGGTTTAGGGTTTAGGGTTTAGGGTTTAGGGTTTAGGGTTTAGGGTTTAGGGTTTAGGGTTTAGGCTTTGGGCTTTGGGGTTTTGGGTTTAGGGTTTAGGGTTTGGGGTTTAGGGTTTGGGGTTTGGGGTTTAGGGTTTAGGGTTTAAGGTTTAGGGTTCTGGGTTTAGGGTTCTGGGTTTAGGGTTTAGGGTTTAGGGTTTAAGGTTTTGGGTGTACGGTAAGGCTTTTGGGGCTGTGGGGGGTTGGAGGCCCCAAATGTGGGAACTCTTGCGCCCCCGAGCTATCCCAAAACTTCATACCTTGGTCCCCCTACACCCTAAACCCTACACCCTAAACCCTAAACCCTAAACCCTAAACCCCAAACCCTAAGCCCAAGCTGCGGATGTTCTCGAAGTCCAAGGCCACTCGCTGCCAGTCCGCGTCGAACTGGCGGCGCTCCTCCGGCGGCTCCAGCCCCCAGGATACGAACTTGCGCTGCATGTAGGAGATCTGCATGTAGAGGTCCTTGTAGGTAAAAAATATTTTCATATTACTATATGATTACATCATTATGTTCTTGTATTTTACTCATATGTTCTTCTAATATTGTTTTTCCTTGTTTTAGTATGGAATGATTATATGACTATACTAGTATATTATATCATTCAATGAAAAAACAAAATTCTATCTTACCGTATTCTTAGCTATATGTGCAGAGGTCCTTGAGGCTGAGGGAGTACTTCAGAGGCACATCGTCCAGCGCCGTCTTGGCCCACTTCAGGAGCGCCTCTGCCGCTGCGGGGGTGAAGAGGTACTTGGCCGCGACTTGCCGCAAGGGGTGTCTGCCGTCCGAGCCTCAGCAGCGCCCTCATGGGGGTTTGGGGGTTGGGGTTTAGGGTATGGGGTTTGGGGTTTAGGGTTGGGGTTTAGGGTTTGGGGTTTAGGGTTTAGGGTTTAGGGTTAGGGTTTAGGGTTTAGGGTTTAGGGTTTAGGGTTTAGGGTTTAGGGTTTAGGGTTTAGGGTTTAGGGTTTAGGGTTTAGGGTTTAGGGTTTAGGGTTTAGGGTTTAGGGTTTAGGGTTTAGGGTTTAGGGTTTAGGGTTTAGGGTTTAGGGTTTAGGGTTTAGGGTTTAGGGTTTAGGGTTTAGGGTTTAGGGTTTAGGGTTTAGGGTTTAGGGTTTAGGGTTTAGGGTTTAGGGTTTAGGGTTTAGGGTTTAGGGTTTAGGGACCCGAACCCGAAACCTCGGCACCCAAACCCTGAACCCTATTGTGTTAAGAAGGGATGTAGCCGGAAAGTTCTTCAGACCCTCATAGTTACCCAAAAGGGTTTGGGCCTGAGGGTTTAGAGTTTCGGGTTGAGCGTCGAAGCCCTTCCCCACAATCCAGAATCCAGTGCCCTGCTCGATAAAGCTCCGACCTAAGCCTGAGGGATAAACGTACCCACAAAGTGGACACTTAGACTCACAAGGGACTCTGTGGTAGCGAGTTTGGGCCCAAGTACATCCCTATACGTGTAACATGAACATCCCTTCTAAGAGCGTAAACCGTAACCCCGACAAACCCTGAACCCCCAAACCCTTGTACTCTCACACCCACAAATATATATATATATATAACCCCAAACCCTAAACCCTTAGAGCCTTGCACCCTCGCACCTCGAAACGACGGTTCAACAACTCCTACACTCTTAAACCCTTCGACCTCAACCTTTCGGGTTTAGGGTTTAGGGTTTGGGGTTTAGGGTTTAGGGTTTAGGGTTTAGGGTTTAGGGTTTAGGGTTTAGGGTTTAGGGTTTAGGGTTTAGGGTTTAGGGTTTAGGGTTTAGGGTTTAGGGTTTAGGGTTTAAGAACCCTAAACTCCGGAACCCCCCTAAGCCTTGAGCCTGCAGCTCAGCGACACTCGCAGGGCTCGAGGCTGTTCACCTGAAACGGAAGCCAAGGCTTCGGGGCCCCCGACAATCTGAGCCATAAAGGGCTTCAGGGTTTAGGGTTTAGGGTTTAGGGTTTAGGGTTTAGGGTTTAGGGTTTAGGGTTTAGGGTTTAGGGTTTAGGGTTTAGGGTTTAGGGTTTAGGGTTTAGGGTTTAGGGTTCGGGTTGGGATGTTCCCCCTTCTACTAGCAGTCCTTAATAGCTGTTCGTATAAGGGGGAACATCCAAGCCGAACGGGATGGTTGCACTGCACCCCCCCCCCCCCTCTCCTCCTAGGAATTTGGGGAAGCTAGTGAACAAAAGAGGGCTATTACTTCAGCTCGACACCCTACTTAAACTCCCTGACCCCCCACCCCACCCCTCTCCCTTCCAAAAGAAGGCGCTTAAAACGTCAAGGGACTAAAGGAGGGACCTTTGTCAGGTATATCTAGGGGTGAGATGTGGGTAAACAGGGGAGTTTAGGGGTCCCTTCTAAGAGTCCCTCCTTATACCCCGTACAAAAGGGCTTCTTCCTCCCAACATCTGCCAAGTGGCCGTCTGCGGCTTGCAAGACGCGGCGCACTTGTCCTTCACATCCTTGCCGTGGAGGACCTCGGCTGGTGCGTTAAACCCTAAAACCCCAAACCCGAAACCCTAAACCTCAAGCCAAACGCCCTAAACCCCAAATCCCAAACCCTAAACCCTAAACCCTAAACCCCACACCCTAAACCATAGACCTGAAACCCGAAACCCCAGAAACCCTGAACCTTTAGGGCTCTGACCCTTTGGACATTTGGGGCTTGCGGGACTAGCTGGTCATCACCCGACATGGGGGGTCAGTGCTCTGATTGATGGACCCTAAACCCTCAACCCTAGACCCTAACCAAAAAAATGGCCATGATAATCCCTTGTGAAACCTTAAGCCCTAAGTAGGGGTTTAGAGTTTAGGGTTGTTTCGGGCTTAGGGTTGTTTAGGGTTGTTTAGGGTTGTGCAGGGTTGTTTAGGGCTGCTCAGGGTTGTTCAGGGTTTAGGGTTTAGTTTGGGTTTTGGGTTTTGGGTTTTGGGTTTTGGGTTTAGGGTTTAGGGTTTAGGGTTTAGGGTTTGGGGTTTGGGGTTTGGGGTTTAGGGTTTAGGGTTTAGGGTGACCAACCCCAAAGGAAGCAATGGAAGCTAAAACCGCTTCATCAGCCCGAGCCGCCTCTTGATCGGCCAGAATGACACTTCGCAGGCTCTCATCGCCTAGGCTGGTCAGCAGCAGTCGAAGAAGAATTCAACATACCCCAAACCCATACACCCTTAGCCAATAAAAGGAGATATCAAGCAAGGACTTTTACCATTGCGCTTTGGGCCTAAACCCTAAACCCAAAACCCTCAACGCTAAACCCTCAACCCTCCTAAACCCTAAACCCTCAACCCTTAACCCTAAGCCCTAAACGTCAGAGCCCCAGCGGCTAAGGAAGAGGTCTTTTTCGGTTTGGTTGGCTTGCAGGTCCTCTGCGATCTGGTCCGCCAAGGCATCGAAGTGCATCTTGGAGAATCCGCTGTCCACGGCCAGGATTGCGATTTCCTTGAATTTTGGGGGGATTCAGGGTTTGGGGTTTAGGGTTGGGGGTTTGGGGTTTAGGGTTGAGGGTTTAGCGTTTGGGGTTTGGGTTTGGGGTTTGGGGTTTAGGGTTGAGGGTTTCGGGTTTAGGGTTTAGGGTTTAGGGTTTCGGGCCGGGGTTAGGGTTCAAGGTTGGGTGGCAAGGGGGGTTTCAGGGTCTAAGGCTTAGGGGTACTGTAGGAGGGTGTAGGGGCTGCACTGTTGATTCCGTGCCACAGACAGCTCCTCGCCCTAGAATTCTAGACACCCTGAACCCCTAAAACTGTTTAAAGCCCAGGCAGCGGCAAACCGAAGCACCGCCTCCTTGAAGGAGGCCTGCAGCACCTTACTGTTGGTCAGTAGGATTAAGGTGCCATGTATAGTCCCTTAAAGGGTATGTAGGGGACAAGGGGTAATTTCCATTATTTCCCCATTCCATACTAATCAACAGCAAGGAACTCGGACAGCTTCAGCAGAGGACTCCTTCACGGCCTTAGTCGCCTGGATCCTGAGCGCGACGCGCTGCGAGGTTCGTGATTTAGGTAGGGGGCGGTTGGGGTGCTTTTAGGGTGTTTTGGGGTTTTTAGGGTTTGGGGCGCTTGGGGTGTTCAGGGCGTGTTAGGGTGTGTTTAGGTGTTCAGGGTGCTTTTTGGTGTTGAGGGTTTAGGCTGTTTAGGACTTTGAGGGTTTTGCGGCTCCGCGTGCCCAGTTTTCATAGGGTAAAACCGAAACCCCTCAAACCATAAACTCTGCAAGACCTGGCAGCCGAGTCGCACATCTTCGATCCTTAGTTCTCCAGAGCGTTTTCATGCCAAGTATGGCTGGGGGGGAGGGGAGCGGCGCTCGCAGGCGGAGGCGGGGGGGGGGCTGGAGGAACACGCTTTGAAACTCAGAGACCTCAGAGAACGCAGAAGGCTCATAGGTAGTTGGGTTCAGGGTTTAAGGCCTAGGGGGGGGGCCCTCATAGGGCCTGCAGGATTCGGGTTTAAGCGGGAAGGGGGGGGAGGGGGGGTATTCGGGTTCTGTGAGATTAGGGATCAAGGTTCATGGAAAGCAAGTTTCGAACCTTCCGAAAGGAGAGGCAGAGGCCTCTTTCAAGACAAAATTCATCAGTAGGACTCTGCACTGGGACCCTGCTCCACTTCTTCTTCAGACGTGTGAGATGCATCTAGGACCCCTAAACCCTAAACCCTAAACCCTAAACCCAAACCCTAAACCCCAAACCTTAAACCCCAAACCATAAAGCCTTTCATTGCTCGTAGCCCAAGACTCTGACTGCCACAAGACCGGAAGGAGAGCTGCGTGGTTTTCATGTGTTCCAAGTCTGAGCGCCTCTTGGCGGAGAAGGCCTCCGGCTACAGCGCTGCGCTTGCTTGGAGGTCAGGGAACTTATAAACCCAATACTAACTGTACTATACTGTACTTATAACCCAATTATAACCACATCAGGGCACTCACAAGTGGCCTATAAGTACAGTTATGATTGGTTAATAAGTACCATGAACCTCCAAGCGGGGGCTTTTCCCACTGTACCAGAAGGGTCAACAACATGCCTGCTTGAAAGCAAGGTGTGGAGTTAGGGTTTCTGGCATATAGTATAGGTTCAAGATTCTTCTTTTATCTTTTTTTGGGGGGGCGGAGGGTGGGGCGGGAGGGGGGCTGACAGCTGTAATCCCCGTTACACGACACAAATGCGATTCCATAGTTCCATAGCATTTCCCAGGCACATTCAGGGACATCGGCCACAGAGCTCAGGTCGACGATAACAGGGTTTAGGGTTTAGAGTTTAGGGGGTTTCTAAGTGCTCCGCTTGCCTCAACTTCGTGGAAGAGCTGCGTGAGTGCGAGCGTCAGCTTCTCAAACTCGTAGATGAAGTCCTGGACGCCGGAAGAGAGCTCTGAAGCTTCAGGGGGTTAAACCCTAAATTCTAAGATCTCCAAGCCACAAGCCCTAAACCTTAAACCCTAAGCCCGAAGCCCTAAACTCTGTTATCCTCCCTAGGCCCTAAGAACCCCAAAAAATGTTGAAGCAAGGTTATGCTCCCTAGACCCGAAAATCCTTGTTAAAAACTAAGTGACCCTAAACCCTAGACCCTAAACCCTAAACCCTATAAACCGTGGTCCTGGAACCGGGACTCCTGCACAGCCACCGGTATGTCGTCAATCTTCTCCTCGAGGACTTCCAGCTTCCTCCAGGGGTTTCGGGTTTAGGGTTAAGGGTTTAGGGGTTTAGGGGTTTAGGGGTTTAGGGGTTTAGGGGTTTAGGGGTTTAGGGGTTTAGGGGTTTTAGGGGTTAGGGGTTTAGGGGTTTAGGTTTAGGGTTTAGGGGTTTAGGGGTTTAGGGTTTAGGGTTCAGGGGGTTTGGGGGTTTAGGGGTTGGGGTTAGGGGTTTAGGGTTTAGGGTTTAGGGGTGTAGGGGTGAGGGGTTTAGGGGTTTAGGGGTTTAGGGGTTTAGGGGTTTAGGGGTTTAGGGGTTTAGGGGTTTAGGGGTTTAGGGGTTTAGGGGTTTAGGGGTTTAGGGGTTTAGGGGTTTAGGGGTTTGAGGGTTGGGGCAGGAGGGGGTCGCCACACAAGAATAAAATTCCTACAGGCTTTCAGAGTTATCCAGGGTTCTTCATAAGGTTGTAGAGGGTTAAAGGAAATAGGGCCCATGGAACTACAAAAACGCATTCCAAATCCCCTCAAAGCTTCTGGACCACAGCCAGCAAAGCCGTCATCTGGCCTTGTGGGGGTCTGGGAGCCCTTTGAAAGCTTGAGTTGCTATGGGTTCATAGGGTTTCTTTAGGGTGTATTGAGAAGGATGGATATGGATATATATATATATATATGTATATATATATATATATATATATCGGGTTTTGTGGGGCTTTATGGAGATTGAGTAAAGGCCCATAGAACTTGAAAAGGTACATATAGATATATATATATATATATTACACAAGTCGACCCAAGTGGCGCTGCTGCCCATGGCGCAGCTCCTCGAACTGTCGGCTGCTCTGTTTCGCCAGATCCTTGATCCTTCGGAAGTCAAGGGAGGTCATCGGCCGTCAACATGTGGGGATCTACGAAAATAGGGGGACCCTTAACATAGACCCGAATAGTACGATTCCCTGGTAGTAAGGACCCTAATAAGGTACCCCAATTTCGGAATCTACTGAACTTCGGAACCCTCCACCCTACCACCATTGGGTTCTACCGGGGGTGCTGTGGCAACTGCCCCGCATGTGAAGGCCGCAGTCTTGCATCGACTCTCCTGTTGTCGACGACGTCCAGGTTCTTCAGCGCCACATCCAGCTGTCCTCTCACGACCGTGACCCGGATTGTGCGTGCATGCACTCTGCAGTTGCTGTACATCTTACAAGTCGACGCAGGAAGCCGTGTCGGTTCCCCAGGAAATCCTCAAAAACCCGAAGGCCTTGGGCCTCGTGCTACGCCCGTCCTTGTACCTTCACGAGATGCTGATCGACTTTGTTGAAGCGCTGGTTCAGTTGGTTCTGGATGGCCTTCCGATTCGCGTCCAACTTCTGCTGAACCTGGTCAAAGCCCTCGGTAACCGTCGCCTTCATATCCTTGGTCGCCCCCGCAACCATTTTGTAATGAGGGCTTAGGGTTTAGGGTTTGGGGTTTAGGGTTTAGGGCTTAGGGCTTAGGGCTTAGGGCTTAGGGCTTAGGGCTTAGGGCTTAGGGCTTAGGGCTTAGGGCTTAGGGCTTAGGGCTTAGGGCTTAGGGCTTAGGGCTTAGGGCTTAGGGCTTAGGGTACCAGAAACCCAAAAACGGGCACCACTCGGCTACCGAGCATCTCGAAAGCCGCTTGCCATTTGCGACTGGATCGCCCGCTGGCTCTGCGCAATCGAATCCTCGCCACATGCGCCAGCTCTAGCGTCACTGCTTGACCCTAAAACACGGTACCTGACAAGCTTCATGCAGAATGCGAATCGTAACTTTCAGTATGCCCCATATACAAGTACTGTAACTATATCTGCAAAGTTTGAGGACATGAACACAAAACTTGAGAATTGAAGACAGAAGAAGAAGACAGAAGAAGAAGACAGAAGAAGAAGACAGAAGAAGAAGACAGAGCAGAAGGGGAAACAGAAGGAGCCCCAAACCCTAACCCCCCCCTCCTCCCTCCCTCCCTACCCTAAACCCTACACCCACACCCCTTCACTCTAAACCTTAAACCCTAAACCCTAAGCCCTAAACCCCAAACAATAAACCCTGGACCCTACCAACGAGCCCAGACGCCTGCATCTTCGAAACCGCCTCATCGATCTGCTGGCCCGTTCCGCTCAGAACCGCTGACTGCAGGTTGTCCAGACCGTTTTGAACGAAGTCCTGGGGGTTTTGTTCAGGGTTTAGGGTTTAGGGTTTGGGGTTTAGGGTTTTGGGTTTAGGGTTTAGGGTTTGAGGTCCAGGGGTTTGGGGTTTACAGTTTAGGGCTTCGGGCTTCGAAGTCGGAGCCGCAATAAATCCTGACATACTTTGCATACCTAACCCTAAACCCGAAACCATGAACCCTAAACCCTGAACCCTCAAGGCTTCCAGTCCACACCGTTACACCTGTGTGTGCAAATGCGAAGAATACTGGAACGCAGAAACAAACGAACCCAGCAGTGTATACAGAAGAATGCAGAGATGCATATTCACCTTCTTTCGGTGGATTGACCCTGCCCAGCAACCCTGAACCCTAAAAACCCCAAACCCCAAACCCAGACCCTAAACCCTAGACCCCAAACCCTAAACCCTAAACCCTAGACCCCAAGCCCTAAACCCGAAATCCTAAACCCTAAGCCCTACATACACCCTAAGCCCTAAACCCCAGCGACGTGACGGCCGCCCCCTGCCTTCAGCTCCTTTGTCTGCAGCTTGCTGTCGCACTGAGCCGCTTCCATCATGTAGGCGAGGCGTGCGTTCTGCTCCTTCTGCGATGCCTCGGAGCTTCTGGGTTTGGGGTTGAGGATGGAGGGTTTAGGGTTTAGGGTTTAGGATCTAGGGTTTAGGGTTTAGGGATTAAGGATTAAGGATTAAGGATTTTTCTAAGGGTTTAGGGTTTAGGGTTTAAGGCTTGCCTTCTCTCCCTAGAACAATACATTTGTTGCGATTTAGGGTGTAAACATAAACCCTAAACCCTAAACCCAAAAAAAAACCCAAAAGTTCGGGGTTCAAAGGGGTGCTGGCATTCCTTACACGGGTGCATCGATTTTGTTGAAGATCTCCTTGGTCTGCTCGCCAGTTCCTTTACTGAACTCGGAACCCTAGCAAAAACTATGACGTTTGCCGTTTCTTAGGAACCCTAAACCCTAAACCCGAAACCCTGAAGGAAAAAAACTACTTCCAAGAATCCCTAAACCCTAAACCCTAAACCCTAAACCCTAATCCCTAATCCCTAAGGTTCGGTTCGCGGCCGCCGCATCCATCGCGAAGAGCTTCTCGTTGGTCTTCGAGAAGCCCTCGTCCATCATCCCCTGGATCTCCTGAGTTGACATTTCAGGGTTTAGGGTTTAGGGTTTAGGGTTTAGGGTTTAGGGTTTAGGGTTTAGGGTTTAGGGTTTAGGGTTTAAGGCTTTTTGTGAAGTTACCAGGCTCAGAGCTTCGGGTTCAGGGAATATGTCAATATGGTAGATGGAAAACTATACCCCTTAGAACCTTACTAACAATGATGTTTCTAAATTCCATTGACTTGAGTTTATATAAACAAGAATATGAACTTAGAAACATAGTTGCGGTACTATAGATATAAAGTAAATGGTAAGCCCGTTCTAAGGGTTCTTACCTACAAATTGCCAGGTTCAGGGTTCAGGGCTTAGGGAATGTGAATAGAACCCTAAACCGAAACCCCTAGACCCTAAAGGGCATGGTATCTGAGTTCAAAGTTCCTTAACTCAAGCCAGGTCTCTGCCAGCTCTTGCTGCACCTTCTCATTCTCGGCTGCCAGCATGTCGAACTGCTTTGCCTGGCACCATCTAGAGTTTAGGGTTAGGGTTTTGGGTTTAGGGTTTAGGGTTTTAGGGCTTGGGGGGGCCCTAAGCAGAGGAGTCGTTCTCACGCTTTCTTTGCGGGGCTTTGTGGTCAAACCCTAACCCTAAACCCTCGACCCTAAACCCTAAACCCTAAACCAAAAACCCTAGACCCTAGACCCTAGACCCTAGACTTTAAACCCTAAACCCTAAACCCTAAACCCCCCCCCCCCACTTTCTGCCTGGTACATGTTCTGGAGCATCATACACCCTAAACCCTAAACCCAAAACCCTAAATCCTAAACCCTAAACCCTAAACCCTAAACCCTCCAGCCTGCCTGGTACATGTTCTGGAGCTGGATCTGGTTCGTCAGGTCCATCTGCTTCGTTTCGCCCCCGCCTTCGTTGAGGAACTTCAGCTCGCACAGCCACTGGTCGCCCGCCGCCTCTCAGGGGTTTAGGGTTGAGGGTTTAGGGTTTAGGGTTTAGGGTTTGGGGTTTGGGGTTTCGGGTTTCGGGTTTAGGGTCTGGGGCTGAAGGTTTGGGTTCTTTGCCGCATTCAAGTCGCTTAAGGCCTTTAAAACCCCTAAGCCCTTCTTCAGGGGGTAGGAGGCTCGTCTCCGATCTCAGGATGAACCCAAAAACTCCACTACCCCTTAATTTAAGGAACACTCCTGAAATTAATTTGGGGCTCCTTGTATGGTTTAAGGTTAAGGAATACTCCTGAAAATATACAAGGGCTCCTTGTATGGTTCAAAGGAAGTAACCCTAAACCCTAAACCCTAAACCCTAAACCCTAAACCCTAAACCCTAAACCCTAAACTCTAAACCCTAAACCCTAAACCCTAAACCCTAAACCTTAACAAAGGAGTATTGGAGTCTCTGGGAACTGCGGTCTTTCTAAGGATCCTGGTGCCTTGGCGCACTGCTCAGACGGAACGTAGGAGGCCACAATCTCCGCCTTCAGGACGCCTGAGGAAGACGACTGCCCCCCTGAAAAATGAGTATATATTTGAATGTTTTTTATGCTTATATATATATATATACACACGTGTGTATTTCTGAATGCATATATATATATATATATACACATATACATATATGTATGTATGCAGTTCACGTATGTATATGTACATACGGAACTATATATACATTTCTATATGAGCGCCAGACAAAATCACTTCACACGGTGTGAGGTCGCGGAATACCATGTTCTCACTTTACGTGGGGCCCATATCGCTTTACATACTATGGGACTGTGGGATGCATGTATCTAAATGTGCAAATTAATGTTATCGCTTTAGGTGGGGCCCATATCGCTTTCCATGGTTTAACAACTCGTGTCCACTGTAGTACGGCTTGAAGAAACATAATTTTGGCGGGCGCTCATATAACTATATTGCTACGATGCTCTTGCAGTAAACTCCTGGAACCTTCACAAGGGCATGTTTAACTTTGGGGTCGCGCCGTCCAGGCTTCAAGAGATCCCGGGACTGGGTTTCGTGTTAACGGTTTAGGGTTTCTGGTTGGGATGTGCCCCCTTATTCTAACAGTCCTTAGTAAGGCTCTTCAATGGGGTTACGATATTCCCTATTAAGGAAAGCTAGCAGAAGGGGGAACATCCCCAAGTCTCCCGCAACAACACCCTAAACCCTAAACCCTAAACCCTAAACCCTAAACCCTAAACCCTAAACCCTAAACCAAGACGCCTGAGGTCTTCGTGGCGCCCTCGAAGCTGCCGATACGCTCGATGAGCAAGTCGCACTTCTCCTCGGGAGACATCTCCTTGTCAGGACAGAACCTGGGAAGGCGCGGGTTCAGGGCTGAGAGCTCAGGCTTTATAGCCTACGCCCTAGACCCTAGACCCTAAACCCTAAACCCTAAACCCTAAACCCTAAACCTGTTTGGGTGCCCCCCCCCCCTCCCCACTCCATCAACAGCTGAGAGGCATTCCTTTCCACGGATCGCCGAACTTCTTCATGCCCCACCAGCCCTTCATCCTTACTTTGAGCCAATAAAACTGGCAAAAAAACAAGGAATTAACCAAGGGTTTAGGGTTTAGGGTTTAGGGTTTAGGGTTTAGAGTTTAGAGTTTAGGGTTTAGGGCTCTGCTGCAAAGGTTCCTATTTCAAAAGAAAAGAAAGCCCAAAGGCGTGAAGTTCAACAGGTTGGCCAAGTAGGCGACTCGGCCGGGCCGTGTGACTCTGTGAAAATGTTCCTACACGGAAGCCCCTTGCAGCAAGTTTGGGTTTAGGGTGTAGGGTGTAGGGTGTAGGGTTTAGGGTTTAGGGTTTAGGGTTTAGGGTTTCGGGTTTCGGGTTTAGGGTTTCGGGTTGAGGGCTTAGGGTTTAGAATTTTGCCCCTTAAAGCAAGTTTGGCCAAACTCTGACCAAACCCAAAGTCCTTCAACCCTAAGCCCTAAACACTACAACCCTAAATTGCAAAAATTAAAGCCGTCTTATCTTAGCAGGAGAAGGGAAGCTTAGGGTTTAGGGTTTAGGGTTTGGGGTTTAGGGCTTAGGGCTTAGGGTTTAGGGTTGAGGGTTGAGGGTTGAGGGTTGAGGGTTGAGGGTTGAGGGTTGAGGGTTGAGGGTTGAGGGTTGAGGGTTGAGGATTGAGGGTTTAGGGTTTAGGGTTTAGGGGTCTTATATCAGCAACACAAGGGAAGCACAACAGATCCCGATCCCCATTTAGAACCCGGAAGAGAAAGGGTCCAATATCCCTTGGGCTGTAGAGGCTTTAGGGTTGCAAAGCTAAAACTAGACTACTGTTTGCTCAAGACCCCCCCCCAAAAAAAAAAATTAAGGAATAATACTCCCTGTGTTGCCCTAGTATGGAAGAATATATATATGTATGTATTAATATGTGTTGATATATGTGTGTATATATATATATATATGTTTTTTCTTTCTTTTTTGTTTTTTTGGGGGGTTCTTAAGCGAATAGTAGTAGCAGTATAAGGAGACTATAGGAAACACAAACTATCCTATTGCAGAAGCTATATTCTCCCTTTAGAACCAGAAAAGAAAGTTTCCAATATTCTCTGGGCTGCACAGGAGTCAAAACTTAAAATCCTATGGAGACTATCCCTAAACCCGAAACCCTAAACCTTACGCCGAAAACCCTAAACTCGAAACCCTAAACCCTAAACCCCCAGGAGACTATAGGAAGCAAGCGTCTTCCCTGCCAGCTTGCAGCTCTTCTCCACAGCTGCGGCTGCAGCGTCTCGGCACTTGGCGAGCTGCTCCGTCACCTCGGCGTCCGCCAAATCCTGCTGGGGCAGATTGCGCTCTAAACCCCAAGCCCTGAGCCCTAAACCCTAAACCCTAAACCCTAAACCCTGAACCCTAAGAGCATCTCAAGGGTTTAGAACTCAGAGTTGGGGGGTGCACGGTCCTACCCCAAGCCCCTCAGCCCCTCAGTCCTGGATGTCTTGCTCCGAATACAACGCATCCCCTTGCTGCTGGCAAACATCGAAGTTGTCGACCTGGACGTGCTGCTGTTTAGGGTTTGTCGTTTAGGGTTTAGGGTTCAGGGTTTAGGGTTTAGGGTTTAGGATTTAGGGTTTAGGGTTTAGGGTTTGGGGTTTGGGGTTTGGGGTTTGGGGTTTAGGGTTTAGGCTGCGGGATGAGGATTGCGGGGTTGGGGTTGAGGGTCTGGACTTGAGGGTGTATGGGCCAGGGGCTTAGGGCTTAGGGTTCAAGGATTCAGGGCTGCTAGCCTGCGGGGTTTAGGCTGGCGTTTAGGGAGTTTAGGGGTTTGGGGCATATGCCGAATCCCTGTAGAGCCCTTAACGCACATGGTCAGTTCTCTAAATTACGGTGCCTTTTGCAAGTAAGAGGAGCTGCCGTATAAAAAGGAGCCCCAACGGGGACCATCTTATAGAGAAGTGACCACATGGTTTTCCCCCGCCTTCTCTCCCAGGTTCACGTTGGGGCAATCCACGTCGATGTCCAGGAGCTCGCACGTGAACTTGTTCCAGGAGGTTCCGGTCAGCGCCATAGCTTCCTGGAGGACTTTGGGGTTTCGACATCATATGGTGGCTTTCGAAGTTAGGGTATCCTACTATTTGGGAGTCTATTTCAGGGGTCCACTATTTTCGTAAAACCCCATAGTATGGGGCTTTCGATACCATTAGGGGGACTTTCTTGGAATGCTGTTACGGAGGAATCCAGTCTGGTGTACAGGGGGTGCGAGATTTTGGAACTTCCCATACACAGGTGTGGTGTGGTCAGGATGGCTTCGAAGCGCAAACGGAAAAACTCAGGTCAAAACTTAAGAAAGGGTTCGTAGGGTAAACAAGCTTGGTTGCAAGTGGCAACAACCCTGGAATCCTGACTGCACCGGAAGCAAACTTCTCACCCAAAACCCATGAGCTGCTTGTGGTTGCTCTTCCTGGCCTCCGGCAAACTAACGTCTTCGCGCGGTTAAAAAAACGGCGTATGCCTGAACTAGGACATCGCCCCGGCACCACCCCTTCACCACACTTCGTCTCGCTCAAAGCCGATCAGAAACATTGTTTTCAGGGCGCACGAGACTTTCGGCATCGCCACCCCTCCATAACTTACAGGTGCACTGCTCACTACTCATGATTTGTTACCCACCACAGGGTAGTCCCCGTCCCATAGTTCTCGCCGGCACATCTTTTAAGGGTGCCGCGCGATATATAGGGCTCAAAAGGGACCCTCATTTAGAATAAGCTACCCACACATGGTTGCTCGATTCGACCAGCAGGTCTTGGCGCCTTGGGCCTTAAAGGGCTTGAGGGCTTGGGCCTTGGGCCCGAGAGTTGAGAGACGACTGGTTTGTAGATTTGAAGTAACATGTTTTCCTAATGTTGTGGGACCCAATGGGCGGGTGGGTATTTCTCTAGAACTTCACAAGCTGCTTGACTAGTGAGTGCTTAGACTTGAGATGCTAGACCCGAAACCCTAAACCCCAAACCCTTTAAACTCTAAATCCCAAACCCCAAACCCCACCCCCTATACCCTGAACCCGAAACCCTAAACCCCAAACCCCAAACCCGAAACCCTAAACCCTTAACACCCAACCCTGAACCCTAAACGCTAAACACCTAGACCCGAAACCCTAAACCCCAAACCCCAGACCCCAAACCCTAAACCCCAAACCCCAAACCCTAAACCCTAAACACCTAGACCCTAAACCATGAAACCTTAAATCCTAAACCCCAAACCCTAAACCCTAAACCCTAAACACCTAGACCCTAAACCCGAAACCCCAAACCACAGGGCTAAACCCTAAATCCTAAACCCCAAACCCTCAACCCTAAACACCTCGACCCAAAGCCCTAAACACCTAGACCCAAAGCCCTAAACCCCAAACCCCAAACCCTAAACCCTAAACCCCAAACCCTAAACCCTAAACCCCAAACCCTGAGCCGATCCTGGAAGACCTCGGAATCGGAGCCGTGCACCGACTTCGTCGCCTCCTCGAGGGCCCACGTGTCGCAGTCCTCCTCATCCGGCCTAAGGCGACTTCAGGGGGTTGGTTTAGGGTTTAGGGTTTAGGGTTTAGGGTTTAGGGTTTAGGGTTTTTAGGGTTTAGGGTTTTTAGGGTTTAGGGTTTAGGGTTTAGGGTTTAGGGTTTTTTGGGTTTAGGGTTTAGGGTTTAGGGTTTTTTGGGTTTAGGGTTCAGGGTTCAGGGTTTCGGCCTCCACGGCTCAATTTCCCTAACCCCGAAACCCTAAACGCCAAACCCTAAACCCTAAACCCTAAACCCTAAACCCTAAACCCTAAACCCTAAACCCTAAACCCTAAACCCTAAACCCTTAATTTGAAGCCCAGCTGCGGGCACAGGGCCTTCTTGCTCTCCGCGGCCCTTTGCACGCCACCTGCCGCGTGGCACCTGCACGCACCGAAAGGTTTCGGGTAGTTCCTGAACACTAAACCCTAAACCCTAAACCCTAGACCCTAAACCCTAAACCCTAAACCCTGTTCCAGGTTTAAGGTGGGGAAGTTCCTGTTCAACGCAAATCGCAAAGTCGAGACACCCGCAGATCGAGCGAAATCATGTAAAAGAAGGCAGAAGTTAAGACGCCACCGGAAAAATGAGAGGGGGGGGGCTTGCACATTTGAACTGGGCCAACTGGGTAGCCTAAACCCTAAACCCCTAAACCCTAAACCCTTCCTTGCGTAACGGTCTCCTCGCAAAAAGGAACTGTGCATCAGGCCGCGCGCCTGGTTTGCAGCGCCTCTTTGGCGCTTCTCGTCTTGTGCACCTCAGCAACCAGATGATGGACAGGGTGCTCTTTTTTGGGGTTGGGTACTGTATAAGGGAACCTAGGGCAGCAGGAAAAGGCAAAACCCCAAACCCCAAACCCAAACCCCAAACCCCAAACCCCAAACCCCAAACCCTAAACCCTAAACCCTAAGCCCTAAACCCTAAACCCAAAAAAAGGTACCCCTGGGCGACCAAGGCACAGACATGCTGGTTGCGGCCTTAGTGCAGCCGTCCTTGCCGACGCCGGTCCAGCAAATGCCCCCGGACATCTGCGCGACTTTGCAATCTGACGGGGGAGCCCAAAGAGCCCAACAACCCCCTTAAGTAAGGAATATACCCTTAAGCAGGGTTTAGGGTTTAGGGTTTAGGGTTTAAGGTTTAGGGTTTAGGGTTTAGGGTTGAGGGTTGAGGGTTGAGGGTTGAGGGTTGAGGGTTTAGGGTTTAGGGTTTAGGGTTCCAAGAAATCCCCTTAAGTAGGGAATGTGCCCTTATAACCATATTAAGGATCCTTATATAGTTTGAGGTATATTTCGTAAGTAAGGGGTATTGGGCTCTCTGGGAACATTCGTATGGTCAGTTCTCCAAGTTCTGGCCCCCTTTTGGGGTACCGGGTTTAGGGTTTAGGGTTTAGGATTTAGGGTTTAGGGTTTAGGGTTTAGGGTTTAGGGTTTAGGGTTTAGGGAAGATCCCCCCCCACCACAGCCCTTTGAAAATGGAACCCGGTTGCAATCTGATCGGGGACTGTGACATCAACAAGAGGGTTTACGGTTTAGGGTTTAGGGTTTAGGGTTTAGGGTTTAGGGTTTAGGGTTTAGGGCAAGATAGGCTGCACTACATTAGCTTTCGTCTGGGAGCCTTTGTCCACGAAGCAAGCCTTCCTGCATGTCTCTGCGTCCTTCATCTCGGGATAAGCACCCATGTCGTTGCAGAGAGAGGATGCAACATGCTCTTGCCACGCGTCTGGCTGGTACTTGGTGATGTCCCCGCACGTCACAGGCCCGCTCACAGAAGACACGCTCACGATCCGGTAGTACCCGTCATCTCTGGTGAAGCGGCATTTTCCACGCTTCCGCTCTTCATCGAGTATGACCTAAGATCTCTGTGTTTTTGTATCAGTGTTGCCTGAGATGTGAATCACAACACTATATGGAGAAAACGAGAATAAGGGACGCCTAATATAGACCCCAAATAGTAGGATTCCCTTATAGTAAGGACCCCATTAAGGTACCCCTAAAATCGCAAACCCCCCATATTGACTTTGAGGATTTATCTTCTCGTTCACACCTTCTCCCCAACCATTTAAAAACGCTGTGAAGAGATCAGAGGCTACCCCCTTAGATCGCCAAGGGGCGAAGGACCAACGGACGCAACGGCTGCAAGCACTTTGACACAACCTGGGCGCCACTTCCCGCCCCTCGACCCTGAACCTGAAACCCTAGAGCCCCTGGAGCCGTCAACCATAAACCCTAAACCCTAAAGGCCCTTCGTAAACCCTAAAAGGCCCCAAAACCCTAAGGCCCTTGCTAGAGTTCAGAGCTTAGGGTGGTTCGGCCCATAGCTTCAGCTCTGCAAGCTTCAGACCGCTTCTGCGCGGCAACAACAGCAAAGAAGGATCTCTCGTGCATAATACGAATAATAAGATCTATCCTTATTCTCAGCATTTGTGTTTATTGCCTTTCACGTTGTTCATTGTCAGCGCTTTTTTGAGCAACGTGCAATAGCTGGAGCACTTGCGCAGGAATGACGAGGACGACCCGCCATGCCTACAACATGAACTCGTCCCAAGCCCGGAGCCCCCTCAAGAAGAACTAAAACCCCAAAACCCTAAGCCCTAAACCCTAAACCCTAAACCCTAAACAGAGCCCCGGCGGCTTCTGGCACTCGAAGGGGTTGCTGACCTCCCCGTAGCGGGAGGAGATGTCACTGCAGATCTCCTTCTCCGCCGGAAGCCTGGGCTGGCGATAATCCAGGGTTTAGGATTTAGGGTTTAGGGCTTAGGGCTTAGGGTTTAGGGTTTAGGGTTTAGGGTTTAGGGGGTTTAAGGGTTTTGGGGGTTTTGGGGGTTTTGGGGGGTTATTGTAGTATCAATATAAAGGGACTATAAAGGAATATTTTTAGTAGTTATTCCGACCTGGATATTAAACAGCGGCAAGCAGTAGGGGATAGGATTAGAGGGACGCTTGGGGCTATAGACCCTCTCAATGAGGTCCCTGTTCAAACAAGCCAGAAGAGGGTTGAGAAGGGCTCCCCTTTAAGGGTCCCCATTAGCCTCCAAGAACGCACTGCCCCAACTCCCAGTTGTGTGGCCATGTGTATAACCCGGCGTGGCCGCCTGGACGTTCCTGTTGTGCCAGCATGCTTCCAGTTTCTTCGTATGGCCAACCCAACTTCCAGCCCCAAAATCCGAGCACGCCCACCCACCCAACCTTGTTCAACCTGGGAACTGTTTCATGCAAGGACTGAGGCCCGACACCTAGTCATTCCATTCCAACCCACCACTAAAACCCTAAACCCCAATGATCAAGGGACCCTTATAAGGGACCTTAGGGTTGTTTGGGGGTTCGTTAGGGGCTACTTAGGTTGATAGACACTATATAAGGTAGATATAGGGGGTATATAGGGGAATAAGATTCAGGGCCCTATACCCCTTCAAATGACGTCCCAGGAGCTCTGTGCCATAGGAGAAACAGAAGCCGGCCTCCTGCTTCGTCAACCTGGGGCGGTGATTTCGGACAGGCTTGGAGGCTTCCAGTGTTTAGGGTTCAGGGTTCAGGGTTTAGGGTTTAGGGCTTGGGGTTTGGGGTTTAGGGTTTTGGGTTCAAGGTTCAGGGTTTAAGTTTTTGGTTAAGAGTTTAGGGTTTAGGGTTGAGGGGTCCCATAATGCTCGGGGTGTTCTTTGGGGAGAGGCTTGAGCTTGGCGTCTCTATGTTCCCACAACCCTTAAGCCCTAAACCGAGGCTCTCAAATGGGTCATTCTCCAAATTAGGGTCTCTTTTGGGGTTTGGGGCTCTGTATGATAAGGATGCCGTACTATATACAGGACCCTAAACCCTAAACCCTAAACCCTAAACCCCCTAAACCCCCTAAACCCCCTAAACCCCCTAAACCCCCTAAACCCTAAACCCCCTAAACCCCCTAAACCCTAAACCCTAATTTGAGAGAACTGCCCAAATTCACGCGCAGGAGCTCGTAGGCTTTCTCGATGGAGCCCAGGAAGCTGACCTCCAGATCAGCCGCCATTTAGGGTTTAGGGTTCAAGGGGTTTAGGGTTCAAGGGGTTTAGGGTTTAGGGTTTAGGGTTTAGGGTTTAGGGTTTAGGGTTTAGGGTTTAGGGTTTAGGGTTTAGGGTTTCGAGTAACGTTGAACCCTGAACCCTAAACCCCATAAGGCCCTGAACCCCCAAACCCTACTTGCCCAGCTCGAGCTCTAGGGTTGTCCCCAAACCCTAAACCCTAAACCCTAAACCCTAAACCGTTGTGTAGGGAGCTACGGAATTTCGGCCCCACTGGCGTCTGAGCCCACCAAGGCAGATAAATCCGCGTCTTCCGCATGCGGCTTCTTGAGGTCATCGAAGAAGATTGCCTAGGTTGGCCCTTTAAGCCATCTGAAACATGTTCCTACAGAGGATCCTCTGAAAACCCGAAACCCGAAACCCTAAACCCAAAACCCTGAACCCCAAACCCTACACCTCAAACCCCAATAAGGGACAAATATAAACTCTCCCAACAAGGGCCCGCCCAGCTGCTGGGGTCGGAAGCATGTTCAGGATGGGGTCTAGGAGCTTCTTGATGGGGGCGCCAACCGCTTCGATGAGCCTGAGGGGGCGGAGGAAGGGGGGGATAGAGTTTAGGGTTTAGGGTTTAGGGCTTAGGGTTGAGGGTTTAGGGTCGTAACACCACCCAGGGTCTTGGGATTCAGGTCTCCTGCCCTATCATAGGGTCTTGGGATTCAGGTCTCCTGCCCTACCATAGCACAAATTAGGCACCTTTAACCCTCAACCCTACACCTACACCCTAAACCGCATGAAAAGCGTCATAATCTTCGCCTAGGATCGGCTTGAAGGGGCTCAGCGCGAAGTTGAAGATCTTCTCCAGAAAGCCCGTCAAGGCTTTTAGCAGATCCCGCATGGAAAACTCGAAGCAGGTGAAGATAATACACACCCTTAGCGCAAGTGGGGATTCCAGAAGTTAGGGGTACCTTGTTGGGCCCTTAATAGAAGGGAATTATACTATTTGGAGGTCTATATGAATATTCCTGATTTTCGAAAACCCGCAAATCCACCCCCCCCCCCCCATGGCCAACCCCACCCCCCCCCACCCACCCCCCGAACCTTTGCTTCTTCACTTTTGAGGGGGGTTGAAACGACATGCTGATTAAGGCCTCCTCTGACTCTTGGTTAGCAGAGAACGAGGGAATCAGGGCCATATATATATATATATAATTTTTAAGGGATTATTTCGGGTACCGCATCCCCCCCTTCCCTACAAACCAACAGTAAGTCCTTGGCCGCACACTCAGTGTTCGCAACCCCCCTAGTACCCCCAAAAAACTGGAATCTCCACCCTAAACCCGAAACCCTTGCTTTACTCAGTGGGCTCCAAGGGTCTTGTGGTCGTCGAAAAGCGCCGTCTTGAAGCCTCCCGCAGGTGCCACGGTTCTAGAGCTTAGGTTCATGGTTTGGGGCTGAGGGCTTCGGGTTCAGGTCCTAGGGGTTCAGGGATTAGGGGTTGGGGGTTCCGGACTTAGGGGTTGAGGGCCTCTCGTGGGCGCCATGATGATGTCGAAGAAGTTGTTGATCTGCGCGATCTTTGTCATCACCTTCTCGGGTATCAAGCCATTGACCCAGCCAATGGCGTCCCTCACGACATCCGTAGCCACGCCTGCCCAAAAACAACAACCTACAGACAGCAGACCCTGAACGCCCTAAACCCTCAAACCTCAAAGCCCTAAACAAGAATACTGTCCTAAAACACCAGACAGAAAGACTTCCCCCCATTTTCTGGTAGATATCTACAGTAGACCCTACAAACCCTGAACCCCTAAACAACCCAACTAAACCCAAAAAAACTGGCGCCGGCCTGCCATCTTGTCCGCCACAAGAAGCCCCTTCAGTGCCTTGGCCGCCCACCGTGCGGGAGTTTCCGAAAGAGGGGATTCCTACAATGAGAAGTTTGGTTTTTGGGGATTCTATTCTGAGGATTCCTACAATAAGGATTCCAGTATTTTGGGGACTCCTACAATGAGGATTCTCGTATTTTGGGAGATAAAGGGGTAATAACTGGGCTGCGAAGATGCCGTGTTGGTGATGAGCGTCAAGGGGGGCAACCACGCGCACACCATCATAGCGATGCCCACAAGCTCGGCAGCTTTGTTTGCCTTTGGTGGCCCCCCTAAACCCTAAACCATAAACCATAAACCCTGAACCCTAAACCCTAAACCCTAACCCTAAACCCTAAACCCTGCACCCAAAACCCATGTGGCCCTTTCTTGGTACGCGAAACTCTGGGGAGCAAGGCATGATAGAGGGAAGGGGGGGCAGGATGGCGGATCGGCCTCCTTCGGAAGGATTCTACTCTATATGTGGGGGCAGGACGTAGGGCTTCGGGTTTAGGGTCTAGGGTTCAGCGTCAAGGGTCAAGGGTTTAGGGTTTAGGATGGGTTTAGGGTTTAGGGTCTCGGGTTGTGTTGAAGGGAAGCTCTGGTGCTAAAAGCACCCGGGCCGCTCGCTTGCGTTAGCATGTAGTCCCACCCCAACCACCCAAACTATTCTCATTTAGGGTTTAGGGTTCACCCCCCAAACCCCCTCAAGGGGGGCTTTCTTGCTTTTTACAGAGAAAGAGCAGGGTGGGGCCTCCCGAGCTTTGTGGAGCCTGTGTGGCTCGTAGGCTTCTTGGAGCTTTCACGGAGTAAAATGGAGGGGTACCAAAAACCATCGATTGCAATACAAAAAACCCAACATGTTCATTACGGGTCTGGGCAAACCCCGCCCAAAACGCTAAAAAGAAGCAGGGGCCTCGGCCGGCCCCTGCTTGCAAAGTCAAAAGGTGCAGAGAGCTTCCTAGAGGGGTCCCAGGCAGGTCCAGAAGGTCCCAGCGGGTGCCAGAGAGGGGTGCCAGGTCAGGTGGCGCGAATGGGCGGGCTCTGGAATCTGCCAGCCCGGTGGCTGCAGGCCCCGTCTACCGGGAGGCTTTACCCTCCCTCACCGTTCTGTGGAGACGCTGGGTCGGTGACCTCGGTCGAAGCCTCGAGCGCCCATGTAAATGGACAGCGGCGCTCTCAGCAGTTTAGGGTTTAGGGTTTAGGGTTCAGGGTTCAGGGTTTAGGGTTTAGGGTTTAGGGTTTAGGGTTTAGGGTTTTGGGTTTAGGGTTTAGGGTTTAGGGTTTAGGGTTTAGGGTTTAGGGTTTAGGGTTCAGGGTTCAGGGTTTAGGGTTCGGCATCTCAAGTCCAAGCATTCACTAGTCAAGCAGCTTGTCAAGGGTTGGAGAAAAAAAACACCCACCCAAGAAACCCATAACATTCAGAAAATATAGAGTTCACTCAATACTTTCTCAGGGCCCAAACTCCTTTGCCCCAAACTCAAACCCTAAGCAACCTGTAGAGCTCTAACCCTATGCCCTAAACCCTAGGGACCCTAAACGCTATGCCCCAAACCCCAGGCCCGGGCTGGGTCCCAAACCCTATATGCCCCAAACCCTACAGCTCAAACCCTATGCCCCTAGGACCCTGAAAGGGAGCCTATGTGGGGGGGGACCCCAGGATTCGGCCAAAAGTGGCCGATTCCAGCTGAGTTTCAAATAGAATTTTATATGGCAGAAATGACCACCTTGTTTTTCAGATTCTGGTTCAGGGCCCAGGACAAGAAAGCAACATGCCGACGAAGTGTGTCAGGGTTTATGGCCCAGAAAAGATTATGCCGAAGAAACCCATTAGGGTTTAACATATACATAGTAAGAGAGGGTTTAGGATTTCGGGCTTAGCGTTGGAAACTGCACTGGAACTGAAATCCGAAAAAGAAGTAACATCTTGTAAAATCGCACCCACGTCGCGGGATACGCCTGCATCTTCAGCACCGGGATGGCCTCGATGGCGTATCGGACGTACCTCGTGACGTTCGCGTGGTAGACGCAGCCTTTGTTGAACTTGGGCATAAAGGTGTGGTTGAGCTTGTGTCGTATTGGGACAAGCTCGTCGTTGATGAAGTCTTCCTTGGAAGCCCAGCAGCCATATGATGCTGAGGGTGCCCCTCTATTATTTTCCGGGGGTTGGGCTGCCTTCCTTTGTATAAGGGAGCCTGGAACCCAAAAGGGGCAAAAGGGGACCGCTGGGCTACCAAGCTTCGATTTGCAAGATCGGCTTCTTTATCAACTTCGCGAGCCACCCCACCAAGGGCAGGTTCGAGACCAACCGGACCATGGTGCTGAGGAACCATGCCGTGTCCTTGACTCATGACCCCGTAAACCCCATAATAAACCTTATAACCCTAAACCCTAAACCCTAAACCCTTCGCCGCAGATCCACCCGACCCTAAGTGCCCCGTCGACTCCAACAGTCCTTCAAGTTGGTGATGAACTGGATGATCTCCCCAGCTCCTGTTTCTGGCACTCGCTGACATGTATGCAGGGCGTAGGGTTGAGGGTTTAGGAATCTGCACAAGGCTCTCTAACATTCTAGTCCTTGGGAAAACCCTAAAGCCCCCTTTTAGGACGTGGGTGGGCGGGGGGAGGGGGAGCCGGAGCCAGTGCGTCCAGCCGAGTGCTAAGCAATCCATGACATCCTTGGGTACAGCCACTACAGAACCCTCAACCCCCAAACCCCTAAAGTTCCCATCAGCCCGACAAAATTCCTAATGCAGACTCTTGCCAATCCTGCCCTTTCCCGGATGGTACTGCTACAAACTTCGAGGAGTGTCTCTCTCTCTCTCTCTCTCTCTCTCTTTCGACGTGGCTTCTCCATGTGGAGGAGTGTAGTGGCGATTCATTGATATGGCAGAGGGGTGTGGCAGCCTGTGCCCCAAGACCCTCAGGCATAAACCCTAAACCCTAAACCCTAAACCCTAAACCCTGAACCCTAAACCCGGGGGCAGGTCAAGGCTTCGCTTACGCTCTGACCCTCCGGTGCCTCCCCTGAGCTTGCAGAGCAGCTTCCCGAACTCGTCAAACATACCTAAGGTGCGTAGGGCTTAAGGGTTTAGGGTTTAGGGTTTAGGGTTTAGGGTTTAGGGCTTAGGGTTTAGGGTTTAGGGTTTAGGGTTTAGGGTTTAGGGTTTAGGGTTTAGGGTTTAGGGTTTAGGGTTTAGGGTTTAGGGTTTAGGGTTTAGGGTTTAGGGTTTAGCTTAGGGTTTAGGGTGCTTCAACATGCCTAAGGTGCCTAGGGCTTAGGGGACTCCAAAAAGAACCCGAAACCGGCACTTAGCCCTTAACCCTAAACCCTAAACCCTAAACCCTAACCCCAAAACCCTAATCCTCTATATGCCTCCTTACCTCATGTAAAGGGTTCTGAAGTATGGGCGTTTGGGTTGTATAGGGGTATTTAGGGGGTGTATAGGGAGTCCCATTGAAGGAAGAGTGGATGCGCACCCTCAACCCTAAACCCTAAACCCTGAACCCTAAACCCTAAACCCTAAACCCTAAACCTAAACCCTAACCCCTAACCCCTAAACCCTAAACCCTAAAACCCTAAACCCTAAACCCATCCTAGATACCGTAGAGGTTGCCATCCCTTAGTTTCTTGGCATTCTCGTAGGCAAGGTCCAGGTCGTCAGCGAGGCCCGTCGACAACGGGCACAGGGGATTGCCTAGGTCGCCCCCTCTGAGTTTAGAGTTTGGGTTTAGAGTTTAGGGTTTAGGGTTTAGGGTTTAGGGTTTCGGGTTTGGGGTTTGGGGTTTAGGGTTTAGGGTTTAGGGTTCGGGGTTTAGGGGTTTAGGGGTTAGGGGTTAGGGGTTAGGGGTTAGGGTTAGGGGTAGGGTTAGGGGTTAGGGGTTAGGGGTTAGGGGTTAGGGGTTAGGGGTTAGGGGTTAGGGGTGGGGTTAGGGGTTAGGGTTAGGGTAGGGGTTAGGGGTTCGGGTTAGGGGTTTAGGGGTTAGGGGTTAGGGGTTAGGGGTTAGGGGTTAGGGGTTAGGGGTTAGGGGTTAGGGGTTAGGGGTTAGGGGTTAGGGGTTAGGGGTTAGGGGTTAGGGGTTTAGGGTTTCGAATGGCTTTTGCTACATAAGATCCTCTCAAACGCAACAGTTCAGGCAAACTGACAGCTGTTTTCAGGGCCTACCAAGTTACCCAGCGTCCCGTCTCCGTAGAGCATGGCGATGGCTCCATTCGCCGCTTTCTCCTTTGCCTTCCACATGGCTTTGTCCATTTCCCGTTGATCCCCTATCGCCGCCTTTTTGTAGACTCCTGTTCCCTTCATCTTTGTGTGAATGCCCCCCGGGTCGAGAGCTTTATCGATAAGTGGGATTTGTCGCAGGAACTCGGCGCTGAACTGCTGAAGCTCACGCACGCCCGCATCCAAGACGGCCTGTGTCTCGGCAAGGTCGATCTCGGTGTCACTCCGAGTCGTAACATCCTCCTCAAGAAGGATGATACCGCCGGGATAGGATCCCGACTCGCCATTGCTAAGTGTGCTGCCCTCAGCTCCAAAAGTTGGCCAGAAGGCATGCAGCAGCAGGTTGTTGAGAGCCCGGGTGTCTTTGGACACCTTGGCCGCCAGCGTGACGCTCACCTCGTGAAAGAGGCGCCTCACCGTTCCGTGATAGAGAAGCCGGGCGCGATTCCTTGGTGCCTCCCCACCAGTCTCGGGGACCTTGGATGAACAGATCCGAAGCAGGGGAGAGCTCCTGCTGCCCAGCCTACTCTTGAGGGTTCCGGACGTAATTGCCCGGCGTAGCCCTGGACAAACAGCCAGGATGCCCTAGCTAACAATGGCACCATGCTCACTTGGCGACTCCGAGTGTGTACCGACCGACTCCTCTTGCCGAGAGTCTGAGCAAGATGCGACTTGCTGGTCGAGGAAAGAAGCCAAGGATGCCTCGCCAGCACCGAGATGCGTTTCAGGTGGGGGAAAGAAAGGTTCTGAGCACCAAAGCCCTCAATCCGCAAACGCCTCGAGGGTTTCCTAACTCTTCAACTCTTCCGGCCTGGACTACACCACATAACTCTAAACCCATGACTTTGCCTGCAACCAGGCCGCACTAGAAGAGACCATTTTAGGTAAGGCAGCAAGGGGGTCTCTGGTTGAGGAATAACGGTTGGGGATTTGGGGTTCAGGAGGTTCCGAAATGGGACGTAAGGTATAAAACCGACATGACGAGGCGTTGAATCAATCCTCTAGTAGAGGTTTGAGGGAGAACTTGACACAACGACATGCGGGATTCCTCCAACGGCTCAACGAACTTCGTGCGGAACCATCCCAGCATCCTCTCTTGATCCTGGCTGACACCACATCAACGTCCAAAGCCAACAAAAGAGTTTAGGGTTTAGGGCTCCGGGTTTAGGGTTTAGGGTTTTGGGTTTAGGGTTTAGGGTTCGCATCCACTCTTCCTTCAATGGGACTCCCCATACACCCCCTAAATACATACAACCCAAACGCCCATACTTCAGAACCATTTACATGAGGTAAGGAGCCATATTAAGGATTGGGGTTTAGGGTTTAGGGTTTAGGGTTTAGGGTTTAGGGTTTAGGGTTTAGGGTTTAGGGTTTAGGGTTTAGGGTTTAGGTTCTAGGGACCATGTAGCTACCTAGACCCCCAAGCCTGCAGTCGCCTTATCCAGCGCAAACAGGGGGTTAAGGGGTAAGTATGCCATGTGGATTTAGGGTTTAGGGTTTAGGGTCTAGGGTTTAGGGTTTAGGGTTTAGGGTTTAGGGTTTAGGGTTTAGGGTTTAGGGTTTAAAGTTAATGGTGTAACTAAATTTGCCTTGCGTTAGGTGCCCAATACCCTCAACCCAGTCCTCGGCCGTAATGCCGGTGTCATTCACGAGCGCGAGGTCCTGTGGACAGAGCAGAGTAACTGCGGATCTTCCCCTGCCCGCCGCCAAAACATGAACCTGAACCCTAAATCCTAAACCCTAAATCCTAAACCTTAAACCCTAAACCCACAAGGGCAGACATCCACCCCCAGACGCCCCGCCTCCAGGTGCATCTGCAAGGTGCGACTGGCCTCTCATTGTCGCCCTAAACCCTAAACCCTGAACCCTAAACCTCATACCCTAAACCCTGAATCCTAAACCCTAAACCATGCAGCCAAGAAATGCACCGTGAGGAGCTTTCTTGAGGGCTTGGGGTATAGGGTTGTTGTGGTGGCCCATGATCCGCCAAGTTTACCGAGAACTTGCCACACGAGTTTCTGATTTCTTGCCCCTAAACCCTAAATCTACAAATCCAGACAGTGCCACGCACCCCACATGGGAGGGGGTTCTCTTCGAAGTTGCTTCTGGTCTCTTTTGGAGCCTTTCCATCTTGCCGAAACTCCGGAAAGCTTAGGGCGCCAATGAGGGCCCAAAATCCCACTTCTCCCGGTAGCCTCGAGGCATGAACCGGGTTTGGGTTTTGGGTTCAGGGTTGCTTCGACTGCCAGCCCCACACCCCACATCGCCAAACCTCCCCCCCTTCCCCCTTCCCCCGTGAAGCAAAAAACGAACCCTGCTGCAACGAAGCGGCCCGAGCAGTTTCTTTCTCCATGTCCGCCTTCACTGCCGCTGCCTTGGTTCGGGGTTGAAGATTTAGGGCTGAGGGGTAAGGGAGCTAGGGTGTTCGAGCAGAGCCCTAAACCCGAAGAAGCCTTCAACAACATTTTGTCAACAATCCGTACCGTATAAAGTACTGCACATTCTGCTGCGTGAAATGCTGGAAGAATCAAGCGCGAAATGCAAGCTGCAACAATCGATCATGCCAATCAAAGCTGCAACAAGCAATCGGAAAGCATGCACATGTCTCTCCATTGTAGCAGCTGATCCCTCACAGAAACTCGCTCTGCCTGACAGCATAAGGGATGACAGCATAGGGGGCAAAGGGTGGGGGGGGGATGGGGGGATGGGGGGGATGGGGGGGATTGGGGGGATTGGGGGGATGGGGCTGGGATGGGGCTGGGATGGGGCTGGGATGGGGCTGGGATGGGGGGGAGGGGATGGGTGGGGATGGGGGGGACGGGGGGGATGGGTGGGGATGGGGGGGATGGGGATGGGGGGTTGGGGGGGGGGGGGGGCGTTCTTATCAGGGAATGACACGTGACACGTGGCTCTGTGGTCACGCTAGACCCAGCGGAGGAGGAATGCTTGTCAAGGCTACGCACTGAGATAAGATGATGACCTGTACTTCAAATAATCAAACGGATCGCTTCATAATATGCGAAAACCTCGAAAAGCTTGGGAATCCGAGAGAAAGCGAAAATCCAGTGTGGGAAGAAAAGTTTACGTTGTGAGAGAGGTCCTGGGGAGATTTCGGGGGGGGCAATCGCTGAAAATTTAAGACAGGCGGAGGCGGAAGGGGATATGCCGATGAGGAAGCTGGGGCAGGGAGGGGAGGAAGCTCGAGTGTAGAAAACGAGTTTCGAAATCCGGGGTGGAAGGATTGGTTTCTAGAAACTTCAAGCTTGGGATGTCCCATATACTAACAGTCCTTAGTAGCGATTATAATACCCCTGTTATAATCACTATTATAATCCTGTTAAGGACTGTTAGTTAAGGGTACCCCCGATTCCAACTTCAAACCTTCAAATCGAGTTTAAGAGAAGAAGAGGGTGAGAGAGGGGAAGTGTTCGAAGCCTTCATCCGGTCCTTGCCAAGCAAGTCAACTCAGCAGCAGGGTTTAGGGTCTAGGGTCTAGGGTTTAAGGTTCAGGGTTTCGGGTTTCGGGTTTAGGGTTTAGAGTCTCGGGTTTGGGGTGCAGAACAAGCGCTGGTTGGCTTGCATGTACATGCCCAACCCCTAAACCCTAAACCTTGAACCCTAAATCCCAAAGCCCTAAACCCACTGAATGGCATCCTCGTTACCATGGCACCCTTCTGGATGCTTCTCATGGCGCGGCAGTGGGCCTGGGAGCTGTTCGCCGCTGCCCGGGCAAGCATGAGGGTGAGCTCGTCACCCTTCCTTTCTTCCAGAGAATCAGCAACATCTAGGCGAAGGCTTTAAGCCCCACAAGCTGCTAAACCTGTAAACCCGAACCTAAACCCTAAACCCTAAAGCCTCTCTTCAAACGAAAGTAATCATTATATGAAGTAGGGTACATATTTCTTGTACCCCAAAAAGACACCAAAGGCATACACTCACCAACATTAAAAAGGAACCTTATATACACTCACCAAAAGCAGAAATATAAACCCTGCTTCATATAGAAGTTTGTCGAGGCCAGGTTCGATCTCAGCCGCCCGAGCTTGAAAACTCGCAGCTCTGGCGCCGTCATCGCTTCCTGCACCTCGCTCAGGGCGTGGGCCCCAAAATCTGCCTTGGCAGTCCGGGTGGATCCTTCAACTGAATATCTTCAACAACCCCTAAGCCCTAAGCCCTAAACCCGTAACCCCAAACCCTGAACCCTAAACCCCTGTTGCCTGAAAAAGTCTGTACATGTAACGTACTGTTATACAAAGCTGCGATTTTCTTGGCGACCCTTCTTTGGCCGAAATCCCGACAAAAAAACCGCAAGCCTTCCACCCTAAGCCCAAATCTACCCGAAAAGGCCTGCTGAGCCTACCAATTCGCAGGGCTTAGGCTTAGGGTTTAGGGCTTAGGGTTTAGGGTTTAGAATTTAGAGTTTAGGCTTTAGGCTTTAGGCTTTAGGCTTTAGGCTTTAGGCTTTAGGCTTTAGGCTTTAGGCTTTAGGCTTTAGGCTTTAGGCTTTAGGGTTTAGGGTTTAGGATTTGGGTTTTGGGTTTTAGGTTTTGGGTTTTGGGTTTAGGGTTTTTATTGAACACCCGAGCTGCCAGGAACTCCGAAAGGTCGTTGGCGGACTCCAAACAGCGGCCCGGGCAGGGCTTTGGGTCGCTGCTCAGGGCGTCCGCATACGCCTCCTGTGCTTCCTCCCGGCTGTGCTTAGGGTTTAGGGTTTTAGGGTTTTAGGGTTTAGGTTTTAAGGTCTCGGGTTTAGGGTTTAGGGTTTAGGGTTTAGGGTTTAGGGTTTAGGGTTTAGGGTTTAGGGCCTTTAGGGTTTAGGGTTGTAAGGTTTGGGGTTTCCCTCAACACTGCACCCTACATACACCCCAAATCCTATGTCCTATGTTCGGTCTTCAGGCACGGACAGCACGCCGCAAGGGCACAGAGAGATCAACCAGGATCGTCCTAGCCCTAAACCCCAAACCCTAAACCCTAAACCCTGAACCCTAAAACCTAAACCCTAAACCCTAAAACCTAAACCCTAAACCCTAAACCCTGAACTAGACCCACGGTCTCCCCTTCGTAAGACACCCTGAGCCCTAAACCCTAAACCCCCGAAACAGAAAAACGTGCTTTGTAGGTAAAGTTTGAATGGACTTGTGGGGAAAGTTCAGGTGTATGGTGGGTTTACCATATTAGGGGGTACCTTGTTGGGGTCCTTACCTATTTAAGGGGTCTATGTCTGGGGTCTATATGTACATTAATAATAGCTCAACCCTCATCCCTAGACCCTAAATCCCTAAAACCTAAACCCCCTAAAACCCGATTCCCTAAACCCTAAACCCTAGACCCCTAAACTCCTAAGCCCTAACCCCAAAAACCCCTAAACCAACCCCAAATCCCCCAAGCCCCAAACCCCCAAAACCCTCATCCGAGGCGTGCTCAGGTCCTGCTCATCGGCCCACAAGGCTGCCTCGACTTGCCGCCGGAGGTCCTCCTGCAGCGACTGGAGGACCTGTCAGAGAGGACCCTCTTAGGGTTTAGGGTTTAGGGTTTGGGGTTTAGGGTTAGGGTTTAGGGTTTAGGGTTTTGGGTTTAGGGTTTTGGGTTTAGAGTTTAGGGTTTAGGGTTTGGGGGAATCTTAGGGGGGAGGAGAGCACAGGATCCCAAAAAGTCAGCTGCAACGCGTAAAGAAAGCAAAGAGGAATCTCAAGGAGGCCTCACAGTGTACATTCTCTAGGCCTGGGAGTCTCGGATTTCAGGAGTCTGGGGACGCCCCTAAACCCTACACCCTAAACCCTACACCCTAAACCCTACACCCTAAACCCTTAAACCCCAAACCTGAAACCTACGCCCTACACCCGAAACCCAAACTCATCAATCGAGACCCAGGAGCAATGTCATCCTGGGGTGCCAGGTCGAAGGTCTGGAAGGCCGCCCGCACGTGCCCGAGCGCCCCCGCGTCGCGGCACTTCTCCCGGATCAGCGCTCGGATGTTCTGGGAGATCTCTGCCGGCCAGGAGCCTGTGCCCATGGCCACTTGGCTTTCTTGGTTGCCTTTAACCCCCCAATAAAAGTTTAACTTTTCGCTCCCTGAATATGAAATTAGAGGAACCCTACACTTATAAAGTGATAAAAGTTGTAGTGAAGTCCCACCCAGCTTCGAGTTGCTTCCAGGACCTTCTTCAAGGTTCCCTGCGCCACGGCTTCGACGGCACCCGGAGGGGAAGCCTCCGTTGAGACGGGCGGCACCTGCAATTTTTGGAGCCTCTCGGAGACCTTTGCGACAAAGTTTTTGAGACCGGCAGACATCCGGCCGAAGATCACCTGCTCGGCCAGGGAAGACTGCGCCTCCGAAACGATCTTGGATGTCTCAGAGCGCCAGTGGCCCGTCCTAACGGAGCATGATAACACTGCAATGTATACGAGCTCTTGATCGGGAATTGGGGACTTAGGTACCTCAAATCCCTATATACTAACAAGCAGGGAGGCAAGGGAAATTTGACTGCACTCTCACACCTTTGGTGACCACTTCTCTGAAGAGAAGAGCCGTTTGAAGCCCTAGCCCTAAACCCGAAACCCTAAACCCTAAACCCTAAACCCCGGGTCCTCAGCTGCATCAAGGCCTTTCCAGAGGATTTCTTCACATGAGCCGCCAGAGCCTCTGCAGATTCGCCCGCAACGGTGGCGACCGCCTTGATGGCTTTTGCTGCGGCCTCATCCAAGTGTTGGAGCACCTGCAAGATGTCAATGGGTTTAGGGTTCAGGGTTTAGGGTTTAGGGTGTAGGGTTTAGGGTTTAGGGTTGATGTAAGTGGTAGGGCAAACCAAGGATAGGGGTCTTAGGAATTAGGAGTTGCGTTTTCGGGGGTGATTAATGCGAAAGTACGTAGGGACCGTAGCGACCCGCTGTATTCAACGACATCCTTAACCCGCAGGGCTTGCCCTTCAGGGCACGTGCCATTGGCAAAGCATGCGTCGGGTGAAGTTGAGTCGGTTTGGCGGTGTCCAACCCCCTGTGCACAACGATGTTGGAAGGCCCGGCAGGGCAAAAAAGATGTTTACGCCATCGGCGGCTCCGGGCGGATCCGGCAGAACTTTTTCGAGCGCGTTTGGGGTTGCCAAACCGGATACCAAGAACACTGCGACTAGCAGCAAAACCCAATAGTACCAGTAGAGTTTCTTAATACGTTCAGGGATTTCGGTTCTGCGAGTTCACCTGGACACCACACACAAGATCCTCAAGCCGTCTTGGGTCACGTCCACGCAGACACACGCCCACACCGCACCACACCACTCCACACGCACACACACACACACCACACCATCACACACCACACAGCAAACAACAGGAACCCTGTCGACATTCCAAAGGTTGGCCTCGCCTCTCTCATGGCTCTTTCTGCCTGCTTCTTTGCGAGATCGGTTCCCATCGCGCTGACTTTGACCGTCTCGTCAAGCTTCACCGACGCAAAGGAGAGGGTCTGCGAGGTCAGCTTGCCAAGCTCCTCTGGCTGGTGCTTCGTAGGGAATGAGGGAATGAGGTACCCTAGATCTTCCCTTAAAGGGTATGTAATGGGGCCCTAATTCCCTCCGTCCGACTCATTCCCCCTACTAAGAACCAGGGGCTCCTTGGAAAGGCCCTAAACCCTAAACCCTAAACCCTGGACCCTAAACCCTAAACCCTAAACCCTAAACCCCAAACCCAGCTCCTTGGAAAGCACCTGTCGGGGAGCGTTCAGGAGCTGCTCCACAATCTGGTCTTCCTCGCTCTGAAGACTCTCGGAGATTTCCTGCACGATCCTCGCCACGGAAGCTCTGCTCAGGAGCAGGACCTGCCCAGTGGTTAGGTTTTAGGGTTTAGGGTTTAGGGTTTAGGGTTTAAGGTTTAGGGTTTAGGGTGTAGGGTTTAGGGTTTGGGGTTTCGGGTTTAGGGTTTAGGGTTTAGGGTGCCCAGCGGTTCTTAGCTGAGATTCAGTGGCAGGTACAAGTAGGGTTGCAAGTACCCTAAGTGAGGTTCCAGGCATAATTACCACACTTATAACCCCTCTTCTCACTACTTAGGAACCTCCAGGGCAGGAGTTAGGTACCTCATACTCATCTGTTCATGTCACCCTGCCCTCAACCCCACAGTTCCCCATCTAACCTCAAGGTTCCCTTATTAAACCTCCAGGTTCCCTCAACCCGGAACCCAAAAACCCCCTAACCTGGGGTTTAGGGTTTAGGATTTATAGGGCTTAGGGTTTAGGGCTTAGGGCTTAGGGTTTGGGGTTTAGGGTTTAGGGTTTGGGTTTTCGGGTTTAGGGCTAGCCAGCAAGGCCTTGGCCCGCGCTTCGCGCTGGAGCCGCTCGCCGACGCCCGCCTTCTCCTCGGCGCTGAGTCCCAGAGCCAAAGCTCCTCGGAGGTCTTCAGAACAGCCACGGTAGAAATTAAGGAGGAGAATGATCACGGGGTTTAGGGTTCAGGGTTTAGGGTTTAGGATTTAGGGTTTAGGGTTTAGGGTTTAGGGTCGGGTAGTACTAGCATTGAGAGTATTACTCTAGAAGGAAGTGATGATCATGGTCAAGAATGGATCGCAAGATTCTGATCGAAAGAGCCCGTCACCACGAGCGCGATTTGTCGAAGGCCTATCATACTATGTCATACTGCTACCGGGTATGCTTGCTGGGCTGGCTTACAAAGGCAAGGCAAGGGCAATGCCCTCTGCAAAGAAGACTCCGTCATCGAGAAGCTTCTGCAGCTGCCGGCTGACCGTCTGAGTTCCGGCGGTCATCAGCAGAGAGACGGCGCCGGAGGTCACGGCTGTGCCGTCCTCCGATTCCAGGTGGGACTTGCTCTGCACCTGAGGCCGGAGATGTCAGACCAAACCCCTTGAGTAGGGCTACGAAGAAGGACATTCCACTTAGAGTCCCTTCTCATTGTACTCTCTGTACCTACGTCGTAAGTCCCCCCATCCTCCAGGCGCCCGTGTCAGGCCGAGCTGCGTCCCCCCCCCTTGCCGAGCCAGCTCTCTGCGAAGCAATCTCCGCAACGAGGGTGTCAATATGGCCTGACTTGCAGCTCCCTTATATAATCAACAAACAAAAAAGCAAAAACAATATCAATATCAATCTCACTATCTATATCTATATCTATATCAATATCTATATTATAAAAATATATATATATATGTATACTTTGTACATATATATATATATATGTATACTTTGTACATTGAAGAATAAGCAAAAGCATCCCCATTAAGCAGTCTCTTAAGTTACGACAACGGATTGACCACAAACCCTAAACCCCAAACCCTAAACCCTGAACCCTAAACCCCAAGCCCGAAACCCTTTTGGGGACAGGAGGGAGGCTGGCCGGGCTAACTTTCGCGGCAGGGCGCCTGCCCGATGCAAAGAATGCACCATGTCCTTCTCCGACAACCAAGGAATAGAAAGAGGGTTTAAGGTTTAGGGCTCAGGGTTCAGGGTTTAGGGTTAGGGGTTAGGGTTTAGGGTTTAGGCTTTAGGGTTTAGGAGGGTTTAGGGTTTAGGGTTTAGGGCTTAGGGTTTAGGGTTTAGGGTTTAGGGTTCAGGGTTTAGGGTTTAGGGTTTAGGGCGATTCCGACAAAGTCTGAAAGCCCGAAAAAAAAACGTAAAGTTCATCATTCTGGCCGAGCGTCTGCGCCCAACGCGAGGAGCTTGTCCTTCTCCTGCTGCGCCAGGGCGAAGTCCAAGAAGCTGAAATGCAGCGTCTCACCCGTCTCCGCCTCCAGCATGCGGGCCACCGCACCCACGCGGCTTTGCAAGTGCTCTGCATCGTCCACCTCCTGGGCCCCAAGGGGTTTAGGGATTGGGGGTTTAGGGGTTTAGGGGTTAGGGTTTTGGGTGTAGGGTGTAGGGTGTAGGGTTTAGGGTTTAGGGTTTAGGGTTTAGGGTTTAGGGTTTAGGGTTTAGGGTTTAGGGTTTAGGGTTTAGGGTTCAGCCGGAAGGAAAATCAAGGGTACCTTTATGGTTCAAAGGGGTGTGCCTAGACCCCCTTGCGCAGACAACAAGGTCGTTCAAAAGGGCAGAAGGGAACCAAAGTTAGGCTACGCGAACCCTAACACCGAAACCTTATAAACCCTAGACCCTAGACCCTAGGCCCCCCAAAAAAAGAAGAAGAAGGCCACGCTCTGAAAACCAAGTATCTTTTGCTGCATCTTCCTGCATGAGGACACCATACCTCTGGGAGCTTTTGGGGGACGGCAGGCCCTGATGAAGGAGCTCCACGGTCACCTTCACCACACTGTTCGCCACCGCATTGAGGACTTCGCTGAAGAATGGGGTCTTCGTGTGGTTCCACAGGGCCCAGCGGCTCTGATCCCGAACTTTCTGGATCAAGCTCAGCTGAAATCCTAAGTTCTTGTTAAGGAGCTCAAGTTAGGTTGCCAGGAATGGGTTTCATAGAAAAATAAACGCAATGGCACGGCAACGTAATTTCATGCGTTTCCCTACTACCCCCCTCTATACAAGCCCCCCTAGGTTCCCCCCTGAAATAACCTGAAGTAGGCTTAATTACCCCGAAAATAGCCTAGCTCCCAAACAAGAACCCAGAATCTTCCTTCCTTCAAATTGGCGCCCGCGGCCCCGGGGACCTGAAACTCAGGAGCGGTGCTGGATTCATCTTGCCTGGAAGTGGATTCAGGCTTTAGGGATTACTTGGAGGTTCATGGCACTTATTAATCAATTATAACTGTACTTATGACCCACTTATAAGCCCCTTAAGTGCCCTAATATGGTTGTCGTTGGGTTATAAGTACAGCTAGTATTGGGTAGATAAGTACCCTGAACCTTAAACGAGATGCAAGGCTTGTCTAGAGCCGAAACATTGTAACCTAAACGCCCCAAGTAAAGGATGGGGACAAAAGTGTAGCGTAGCTGAACCTTGAGATGCTGGGACAAGCCCTAGTCCCCTAGGGTTTAGGGTGTAGGGTTTAGGGTTTAGGGGTTAGGGTTTAGGGTTTAGGGTTTAGGGTTTAGGGTTTTAGGGTTTAGGGTTTAGGGTTTAGGGTTTAGGGTTTAGGGTTAGGGTTTTAGGGTTTAGGGTTTTCACCAGACAAGGGGCGGAGATGCCAGAGCTGCCACTGGCACCTTCACATGGGTGCTAGACCCCTGGGACCCTAAGACCCTAAGACCCTAAGACCCTAAAACCCTAAAACCCTAAGACCCTAAACCCTAAGACCCTAAACCCCTAAGACCCTTTGACCCTAAACCATGGGCCTCTTCCTCTGGCCTGTGGCCAAGAGCGAAAGAAATCGGCTTCAGCAGCTCCCTGGAGCGTCTGAAACGGGCTTAGGGTTGAGGGATTTGGGTTTTGAAGGGTTTTTCGAAAATTTGAGCTCCCTTTCGTGCGTTGAAGAGGAATCCTATGTTTAAGGTGCTTTAAGTTGAAGCGAGTCCCTCAATCTTGGAAGGCTGTTCAGTTCTGATGTTGTCACACCATGAAAGATACTGTAGAAACAAAAAGCGGCTGCTGCCAACGCTTTGATACGACTCCTCAGACAACTACGATACTCCTTTTAAGGCCTAAGCCCTCCACCGTGAACCCACCCCCCCTTCAACTGAAACTTTTTTTGGGTTTACGAGAATAAGGGGACCCCCGACGTGGACCCCGAACTAATCGGATCCCTAAGAAGGACCCCAATCAGGCACCCCCGAATATCGTATAAACCCCCCATTTGGTACGTTGGCTACCAAGAACGGCCCAGCTGCGGGTTTTTCAGGAGATCCCGCGCGAGGCCCTCCGAAGCGGCGTCGGCATACTGCGAGATCATGTCGAGGGTCTCCGGGAGCTTCTCCGTGTCGAGCCACTCCAGGAGCTCCCTTCGAAGAAAGGGCTGCGATTCCAACAGTCTGCTCTACAGGTGTCTGGGATGTAGGGTTGAGTCTCGGCGAAGAGTGGACATGTGTCTATGTGTGCCTGTGTGTGTGCGTGCACGTGCTGCACCGGCGCTGCGCACATGAACGCACGCGGCACGTGCGGAACAGGTCGGGAAACGCAGTCAAGCCGCGTCTTCAGATGCTTCTTCTGCTCCACACGGCCTTGCTCACCCATCAGCGTCTCCAGCGAGGGCATGGTGGGGTCAGGCGCCTCCGGCTCCTTGCGCTTGCGCGACTGCCGCTTTCGCAGCAGGAACAAGTCGACCGAGTCCTCCCCGTCATCTTCCTCGTCCGAGTCCTCGGAGCCCAAGGCCTGGCAGGACTCCGGCTGACCCCGATGCTCGGGCATCACCTCCGGGTGAAAGGCGGCCACGTGGTCGCACCCGAACTGGCTTGCGTCGAACACGCACTTGCCGTCCTCGTCGTTGGCCTTGAAGCCTTGCTAAGAAGCCCAATCCGACTCCCTAGAAAAAAGAACGCAACAAAGAAATCCGCAAATCGTCAACTCAACAACTGCGAAAGCTGGGCAGCAGTCAGGGCAGCCTTGGACGCACACGGATCTGCCGTCCACGTGCGTGAAGAGCTTCAAGGGAACCGGACAAGCCCGACACTGGTCCTCGGAGGGGCCCGCGCAGTGGAGACAGCCGGCAGCGCAGGGGTTGCAGGCGGCAGAGATGGTGGAGGCTTCGACGTCGATGTCAATCTGGAAGGCAAAATAGGACTCAGGGCATTCGGGCCCAAGGCCTGTGCCCTTCTCAGCAAAAGCAATGACCGTCTCCTCTTTGCTGTACAGCCGGTGCTCTTCGATAGGTGAGGGGCCCGTTTTCTTCGGCGCCTTCGGCGTCATGGCCTTCACCTCATCGTCGTCACTGGACTGGCTGTTGATCACATTCTCGAGCTCCGCCTGGACCGCCTTGAGCGGGTCCTCGCCTGCATGCGTCAAAGCGAGCAGCTCCAGGAGAGCTCCTCGAGCTGAGGAGGGCGGCGCCCGAGAGGCGCGAGCGGCGCGCGGGGAGGTCGGAGCCTTGGGGCTTGCACGCTTCGAAGCCCACGGAACATCGAATTGCAGCAGCGAGGACACGTTGCCCGCGGTCGCGTTCGGCGGTGCCTCACAGTGGCCCGGGACCAAGGGGCAGTCGGACTTCACGCAGTAGCCTGCCCCACAAACCAAGTTGAAGACTGCTGCTCAAGGCTTAGGTTTAGGGGCTTCGTCTGTATAGCCATTCTGTGCCAGTGTCTATGCACATGACCACAGGCCACCCAAAAAAAAAACACCCCCCACCCCAGCCCACGCACAGCCCCGCCCTAAACTCAAACGAAACCTTGAACCGCAAGCGCTGCCACTTACCCTAAACCCTAAACCCTCAATCCTAAACCCCACACCCTAAACCCTAAACTCCCCTTGGCCCAAGTTCTTGCAAGCAGCGGTCTTGGGCCACCTCGGGTGCCGGGTCCAGCTTGCGGCAGCTGCGCTGCGTGGGGAGGGGCCGAAAACGCTGCTGCTTGCCGACCCCACACCTTTGAGGGTTAGGGTTTAGGGTTTAGGGTTTAGGGTTTAGGGTTTAGGGTTTAGGGTTTAGGGTTTAGGGTTTAGGGTTTAGGGTTTAGGTTTAGGGTTTAGGGTTTAGGGTTTGGGGGGTTGGGGGCTGGGGTTTGGGGTTTAGGGTTTGGGGTGTTGGGAAACAGTCAATACTTCTGGGGGCTGCGCCGTGCTCAGCACTTCAATCAAGAACGGATTCGTTCTGCCATTCGTTCTGCCCTTCTCTCTGCCGCTTTGTTGAGGTTTCTTTGGGGGCTTTAGGGGCTAGGGGGTTTAGGCTTTAGGGTTTAGGGTTTAAGCTTTATGGTTTAGCTCAACTCTTCCAAGGCACGTCACGGAGCAGGGCTGCCATGCACCCCAGTCAGCCACCACGCAGGCGAGATCCTTGTAGACGGGCTCTTGCCACCTCTTGTCAGACGTGTCAGAGCATCCAAACCCCCAAACCCTAAACCCTGAGCATCAGGAGTGAAATCCTACGGAACTTAAGGCCCTTTGGCTTGATCCTACGCTTGAGGGCTAAACCCTAAACACCTAAACCCTAAACACACTAAACCCTAGACCCCAAAAGCCTAAACCCTAAGCCCGAAATCCGAACCCCTAACCCCTAAAACCCTGCACTCTACACTCTACACATGTGCTTTGTCTGTGACAAAAGCAAACAAGAAGAAGTGTTCTGCAAGAGTGGGCCAGGTGCATGCATCCCAGCTTCGAGATGCACTCCTGGAGGAAAGATCTTGGAGCTGTAGGGTTCAGGGTTCAGGGTTTAAGGGTTTAAGGGTTTAAAGCCTTAAGGCTTCAAGGGTTTACACCAGTCTGCCCCTTATCGCTTTCACCCAATCCCTAAGCCTAACTAAACCAAATCCTGAAACTAAAATCCTCGGCCCCCAGATTCTTATGTCCTAAGCCTTCTGAACCCGCAAAGCCACCAAGCCCCACAACCCAACAACCCGACAACCCCAAACCCCAAACCCTAAACCCTAAACCCCAAACCCCAAACCCTAAACCCTAAACCCTCCAAAATCCTACCCCAAAGCCCCCGCACCCCGAGGTCCTCGAAGTCCTCTGAAGAGCAGTCCACCTCCCAGGGGTTTAGGGTTTAGGGTTTAGGGTTTAGGGTTTAGGGTTTAGGGTTTAGGGTTTAGGGTTTAGGGTTTAGGGTTTAAGGCTTTGGGTTTAGGGTTTAGCCTAGCGTGTCAGGGTTCAGGGTTCAGGGTTCAGGGTTCAGGGTTCAGGGTTAGGGTTCAGGGTTCAGGGTTCAGGGTTCAGGGTTCGGGGTTTAGGGTTTAGGGTTTAGGGTTTAGGGCTTAGCCTAGCGGGTTTAGGGTTTAGGGTTCACAGAGTTCAGGGTTCTGGGCTTAGGGTTTAGGATTTAGGGTTTATGTAGGGTTTAGGGTTTTTCGGTTTGGGGTTGAGGGTTTAGGGTTTAGCCAAGCGGACCTCCGTGGGCTTCGGGCTGGTCTTGATCCAGTCCAGAGGCACAAACTGGAACCTGGCACAAAGGTTTTGGGTTTAGGGTTTAGGGTTCAGGGATACTGGGAGGTTGCATGGCGCCTTGAAACCCTAAACGCTGGGCCCTGAGGCCTTGAAACCCTAAACGCTGGGCCCTGAAACCCTAAACACAGGCCCTGAAGCCTGGAAACCCTAAACCCTGGGCCCTGAAACCCTAAACACAGGTCCCGAGGCCTTGAAACCCTAAACACAGGCCCTGACACCTTGAAACCCTAAACACTGGGCCCTGAACCCCTAAACACGGCCTTGAAACCCTAAACGCTGGGCCCTGAAACCCTAAACACAGGCCCCGAGGCCTTGAAACCCTAAACGCTGGGCCCTGAAAGCCTAAACACAGGCCCTGAAGGGGGGATTTTTACAATTGACGACCAGGTTTTGACAATTGCCGGCCAAGTTTTGACAATTGCCGGCCAAGTTTTGACAATTGCCGGCCAAGTTTTGACAATTGCCGGCCAACTTTCGACAATTCCGGCCCGTGAAATTGTCAAAAAGTTGGCCGGCAATTGTAACAGTGTCGAAAGTTGGCCGGCAATTGTCAAAAAGTTGGCCGGCAATTGCACAAAACAATTGCCGGCCAACTTTTGACAATTGCCGGCCAACTTTTTGACAACTGCCGGCCAAGCCATTAGGGTTTATATACATATGAAAGAGAGGTTTAGGGTTTAGGGTTTAGGGTCTAGAGTTTAGGGTTTAGGGTTTAGGGTTTAGGGTTTAGGGTTTAGGGTTTAGGGTTTAGGGTTTAGGGTTTAGGGTTTAGGGTTTAGGGTTTAGGGTTTAGGGTTTAGGGTTTAGGGTTTAGGGTTCAGGGTTTAGAGTTCGGGTTTAGGGTTGTAAAGCCATAAGGGTCCAAAGTAGTCTTTAGGACTTCAGGGTCTGGAGTTTGGGCATCAGGGGGTTTAGGGATTCGGAGTCCCTAAACCCTAAACCCTAAACCTTAAACCCTAAACCCTAAACTTAGGACGTCCAGCTATGCAATGGGCAGACATATCTGAAAATGCATTAATGGAGGAATAATGGAGGTCCAAAATGCAGAGCTTGACCTTCTCCATCGCAACAATGGGGGAAAAATGAAGACCCATTTCTCCTCCATTTTCTGGTTTCTGTATATAAAAGGCTGCATGATGGCTCCTACTTTTGTGTACGATATACACACATTTCATACATGCTCGGTAAATCCCCGTCTATTTTTTCGAGAGTCCCCGACACCGAAATTTATGGACGAGTCGCCTGCCATAAATAGCCGCAGCCGCAGCCCCCGAAATATGCAACCCCCTTCCCCATCCGCCTGTTGCTACTTAGGGGTGGGGGGGGCGGAGGGCCATGCAACCCACACGAGCATCTATCCTGGCCCCGGCATCCCAACCCTCATTTTACCTTCATTCCTGCGGTGAGGCCCAGGCCAGCCTCCATTTTTCCGGCATTCCTGACAAACGGCTACCTCCATTTTTCCTCCATTTTTCCTCCATTTTCCTTGCAAAAATGGAGGAAAAATGGAGGAATAATGGAGGAAAAATGGAGGCAAAATGGGGGCTGCCAGGAACCTCATTCCAGAATGGAGGCAGAATGGAGGCAGGAGTCCAGCCTCATTCTGCGGGCGACCCCCACCCGGCCCTACCGGGCATACCCCGGCACCCTTCTGCACTTCAAACTCGAACCGTTTGGAATCTCGACATTCAGACTGGCGTGCCCTGTAATTGTCCAGCTGCGCCGGTTTAAAGTAATGACGCAGATAAAGAAGTGCCAGGTTCTTGTTCACTAGACTTTTCAGCATCTGTCAGCTGTGATTTTGCTTTTGTGCCACACCTGCCTGGCGCTTGCGAGAAAAAGTGAGAAGCTAGAACGCCTTGATTTCGCCAGCATTCTTGATTGAGGCCAGGAATGGAGGCGGCTTTGCCTCCATTCCTCTACCCTCATTTTTTGGATGCTGCCCCCATTCTGCTATTCTGGGTGTCTGCAATGTTGGGCTTCATAACCCTAAACCCTAAACCCTCAAAAAAACCAGGGTTTTGGACTTAGGAAGCCAAGCGACGACATTGCCCAAACTGGGAGCACCCAGGAGGAGGGCACGGTCACCTGCACAGCACTCCAGGGGCTCAGGGGCTTTGAGTCTTCGGGTTTTTGGGGTTTTGGGGGTTGTTGTGGGGTTTTGGGATTAGGGATCAAGGGTTTTTTGGGGCCTAAGATTCTAGGAGCTTGGGAGCTTTTATCTTCGACTTCCTGTCACGTCCAAGCACCTCTTGTGACAATGGACAACCCTGGGTGTTAAGGTGCTTTTGTGGGTCTCACGGGGTTTGAAGGTCTTGCGGGTTGAGGGCTTTGGGGCTCTGGCAGGGCTTTCAGGAATCAATCCCAAACCCCAAACCCCTAACCCCTAACCCCAAACCCCAAACCCCAAACCCCAAACCCTAAACCCTAAACCCAGGAAAGGGAGGCTCCGCGTGCCCGGGAGAGCCTTTCAACTGCTCAAGGGGTTCGGTGCAGAGCCTTCCCATCCCAGAGTCGACGCACAATAGGGCTTAGGGTTTAGGGTTTAGGGTTCAGGGTTCAGGGTTTAGGGTTTAGGGTTCAGGGTTCAGGGTTCAGGGTTTAGGGTTTAGGGTTTAGGGTTTAGGGTTTAGGGTTTAGGGTTTAGGGTTTGGGGGTCTGCGGAGAGAACCCCCCCACCCCCCCCAGTAGACCCGCAATCCGCCCCCTTAGTATTGAACCCACCTAAACCATAACCCTAACCCCAAACCCCAAACCTTAACCCTAACCCTAAACCTTAACCCTAAGCCTTAACCCTAACCCTAAACCCTAAACCCTGACCCTAAACCCTAAATCTTAAACCCAGAACCCAGAAACCCTGTAAACCACATAAACCCAAGATTCCCTATACACTATCATACCTCAAGACCCCATGATCCTTCAAGCTGCATTGCACCGACCCTAAACCCCAAACTCGAAACCCTGAACCCTGAAGTCTAAACCCTAAACTCTAAACCCTAAACCCTAAACCCTAAACCCTAACCGCCACCTCCCCCACGTACTTGCTCTTGAAGCGCACTGTGATCTTGTCACCGGTGCTGTTGACCACCACTGCCGGGAGAGGATCTGGTGACTTCCTCACTCAAGGCTTTTCACCCGTCCACCCTAAACCCAAAACCCTAAACCCGAAACCCTAAACCCGAAACCCGAAACCCTAAACCCGAAACCCGAAACCCTGAACCCTAAAACCCACGTCCGGTTCAGGAGTGAAGCCCGGTGGGGCTTGGGCGACGGGTTTGCTTCTGACTACCAAAGCCGACTCCCAAAGCCCCCAAACTCCCCACCCTGATAGGGAAGATTGTTGATATTTTGGGCGGGGTTCTTAGTAAACTCCCCACTAGAGCTTGGAATGGGATAGGGTTTGTAGGGTTTGCAGAGTGTCTAGTGTTCATAAGGTTTGTACAGCTTGTAGGGTTTGAGGGTTCAATGCATCGCGAACCACTGTCCCAAAAGAGAAGAAAAGGTGCAGCAATGTGGGGCTTCAGGCATCTTAGCAACGATTTCACAACCCCCAAACCCTCAAACCAGAACCCTAAACCCCAAACCCTCAACCCAGAACCCTAAACCCTAAACCCCAAACCCTACACCCCAAACCCGGGGAAACCCTAAACCCTAAGCCTTTAAGCCCCAAACCCTGAACTCTCTCTGAAGGGTCCAAGGCTCGTCCCTGCGATGGGCAGGTGGGCCTTTACAGCCTCCTTCGGCGAGAAGGCCGCATCCTCCGTGGAGAGAAGCTGCACCTCGTGGGTGTTGGGGTTTCAATTCTAGGGTTCAGGTTTAGGGTTTAGATTTTGGGTTTAGGGTTTTAGGTTTAAAGTTTGGGGTTTAGGGTTTAGGGTTTAGGGTTTAGGGTTTAGGGTTTAATTTTTTAGGGGTTTTTAGGTTTTTAGGGTTTAGGGTCGAGGGTTTAGGGTTAGGGTTTAGGGTTTTTGGAGCGGAGAAGGATTTAGGGTTTGGGGGTGCAGCCCAAGGGGTTTGAGAAGCAAGAGTTTAGAATTTCCGGGTTCTTGGCTTGGGCTTTCTTTGGCTTAGATTAAACCCTAGACCCTAGACCCTAAACCCTAAACCCTAAAGATCTTGTAGGAGTGCACGGGGCTGCTTTGCAGGAGCTGAGGCTTCGTCGCAGCTCGGAGCGCTTGGCACCCTACCACCAGCACGTTTGAAGCACCTAGCTATGAACCCCTAAACCCTAAACCCTAAACCCTAAACTCTGGACCCTAAACCCTAAAGTCCTAACCCTAAGCCCTGAACGGGTCATCAGTCAACGAGGTCTGAGCACGCCTGAACCGACTTTCCCAGCAGTTGCTCCACCGTCGCCGTCGCCAGCTTGCTACTGCGCCTCCACACGAACGACTGGTTCTTTGGAATGTGTCAGCACACCCTAAACCCTAAACCCCAAAGCACAACCCTAAACCCTAAACCCTAAAGCCTAAACCGCAGAAAAAGAAAGGCACGCGACCAAGAAGGGACCAAAACATTTGGACAACTGGCCATATGGCGTAGTAAGATACCTGAAAAAGTTTAGGGTTTAGAGTTCCACTCTAAACGACGCTGGGATTTAACCAGGGTTCAGGACACCGAAAAGCTGAAACCTCCAAATTCCTAAAGTGCTGAATTCCCTACTTGGCATGCACACACACACAGACAGACACAGACAGACACACACACACACACACACACACACACACACACACACACACACACACACATATATATATATATATACATATACATATATTTTTTTTATCTACATTTATATTTTCCTCAAGTCTGCAACGTCCGCCTCGACAGCAAGCCTTCTTCGCGGTAGTAGGTGGAGACGACTTGTCCTAGAGGTGACGGGTCGACACTTTCCCTAAACCCTAAGCCCTAAACCCTAAACCCTAAACCTTCTCGGGTTTTGCAGCGTAGGGTTGAAGGTTTAAAGGTCATTGGCTTGGAGGCTCGCAAACCAAATCATGAATAGTAAGTGTCCCGTTGTGGTATAACAAAGTAGTGCAACAAGGGGAGGAGCAAGCAGGGTTTAAGGTTTCAACATCGGGGGTTTCCGAAAACAGGGTAACGTTTGTTTGGGGGTGCTCCGATACAAGGGTCATGGTATCTGGGGTTTAGTAGGGGGGTACCCCTAAACCCTGAACCCTGAACCGTGAACTCTAAGCCCTGACCCTAAATCCTAAACCTCAAACCCCAAACCCTAACTCTAAACCCTAAGCCCTAAACCCTAAACCCGATCTGCTCCTGGAGCAAAAGGCATCGCTTCGGGGCTGTCCGGGTCTTTCTTGCAGCAGGACGCGCACGGTACCTTGAGGGGGCTCACCTCGGGGGAGCTGATCACAAAAGAACTTGGGTTTAGGGTTCAGGGTTTAGGGTTCAGGGTTCAGGGTTTAGGGTTTAGGGTTTAGGGTTTAGGGTTTAGGGTCTAGGGTCTAGGGTCACAAAACAGAAACGATTTGGATTTAGTGCCTTTTATGGTTTAGGGTGACACACCTCTGACTGTCGGATAGATACTGTCCCAAAATCATGCAAACCCTAAACCCTAATGCCTAAGCCCTATAAACCACAAGCCCTGTAAACCAAAAGCCCTAAAGCCCCTAACCAGAACCCTTATAATCCCAGACCCTAAACCCTAAACCCTAAACCCTAAACCCTAAACCCTAAACCCTAAACCCTAAACCCTGCACCCCGGATCTGCCCAGTTGCCATACGCGTCGTGTTCAAGTCCACCGCACCTTCGCTTGCACTCGCAGGGGGCCAAGTCCACAACCCAACTCCAAACCTCTAATCTAAAGCGCCTAAAGCCACAAAAACTTCCCAAACCCCTAAACCCTGAACCCCCAAAAAACTCTTAAACCCCTAAACCTTAAACCCTAATCCCTAAACTTTCCTCAACCCCTTAATTCTAAAGCCCCTAAAGAAGCCTAAAGCGCATCCAAGTGGCTGGAGGACCCAGTGCCGGCATTCGCGGTGATGAGGGTGATAGCTTCATTATGGGGATCCTCGAAACTCGCAAACCCTAAACCCCAAACCCCAAACCCTAAACCCTAAACCCCAAACCCTAAACCCTAAACCTCCGTGCGCTAAGCGCAGTTGCACTGCGGAGCAGAAAGCCGCAGCTAAGGTCATCTAACCCACTAAACCCCAGACCCCTAAACCCTAAACCCTAAACCCTAAACCCCAAGACCCCTAAACCCCACGCATGTTGCCTGACTGCCGCGGACTCCTCTCGAACCCTTAAGGCTTTTTGAGCTTGATAGCCGCGCTGTCTTCACTAGGGTTTCGAGGGCTGAGGATCCGAAAGACCCTTGATGGGGGGCCATCTTTCACCCCCCAGAAGTCCTGGCGGTGCAATTTCTTCCCATCTGCTGCGACCTGACTCTGGGCTACGGGTTTAGGGTTTAGGGTTTAGGGTTTAGGGTTTAGGGTTTAGGGTTTAGGGTTTAGGGTTTAGGGTTTAGGGTTTAGGGTTTAGGGTTTAGGGTTTAGGGTTTAGGGTTTAGGGTTTAGGGTTTAAAACTTCGGGTTTTAGGGGGCTTGGGGTTGAGAGACCCGGGCATGCCAAACGAGACCCGTGACTTGCGACTTCGGCCTAGACAGGCCCAGAACTCTTGGTTCGCTGTGCTGAAGCGCCTATTTTAACTCAAGGGCGCTAGGGCTTTGGGGCATAGCACATGTCCCTTAATTACAGGGTTAGAGATAGGGGGAGGATAGCCACCTAATTTCCATACTCCCTGGAGAACCAGTAGCTTATTCAGTTGAAACTTTCGGGCATGCCGTGGTGAAACACACTGGTGGCCCAACAAGGTTTTGGGGTTTAGGGTTCAGGGCGCTGCTCTAAAACTTGAGATCCTTAGGCCCCCAACCCTAGAATTTAAACATCGGGTGATCATGCAGCGTGCCTGATTCTCAGAGAGCTGCGCCAAAGGCCCCCATTTTTGGGCTGTTGGATTTTCGGGCTTTGGGAGCTAGGGGGGCCATCACAGTGCCGAGACATTCTGGGAACTCCTCGCTGGGTGACTTCTTTGGGTTCGGTTTAGGCTTCAGTATGAAGAGCTTCGAGACTTCTTCAACCGGCTGACAAGAAAGGGCCCAGGAAAGGTGTTCTGACATGGGTTTCGGGATGAAAGAACCTGCCGAGATGCAGCAGCAGCAGCAACCAGCCAGAATCGGAATTGCTTCATAGTAGTCAGCCACTAATAGGTTGCCCTCGCAGCCTTTGTGGGCTTCGTACGGACTGGAAACACCCGTGCTTGAAACAACTTGCACGGCTGCGCAGCAACGTCAATCCATCAATGCTTCTGTGTTGAGTACAAAACACAAGAGGGTTTAGGGTTTAGGGTTCAGGGTTTAGGGTTTAGGGTTTTCCTAGGTGCACGGTTGCCAAGCGAATACTCTTCCAAGCCTTCAGATCTGAAACAGAGGGCCAATAGGGTTTAGGGTTTAGGGTTTAGGGTCCCGCTAACATCAATCGGCTGACCGTGCTTGATGTGTCTTTTTCTCGGCACTCTTTTGCAGGGATCTTCGGCCTTCCGGCCGCTGTGTTATGCCCCAGGCCGTGTACTCTTTGACGGCCCAGGCTCTGTCCCAGAGATGCGCAGTGAATTCTCAGCCCGAACCTCTAAACCCTACACGCTTTGGGACTGCAAAGGTGTTGACGTTTTCGGATGCGTAGGACCCGAAACCCGAAACCCCGAGCTGAGAGTTTGGAGATGCCAAGAGTCACAGAGGTGCCCAGCGTGGGGCGACCTGGGCCGGAGGCGAACAGACCGTGAAAACTTTAGGGTTTAGGGTTTAGGGTTTCGGGTTCCGGGATAGCTGGGATGTTTGGAATGGGCGTGGAGTGAGGGGCCAGGACCTAAACCCTAAACCCTAGACAACCCTAGACAACCCTAGACCCTAGACCCTAAACCCTAAACCCTAAACCCGAAACCCGAAACCCTAAACGACCCTAAACCCTAAACTACCCTAAACCCAAAACCCTAAACCCCTAATCAAGTGGTCCCTGCTGGTGTTTACCGGTGTCAGGTTCCTGGCTTGGGGCCCAAGCTTCTCATTCCGCAGCTCAGCCCAGGAATTGAGATGTGAAAATATGTGTTTATATATATATATATATATATATGTATATATGTATATATGTATATATGTATATATGTATATATATATATATGAACAATGTAACAATAAATGAAGGAACATAGTACAAGAGGCTATAACTTATAGAGCCTCTTGGGATGGAAGCAGGCAGTTGAGGGATCTATTTCTACGGCCTACATCTCGCAAGTTCTTTTGGCGCAGAGTGCAGCCTCCCTCGCTGTCAGCTTCTGGCGTCGCTCAGAACTGACGGAGGGCGTCTCCTTGGGGTTCTCTCTCCAGGTTTGCAGAGCTCGCAACCAAGGTGCAAGCGGAATATGGACAAGTACTTAGAGGTTCATGGGTACTTATAAGTAAGTTGATAAGTATGGCAAAAATGCCCATTTTAGGGTCCGACTTACAATTACCCCATGAACCTCCAAGCAGGCGTGGCAGTCATGGGCTCGCAGCCATATCCAGGAGGTGCCTGAGACGACCAACAGACCGTCGGGCCAAGCCCCACTTGCCCCGAGTACCGCGACGAAACTTCTGCCGTGCCATGTACGTGAGGTGGACTCCCAGGGCGTTGGGCCCCTCCAGCCCCCGCAGGCTGCGGTTGTAGTGGTGGTTCCGATCAGCCACCTGGTTCATGGCCCGGTCCCCCTGCCACTGATCCATCAACCGCCCCTTGGCATCTTGCAGCCGCTCGTTCTCTCCGCAAGCCAGGGCATTGAGGTAGGCATCTTGCCAGGGCTGAATCGCAAATGCCCGGGCCGGAAAGTGTGCCACAGGCTTCACCGCCAGCAACCTCTGCAAAGACCAGCTGCAGCGGCTGGCATTCATGGAGCGCAGGCAGAGCGAGCGCCGCCTTCCGGCCACATCTCGGACACTCGAGCACGAAGATGCTGCGGCACACATCTCAGCCATGATCCGAGAGCTCCTAGGCCTTCTGCTCCAACACTGCCCGTCTCACAGCACAGCCTGCAACCTACACTAAACCCTAAAGCCTAAACCCGAAACCCTAGACCCTAAACAACCCTAAACACTAAAGCCTAAACCCTCAACCCTGAACCCTAAACCCTGAACCCTAAACCCGAAACCCTAAACCCGCGCAACTTTGAGGCCCGATCTTGAGCTTCCGCGGCTCGTCTCTCCTTGAAGAAGCAGGCGCCCTGGGGGCCGAAAGGAATAGGGTTTTGGGTTTGGGGTTTAGGGTTGAGGGTTAAGGGTTAAGGGCTAAGGGCTAAGGGCTAAGGGCTAAGGGCTAAGGGCTAAGGGCTAAGGGCTTAGGGTTTAGGGTTTAGGGTTTAGGGTTTAGGGTTTAGGGTTTAGGGTGTAGGGTTTAGGGTTTAGGGTTTAGGGTTTAGGGTTTAGGGGTTAGGGGTTAGGGGTTTAGGAATTCGGGCTTAGGCCTTGGAACTTACGATTGAGGGTTTAGGGCCTGGGGTTTAGGTTTCAGGGAGAGGTTGGGTTGCTAAAGCTGTGGGCCCGTTTCGGAGCTCCCGAAGGGGGTTTGAGTTGTTTTGGGGTATGTATCGATATAGACAGATAGATATAGATAGATATATATGTATATATATATATATGTGGGCCTTGCCCAGAACAGACTATTTCCCTTATACACCCCCCCAAAGCAACAGTCCCTATTATAGTAACCCACGAAATGAGCACAGCCCATGTTTTTTTGGAAACCCTATTTCCACAGCAACCGGGCTGGGCAAGGCTCTTTGGGTCTCGGGCTTAGGGTTTAGGGTTTAGGGTTTAGGGCTTGAGGCTGAGGGCTGAGTGCTTACTCCCGGCGCGGCGGCTCCCGCCAACCCTACCCCGAGCTTTAAAACATGCTATAGACTACCCGGAAGTCCACGAGATCCATCGCGCCATTCATCACGACGTCCATCCATGCATCAACGATAACGAAGAACCTTTTCGAAGACCAAAAACGCTCGCCAGGCTTTCGGGAATAAACTAACAAAGTACATTTTTCTGATCTTGCTAACGCAATCTGAATTTCGATAGTATTCTCTCTCGAATTATGAGAAACATATGTGGAATGAATGACGTAGGACTCAGAGAGGGCGGCGCCCTCTTTTGAGAGAAAGAGCTTCTTGAAAGAGAAGTGGGACTCAAAATCGATGAAACCGAGGATACTTGGTCACAAACCAAACCTGTTGGTTCAACTGCTCACTGTACTGCGTTGAGCAAGAACCGCCCTAAACCCCAAGCCCTGAAATCTGAAACTCTGAAGCCCCAAATCCTTAAACCCCAAACCCTTAAGCCCCAAACCCCTAAACCCTAAACCCCAAACCCTTAAGCCCCGAACTCTTAAACCCTATGTTAAACCGTGGTCGGCCCGGTGGCTTGTCTCGTGGGGCGCCATGTCGGCGGCCTTCGTCGCCTTCCTCGCCTTCATGGCCTTCTGTTGCCGCGTCATGTGAGCCGGGCATGAAACAGGTTCAGGGCTAAGGCTTCTGGGGTTCTAGGGTTCTAGGGTTTTTGGGTTTGGGGTTTTCAGGGCTTAGGGAGGTTCAACTGACCGCGCGACAAAACTTGAACTTGCCTAGGGACTCTCTCAGCGGGTGATGTGAACGTGGAAGTTCTCTGTGTATCCAGTTCATGGTTGGGAAAGTTTAAATTTCTATTCCTTGTTGAGTTTAAGTACCCTGAAAATGTTACCCCGCTGTGACAAAGTTATGTCAACACAGCCGTTGCAAGGCATGTGGCATGGAATGGCACTGATGTTCTGGATGAAGCAAAGGAAACAGATGGGATTCAAGCTTCTTGTCTTCATGGGGGAACTCGTCCTAATCATGGCCATGGGGGGTTTCTGTGCGCCTAGTTGGTGAAAGCGCCTGCAGCTCACGTAGCTCAAGTCCCCCGATGAACATAAGCACTGTGGCTCCAGTCCTAGTCCTGCTGATTTCGCGCGGGTGCCTACCTACTGGGCAAAGGTAAGCACACACCTTGTCCGGGTCCCGATTTTCATTCCTTAGAGCCTAATTCTTTTGATGTTCGCGCACAGCGTCGGCCAAGGTCGTGCTGTTGGTTGTGCCATGGTTTGAAGGATTGACCGAGTCAAATTGCTCAGAAAGGCTGTGATGCTGACGCTGTTAGGGGGGTGGGGGGGGCACGTGGGCCGACGCCGCGAGCATAAACTGTGTGGCTGAGTGGGTGGTTGCTAGAGCCACTACACAAGGCTCTACAACGTCAAGCCAACAATTCTCATCCATTCCAAAAAGACCAAGGTTCTCTTCTGCACGAAGGCTCCCTCCCCTCCTACTTTTCCTTCAGGTCTAAGGAATTTTAAAAAGAAATGCAGGCCGGAAGCCCGCTTCCAGGCAGGGTGAGACCCCAAAGGAGAACCGAAGCATGTACATGAAGCAAAACTCAAGTGATCTGAGAACCGAGTTTCTAACAATGTAAGGTCCATGGCCATGGCCCCTTCTAAAGATAGCTACATCTTAACTTAAGCACGAGTTACTAAAGCAGTCCAGAAGGAAGGAATGTCTCACACTCCAAGGTGCACCAAAGGCTAGTTGCGATATGGGGGTTTCCGATATAGGTAATTACCCTTTGTGGGGGGTCCTTTAAGGGGATTCTATTCTATTTGGGGTATAGAAGGGGTGCCCCTATTTTGGGAAATGCCAAAATGACCTAAACTCTAACCTGTCACATGGCCGAGGGGCACGTCTAGGTGATGCTTCGCCTCGGCCGGCTGCGCAGCCCCTGGCGAGAATCCACAAGTCGGCAAGCTGTTGACATGCTGATGGCAAGGTACTTAAGCATTGACAGTTTCAGGGTTCAGGGCTTCGCGTGTAAGGTTCAGGGTGGGGATAGCCCCCACCAAGATGCAGCAGGGATCAGTTTGACAAAGCGCAATCAGTACAGTGGTTGCAACGCGAAACCCAAACGAAATACTCCAAGCCACCGACACTCAGAGTGGATTCGGCAAGCACAACTGGGCGGGGGGGGGTGCGACCCTGAGGCCGGAAGCAAGGGAGCAGAAAGAGTTGGCTTTCGCAAACCGCGCATCGATTCTTCTAGTCTACTATAGGGGCCTAACCAACTAGAATCGGGGCTTTGGGTAGAGTGTATTCGGGTACTATGAGGTCTATAAAGAGCGTTAACCCCTAAACCCATTCTATGCCCAGGGGCCGCCTTCCCTCTGACCCAACCTTGCCTGTCTCCGCGCCCCCGGCTCCAACAGTCCAACGTTTCGGGTCTGTTTATGGGGTTCTTAAGGGACGGGGGGGTTCAAGGGGCTATGTAACACAAGGTTCCCTAATACTCCCCACTTCTCCCTAAGGCTCCCTAAACTTCGCTGAGGTTCCCCAGGTACCTACCACGCGTGAACTCCCCCACCTTAAGAGTTGGGCTCCTTATTAAAAGGGAATCATGGGGATCCTACTATTTAGTGATCTACATTTGGGGTCCCCTACTCTCCTAAGCCCCTATTTGGGTTTACGTGAATCACTCCCAGAGCCGAATCCCCTCGCCGGGGCCTTCCAGCTGTTGTCTAGACGGACCTGACAGTGGAGCCGCCGCAACCATGGCAGGAAGGCAAACTTCACAACCAAGAAACCAACCCTAAAACTGCAACAGACCAAAACAAAACAAAAAAACAAAACCCTAAAGCCCTAAAAAAAGCACAAGATCCTAGAAAGCCTAAAGCCCTGAGAACCCTTGAAAACCTAAACAGCCTGAAATCTTGAAACCCTTGAAAATACTAAGAACCCCAAATGGTTGAGGGTGCTTTTAGGCTCTTTCGGGTGTGTACCCTGAACCTAAACCCAAACCCTCAAAAACCTGAACCCAAAAACCAACAAACCATGTGGGATTGTTCACAAAGAGCTTCTCAAAGCCTACGCTAGGGGGAAGGTACTGGAGGGTCTGCAGGTTGGGAGTCCAGAGTTGGCGTTCTCGCACGCTCGCAGGAACCATCCAATCCGAACCACCGTGGCCCAGGACAGCAAACAAGACGCAACCATGGCTCGGGCTGTCGGTTAGGTCCAAACCCGAGGCCCTAAGCCCTCAACCCTCAACCAAATTCTTGGCCCTCCTGAGTGTGTGCTTTCCGTTTCCATTGCATGTGCCCCTAAGCTGGCCAGAGTTAGGCTTCTCTGCACTGGACCCAACTCCAAGATCGTGAAAAACCCCAAGTCCTGTTCACCTGCTAAAGTAGCTTGCAATACTAGGTTACCGTTGAGGAATGCGAAGAAACCAAAATCAAGGTACCATAGAGGGAAGCCGATATTGTTTTATATATATATATATGTATACCCGTACTGTGGTAACTTAATTTGCATCCCTTAAACCAGGACCCCGCCGGGTTGCAATGCTCCCGCATTCATGCTCAAGGCAACCTGCAACCCAAATCCAGGACCACATGCCCAGGCACGACAGTGAGAGTAACGTTGTCACCACCCGAGACCTCAAGAAAACATTTTTTGGGCATGGGCTTTTGGGCTTTCTTCGAAAGCTCAAGGCATCTGGCATCCGTGCTCCTGAAGCTCTACACGATACACCTGGTTGCTTCCTTGCTGGATGGGAGCCCCAAAGACTTACCAGAAATGCGCGGATTCCTCCGATTTCACCCGAAGAGATGGGATCCTCTTTCCCTGACCAGAGCTTGCACTGCTGAAGCACCCCCGGCTAGGACGCTTGTACTTTTTTGCAGGGTTCTGGGCGGTTCGCCCTACACCCTAAACCCTAAGCCCTAAAACGGCGGTTGGGGTCTGAATCCAGGCACTGACTGCTGGTGGGTTGGGGGGCGGGGTGGGGACGGGGTGGGGGCGGGGGGGGGGCAAGGGGGTGGGGTGGTGGGGGGGGAGGAGCTCCGGGCCATTTACAAAGTCCCCATCCCCACTGACAAACTATTTACAATCCATTTGCCAGGAACATGGAAGCTGTGGCCCTCTGAGTGCTCAAGGCCACAATACTCTGCCCATATTCAGGGCTCAGGGCTCAGGGTTTTTTTTTGGGGCTAATTTAAGGGTTGTTTAGGGTTCAGGGTTTAGGGTTGAGGGGAAGCCTGGCGGCCAGTCTTTCCGGCACAAAAACCTACAACTCCCAAGCTACTTCGGAGGGCCCATAAATATATATATATATATATATTTATATATATATATGTATGTATATGTATGCATATATGTATATATAGAAATAAATATACCAAGGGTTCACGGAGATGGCACCCTGTTGCTAAGTAAGAGGGTTTCTTGACTATGGCAGCTGAATTTATGCCACTTCACTGGAACCCAGTGCTAAACCCTACCCAATCCGTCTAAGAAGGATTGACAACACCGAGCCATCGGCACAGCTGCTGACCAATGCCTCTGCCGTCTCTGCATCCTCCCCGAATTTAGGGTTGAGGCTTTAGGCTCTATTTCGGGTGTGCAGTTGGGGTATAATCCTTTGTCTCGCGCAGGAGCCCGGAAACCTGTTCCTCCCGGAAGCCCGGGAGCCCGGAAGCCCGGGAGCCCGAAAGTCGGAAGCTCCGGACCCCGGAAGCCCATGAAGAGAAGTTTGCGCATCAAAAGGTACGGACCAAGTTCAACCCGTCATGTGAGTATCTTCGCTTAGAAAAAAGCTGGGCGCCTCCTTCTCCCGAAGCCCGCGCTCTCTACAACATCCTCTTTGTAAACCGGTGCCAGCCGGTGCAAGCTCGATGTGTAACGACAGCATCCCATGAAGAGGGCTTGCATGGTAAACATACGAAGCCTTTCCAAGCCCTCCCCCGCTTTGTATCAATCGTTTTTCAATCTAGAATTTGTGTTTGCACATGGGGGTGGGGCTCCTCTTTTTTGTTTAATGAAAATTTCAGCATTTCAAACCTTTGTAGAAAGCTCATGCCATGAAGAGGACTTGGTGGAGGCTTTTTCCCTTAAGGTTGGCCCTGTCTGGTTTTCCTTGCTACCTTTGCTCCCCCCTTCCTGGCTTTAAATGCGCAATACAGCATGCATTTCCCAAGAGGACGTGCATTGTTAAAATATACGAACCTTGTTCCAACCCTTCATACAAGCATTGCATCTGTTTTGCAAATGGGTGGGTGCGCCGCTCCCAACCCCCCTGCTGTCGTTTAATTTTCTGAACCCACGCAGGCTTGCTTTGTAAAGAACATTAGCCCATGAAGTGGATCAAACACATACGAAGCCTTTCGAAAACCTGTCATGCGAGCACCGTGCTTGCAAATGGGAAAGCTGCGCCCCCAACCCCCCCACCCACCCCCGATCTGTTGCTAAGCTTGCTTGGTCAGCACATGACGACTTTTCCTACGAAAGCTCTCCAAACCTTTCATGCACGCGCTCTGTTTTCAGCCTTCCAAGCTTATCTTGCTTTGTAATCAAGATCAGGCCATGAAGTGGACTCGCATTAAACAACATTTTTTGGAGGTTCTCCTGAAAAAAAAGTTACAGCCCCCTCACAAAGTAGTGGTGTCTGAGGAATATAGAAAGGCTTCCTATCCAAAATATGGGAGAAAACAGAAAATCTTAAGGAAAGACCCCCAAAAACTCGCGAGCCCGGGAAACCTGGAGGTTGCTAGCCCGGGAACCCGGAGCACGAAAGGCGATATGCTGCCTAGTACTACAATCGTGGTTGCCACAGCCTTCTTGCGAAAACCGATCAATCGATGCACCCCGCTTCCTTGCTAAGCGTACCCTTTAAACCCTACAACCTAAACCCTAGAAGTCGAAACCGACCCCAAAACCCGTAGACCATACGCCTTCGGTGATCCCCAGGAACATCATAGGACCCCAAAAGGAGCTATCTTGTACCCATGGCCACAGCTAGTGGATGGGGGGAACGACCTGTGCAAACCCCTATACCCCAAACCCTAGACCCCGAAACCCTTAAGCCCAAGCCCCTGAACCCTTCCAAGCCCCAAACCCTAAACCCTGAAACCCTCAACCCCAAGCCGAACACGTCCTTCCCAACTGGTCGCCGCTCCGAGAGAAAGTCCACGACCTGACAGCGGGACTACAGCTTGCCATCTCGTTGAGGGATTACTTGGCGGTTCATGAGTAGTTATGAGTAGGGTTAGAAGTGCCCTACGTGGGGTCAGAAGTACAGTTACCCCCCACTTGTAGGGAGGGGATGGTTGTGCGTGTGTGTCTGTTGGTGTGCTTTGTGTGAGTCATAGGGTTTAGGGTTTAGGGTTTAGGGGTTACTTGGAGATTCATGGGTACTTATAGAGAGCGGCCTGTCATGGGGCCTGCGTTTTCCACACACACCACCTAGTATTTAGGGTAAACACGCAGCCGAGCCAAAACCAAGAGAAAAACACACAAGCACAGGCATCCTTTCTCTACTTCAGACCCAGCTACCAGGAACCTCCAAGTAGGGACTAGGTTTGGAGTTTTGGTTTAGGGCCTGAGGTTTTCAAAATGTGCAGGCGGAGTTTCCCAAAATTCGAGCAGTATGCTTCGAACAAATGCTGAATACGGATTAGCACCTGGGCCAGACAAAGTCAAAATCACAAGTACGCCGTACGCGTTCTTTTGGGGAGGCAGAATAATCCTGATAATTCCAGCGCCTCCAATATCTTCTCAAATGAAGCAACCTTCCCCTCTAAAATTCAATTCGAACAAATTTGGTGAATCGAGTGGAACATTAGTACTCATTCATGGGGCTTATCCTAGGGATTTATTATCGTGGTCTAGTTAATTGAAGAGGGTTCTACGGCATACTACAACATAATCAAGAAGCGTTACAAGGGAAGAATATTGTCAATTTAGCAATCCCCTATAATCCTGTTTCTTCGAGAACTCACAAATGCTTCAAACCCTCCCCCAACGATTTCGAATGCCTTTGTTATCGAGGGTCCCGTTTTGTTAAACGTGTGTCCACTGATCAGGCCGCATAGGAGACTGCAAGGGAAAACCCACCCTAAACCCTAAACCCTAAACACTTCTCAGAGTGAGCCCCTCCAACCCTTTGTCTGGCATGGCAAAATCAGGTCTGCCTCCTGGTTGGTCTTGTTGACGCCGTCAGAAAAGATTGCCAGAAACCTGCCCACGCAAATCGGGTGTAGGGTTTAGGGTTTAGGGTTTAGGGTTTCGGGTTCAGGGTTCAGGGTTCAGGGTTTAGGGTTTAGGGTTTAAGGTTGAGGTTTAGGGTTTAGGCTTTAGGGTTGTTTGGGCACAACGTGGAGTTAAGCTGTTGCGGCTCCAGCAGGGCTTAAGGTTTGGAACGGCGGGGGCGCAAACAAACGCATCAAGACCACTAGCTGTCGCCAGTAGAACTGCGTGTTTTCAATCTGCTTTCGATGGCAGTTGAATACTTTCATCACCCGGCAGAAGATACACAGCCACCATCGCTAGCAATTATGACAGTGGAAGGCATATGGCACACCCGAGAGGCACCAGCATAGAGGCATCTACATGCTTCGCCTATCTTTGTCGCCAATTTGTCTCAAGCTTTTATGGAGGCGGGACTTTCGAGGCCCTAAACCCTAAACCGTAAACCCTAAACCCTACTCTAGGACCGCTTTCAGGCAAAGGCCCCCACCTTCAAAGGCCGTTTCCTAGGAGCCTCTTTCACAATCAGCCTACTTTTGGGAACCCTAAACCCTAAACCCTAAACCTCAAGCCCTAATCCTCCCAAGCCCTCAACCCTGCTCACATGCGGGAGTTGAAACATGGCTGGCCGGCTCATCCTCGGGACTGCGATCGTGAATTGTCACATCCGGCGTGGAGCTGATGACGTCCTAGCGTGTCTGGAACTTACCAAAGCAAAAAGTTAGGAAGATCATCCCATGACTGCCGTCAAGGAACTTAGCACAGCACACTGTGCCCTCAAGAGCCTCTTCTACTCATCTGGGAATCTCACCTGCTTGTTCCACGCAGACAGCCCTAAAGAGGAGGCAGCACATCCTTGTACTCCACGTCGCCTAAAGCACGGGACATGTTCAGGTCGCCATTGACCCGCCAGTGTCCGGACCTAGGAAGAAGTCCGAAGGACTTGCATGGGTTTCCATGTTTGGCGAGGCAAGCTGGCGTTTAGTGGCAGAGGATCCCCATAAGGCAAATATCGGGGGGGGGGGGGGGAAGGCGAAAAGGCGCACGGTGAAAACTCATGGGTCTAGTGTTTCAGGTCTTAGGCTAAGGCCGAGGGTAGTGTTAGGGCTTAGGGTACAGGAAACCTACAATGTGTTTTGCTGACTAAGAACCCATGGACTGCTGACGAGCATGGGAGTCTCCTGAAACTTAGAGCTTCGCCGCACAGGCCTATGGGCATAATGAAGGAATCATCGGAGCCCCTCGCAAGTGACGAGCTGTTCACATGAGAACCCCTGAAGCCCGAACAATGAAGACTCCCAGTTGTCCTTCCGAGCCCTGCGGCCGGAAGCTGACAAAGCCACCAGCAGCCTTGGAAGGTGCAAGAGAGCTTCTGGGATTCCAGCGCTGTTCAGGATCTAGGGCTGGCAAATTACACTGGAGTTCTGATCGAAGAACATCTGTGTGTGTTGGGAGCGGCCGGGGGCAGGCAAATCGTCACGCCCACTTGCCCCGCTTGTCCTGCCTTCCCGGTGGCCCTGCCCAACCCCCCCCCCCCCCAACCGCCCCTCACCTGCAACATAACTTTTTGGGGTCCCTCAAGTTGCGTGGCCGCACCTAAAAAGGCCTAAAAAGGTGTCGTCACCTGAGAGGGCCAAGTTTAGACACTGCCCGTGGCATGTGCTTGTTGGAGGGGCCGGATGGTGCGGGGGGAGGAGGGGGGAAGTAGGGCAAGTGAAGATCTCATGTTCGTCACAAGTGACATAATGGCGAGCATGTCCGTAGCAGTCTCGTCACTCCTGCTATGATGCAGTGGCCGCCTCGATCCGCTGCTTTTCGGCAAAGTTCTCGGGCTTGTGGTCCTGAGAGGCCAGGTCAATGTCATGGAGTGGAATAAAGTGTGGCGGATCCTCGGGTGACAGGGCTCACTAGTGGGAATTCTACTGGGGCGACCGGCCTAAACCCTAAGCCCGAACCACCAAGTCCTTCCTTCCCTACCCTGCAGACCTCAGCAACGTACAGAAAAGCTCTTGTCCTCGCTGAGCGCAATGCTCTGGCCGCCGCGAGAGAGCACCGCGCGGCTGGCAGCACGAGCTGGTGCGGCTACTACGAATTGCTTCTAAGAACCCCCCGCAAAAAAAAAATATTGTTCCTTATGAGGGTTTTAGGGAACCCTAATTTTTTGCGTTGTTAAGCCCATAGCAAGTTGGGGTCAAGTGCTTGGGGTTTTGAAGTGTAGGGTTTGAGACTTAGGGTTTCAGTGTTTAGGGCGTAGGGCAAGCAGTTTATAGTGAAATATTGCTGACGTGCTAATCAAAGACCACTTGTATAGTGTATGTTATGTCTACAATACACAATTCGCATTGACAAGCTTAAAAGTAGAAACGTAACATTTGCCTCGTGAAGATCATACTACTCGGAGATTCACAAACCGAAAGAATCCGAAACCCTCGGGAGCGTTTAGGCCTTCAGACCATTCACAAGTTCTTGCTTACTACTGTAAGTCTATAAAGCAAAACTATCTTGCCCCTCCGGTGGGTCCTCTTACCGCACCTGGCCGCTACGAGTCCCACATAATCCCACCCGTACTCTCAGGCCCGCCCTGTCTTCCCAAGGACCTGTCCCCCACATTGGCAGTGATGATCTGCGTCTCGGTAACGGCACAGATGCACGCCGTCGATCCCCCCTGCGAAGATTTGCAGAAACTCCGCCACCCCAAAAAGGTACTGCAGGGAGATTCCTTGAATCAAGTACAATCACGCTGAATAGTCTCAGCTCCAACTCCACCACAGCCACTACACGTCCTATCCAAAAAGCTTTGTACCTACAAAGCCCTCGTCTTTGGCTGCTGCCTTTGTTCCACAGCTTTCGCCCGGGGGCAAAAGCCTTGCGTAGAGGGCCTCATGGAACTGGCTCAAGGTGAGAGAAATGAGATTTTTGGTTCAGGATTTCCCTAAATCGAAGCCCTGATCCCTAAACATTAAGTTTTGCCAATGCAGCGCAGCGTGCAGCCCGATGTTCATATCCATCGATTGAACCGGATAACCCTGTTTGGGCCATATATGGCTACCCCACAACCGTTAACCCTCAAGCCAGCAAGGTGGTGGCTTCCTTTGTTCCCAGACGGTTAAGGGTTTAGGGCACACGCGTTCACACAACGGTGAATAGCCAGACAGTATATTTCGGCCTTTCGCATATTGCAAGTGGCCAAAGACACGCACTGCAAAATTGCACAAATAGTAGGCTACTCAACTGTGGTGATGAGTTCGACTGAAACTCCAGCAACAACTGTCCAAAAAACCCTAAACAATCACACATGTCGCATAGCTTGTTACGTAAAAGAAAATGTCTTGGTAGAGCATTGTGCTTGCAAAACCAAAAAACTGAGCATCATCATGCACCCGCTTGGGGAGCTGCTGACCGCTGTGAAGTCAGCTCGTCAGCATAGTCTCCTGGGATGTTTGGGTCTGACTGATGTTTTACCATATTGCCAGGATGACAACGAACCTACATTCAGCTAAGCCCGAAATTTGTAAACTGCAGCATGTCTGGCCAAAGTCTGCCTGGCCTCTACAGATTCATTTCGTGCTCCCATTCATGCTTGTCACGCTGACCCTTCCCGATTATGCAAGGTCACCGAGGCCTGCATCCTCGCAAACAGTCTGGAAAGCCACACTGAACCGCTACAATTCCATTGCCAAACGCCGATGCCATCCTCTCGCTGATGAAAGCAGCTGATCTCACAGCTTTCCTACATAACTGAGGCAGTTGCCACTCTCCAGCATGTTTTGCAACTTGGCAAAGGAGCCTGCAAGCCCATTTGAATTCAAATCCACTTGTGCACCGGCTGTGAATACCACAGTAGCCGCAAAGATTACCCATTAAGTTTAACATTCCAACTTGTACATTGTGACTGTCGCGGGTGCCCACGACCCGCAAGGCCTGACTGCAGCACGTGCTCTCTGTGGACAAGGGCTTAGGGTTTGGGAACTTAGGGCGTGACATCTGCCATTTTGGCAAGGTCAACCCTTTAGAAACTGCACCACCATGCCTCAGTTGCTGTTTCAGGGGCTGCTGTTAGTGGTACACACCATTGTTTCCATTCTGTTTGCCATGCTCCATGGACAAGCGCACGGAGATGACAAACAACTGAACCGTTCGACGTGTTTTCCCCTCCTCGCTCTCAACTGCCTCGTGTTTTGCCTCAAGTGGACCTGAACTCCGTACCTACGGAGATTTGCTTTCGGATGCCCGTCTCACGGCAACAACGTACGGACCCATAGCACAAATATCACGATCAGGGGTAGACACCCAATGCACTAGATCCCAAAGCACCTCCGAAGGAGTCCTCAGCAAAACACGAAGGAAAGTCATTGCACACGTGGAAACCTGGAAAACCCGTGCCACACATCCTTTCGCCCCGAGCATGCTGATGGCGTCAGCCCAGTTCAATTTGCAAGGCATGATGACCATTTGAGCATGACCTACCCCCCGGGCAGCCCCAACCCCTGACCGCCCGCACTTACCCCCTCTGCCCCTACCCCCGACCTATCCAGAGACTAAGGCTGAAATAGGTGAAATAAAGGCTTATAGAGATTTAAAGGGCTCCAATGCAGCCCCAAACCCTCATCGCCCTGCGCAGCCCCAACCCCTCACCGCCCTCCCCCCTATACCCCCTGCCTATCCAGAGACTTAGGCTGAAATAGGTGAAATCGACATTGACAGGGCTTCAAAGGGCTGCCCTCACCGCCCTCACCGCCGTCACCGCCCACACCGCACTTACCACCGTTACCACCCACACCCGACCAGAACTACCCCCTGCACACCGCAGAACATCAAAGCCCTCTCCTCTCATCCCCCCTCTACAAACCCAAAACCCAAAAACAATTTATAAAAAAAAACCAAAACCCAAAAAGCAATTTACATATAAAAAAACCCTAGAACACGCCAAAAGCCGCGGTCCCACCTCGGAGGGCGGCTTCGACCTCTGCCCCGCTGTTGGCCGGATACTTCAAGAGCTCCTCTCAGAGGGTTTGGGACAGTGGGTTTAGGGTTTAGGGTTTAGGGTTTAGGGTTTAGGGTTTAGGGTTTAGGGTTTAGGGTTTAGGGTTTAGGGTTTAGCAATCGCAGGTCACAGTCCACACAGCTTGCCATGCGACCTCAAACCCGAAACCCCTGAAGCACGACGTCTGTAAACTTCAGAACCCCTGAGCACCTGAAGCCTGCATTGATTCCGGATTCCCCTTGTGGGAGGAAATTTAAGTGGAAGCGAAGCGAAAAGCAGAAGTGATACAGGGAGACTGCTTCCTGCGGAAGATGCCGGCTGCAGAATCTGGCCACCTCCGACGGGAATGGGGGCTTCGGGAAGGCAGTACGGTGGAGACTCGAGGCTGTCCGACGTTGATGCGTGCCACGTGATGCTACATGAAAAATGTCTTGCAGAAGGCCTTGCAGAGAACGATTCGAAGTTTACTTCCGAAAGCTCGCGAACCCAGGGCCTCCAAAAAACTCATGCAAGCCCCAGCAGAGTATCGCAGCTGAACCCTGCCCGCCTCCGCTCCGCCGTGCCCATCCAGCACGCCGAACAAAGCGATGCGACCCCATCCTGCCTCGAGGTCTAGGGTTGAGGGTTTAGGGTTTAGGGTTTAGGGTTTAGGGTTTAAGGTTTAGGGTTTAGGGTTAGGCTACAACGCAGCAGCTTCCCTCTCCCTTTCCAGTTCCCACGCAACAGCATAGTGCAGAAAGTCGGGAATCCTTCACTCGACCCCTGATTCTATGGAAATCTTTGTGCCTGATTCTAATGCACTTATTTGCAAGCCATTGCTGCACGACCAGACAGGCTTCTTCAACATGAGGCAGCAGGTATCGCATGGATCCGTGCAAAACATTGGGGAAGGCGCTTCGCCGTCGCATCCTGCCGGCAGCACTGTAGGCCTTCGTCTGTCTCTTTGGTGGATCGATTGTGTAAATGAACAGGGAATCGGGTTGTGCAGCCGATAACCGGACAAGTGCAGATGTAGTCCACTACAAATCCTGCTGTCAAGCAATTTCAAATACAGGCTTCACAGCCCTTGCATCGAAGCCGACATCCCATACAGCCGCACAGCCCCATGCTTCTCAAATATCCAAAGCCCGTGTCCATGTCCGCGCCCCTGAACCCCTTAGACTTTGTTGTGAGCCGGCAGGCAGTGCGACGTGGGAGTCCTCCATCACTTCTCGCCAACCCTGCCTGGGCATAGATTGAAGGTGTCGGCTACAGCTTAGGGCCCAAGAGCCTCGCGTAAAAAAAACTGCCAAGGTTTCATTTGCAGCGGCAACCCTATTATTTCGCAGCCTTCAAACTCTTTCGTCGCCCAACCTGAGCTCTTAGGATCTTGATCGCGCGATAGCAATCTCACATGCTGGGAACGGCAGCAACTTGTGTAAATATATGCTGACCCCCCCTCCAAGACCCGCCTCTCGCAGAAGAAACCATCTCCGATTCCCACATTGACATCATGCAGCTAGTGTATCCAAAGCCAAGCCACATCGCGCAGGTCGCCCAGGAAAGGCCTTGCAAAATCCTACCCAAAGCAGCCTAAGCATAGCAACATGAGTAACAGCACTCAAATGGCAACAAGACTCATAAGAATCGTAATATTCATCTATTCACAATAAGAAGATACAAGAGATTTCATAACAATCTGCCGGAAATCATGACAACAACACATCATCCCTCAACCCCAAACTCTGAACAACACCGTTTCCACTTGCTTTGGGATTTGGCACTGGATGAGTAGCTGCTTCTGTGCTAGATTCTTTTTGCGATAATCAGTATTTGGCAATGATAATAATGAGAATCATAAAAAAAAGTATTTAAAAAACAACAATCAGAGTTCGAAATTTAATACTCATCATAATTATAATAGATAACAATCATCATCACTGCTATTGTTCGCTGCATCTGGCCATTGCAAGGCACAAAGGCTGAACTCAAGTTCAAACCTGCCTCGAACCAAGCACTACCAAGCTACTATAAGCCGCTCGGCTACGAGTTGATTAAGAACCCCCCAAATCTATGATCAGAATAGCCATATTTTTTAATAATAATGATGATAATAATAATCCTCGATGTGGAAATATGGACCAGAGGTTCGAACCGTCGTTGAGGCCGCTTGTCACACGTGCCTCCAGGCAGAACACACAAGCATTGTAAAATTCACGGCTTGCATCTAGGGGCTTAGGGCTTAGCGTTGCAGTTCAGGCTACTTGTGCAGAAATAAGTATTGGGATCCGCCTGCACACATGCTAATAAATCGTAGTACTTACGAGAAAAGGACCCGTAGTCGTGGCGTGTCAAATTGGCATCCCAGGGTTTAGGTATCTGTGGAATTCATTTGGGGTTTGCGGGTAAGGTTGCCTCCTTTGCTCTTTCATGATCACATGTTTCCAGGTTGCGAGAATCTGCACGTAATCCTTTGCCCTTTTGCAGCAACACCCTGCCCTCCCCTCCCGACCCCTTCGTTTAACAAGCAAGCCTCCTGATGCCCGAGCTGTTTTTAAAGGGTGGAACTCTATCCTGCCACACACACACACACCGGAAACAAGGGCAACAGCCACAGTCCGCTTGGCGGCGATTTACAGTTTAGGGACTGAAGTCGGGGCGCCAACCGACGGTAACCTGCTCAGACCACTAGCTGGCAGAAAGTGGAAACTACAAGCTATATACCATAATGGTACACATTTCATCTGCCAGCGCTAATGGCAATGGAAGCTACAGAATCTCAGAATGGCGCTGAACCAAACGCTACGACGGTTGAACCGTCGTCATTGCAAGTGCAAGTGAAACAGCAGTCCAACACGACAAGCGCACCGAAGACCAAGCAGAAGCAGACCGATGCCCAGCAGAAATAGCAAGACCGACAAAGAGGAATGCGTTTTCAGGGGGGCTACGGACTAGTTTTTTCTGATCATTCTGGAATCCTGGCGCTGATGCACTAGGGGTATGAGAGTCCAGGTCGCACCTGGTTTTTCCGTGGCTCTTGCTCCTCCTTTACGTGGAGCTTCGCCTTCTCCACCTTCATAGGTCCAAATTTGGGGCAAGGTGATAAGGGCTTCGGGTAGCTCTAGGAATCCTGTGTTCATCCATGAGCTGCTTCGTACGCAGGTGATGATGACCATGAAGAGGAAAGCGAAAGAGGCCCAACACAACAAGCATACCTAAGACCAGGCAGAAGTCGACGAACCTGTGGCTTCTGTGGCTCTTGATCCTCCTTTAACCTGCGCTTCGTCTTCACCTTCATAGGGCAAGGCTAAGGGCTTGGGGGGTAGCTCCAAGAACCCTATTTTAATGCATGAGCTGCTTCGTGCGCAGGTGACGGTGGCTCGGATAGGGCCCAGAGGCATCAACACGCAATCCCCGGACATGGAAACTGCTCACCTTGAGCAGCGAGCACCCACCGCTGGCCACCTGCGCAACAAATGCTGGAGGATGCAGCCGTAGCTTAATGGCTCGGTGGCAGAAGTGGAAACTACAATATTTACCGCAATGGTGCATATTTCAGCTTCTTGCACTGATGGGAATGGAAACGACTAAATGACCAACACTACAACTGTCGTCAATGACACAGGGCTACAGCTGCCATCAAGATGTTAAACAGGAGCCCAAAACAACAAGCATACCGAAGGCAAAGCAGAACTCAACACAGAGGGTAAGTGCAAGTGAAACAGCAGTCCAACACGACAAGCGCACCGAAGACCAAGCAGAAGCAGACCGATGCCCAGCAGAAATAACAAGACCGACAAAGAGGAATGCGTTTTCAGGGGGCTACGGACTAGTTCTTTCTGGCGGCACCTGGTTTTTCCGTGGCTCTTGCTCCTCCTTTACGTGGAGCTTCGCCTTCTTCACCTTCATAGGTCCAAATTCGGGGCAAGGTGATAAGGGCTTCGGGTAGCTCTAGGAATCCTGTGTTCATCCATGAGCTGCTTCGTACGCAGGTGATGATGACCATGAAGAGGAAAGCGAAAGAGGCCCAACACAACAAGCATACCTAAGACCAGGCAGAAGTCGACGAACCTGTGGCTTCTGTGGCTCTTGATCCTCCTTTAACCTGCGCTTCGTCTTCACCTTCATAGGGCAAGGCTAAGGGCTTGGGGGGTAGCTCCAAGAACCCTATTTTAATGCATGAGCTGCTTCGTGCGCAGGTGACGGTGGCTCGGATAGGGCCAGAGGCATCAACACGCAACCCCCGGACATGGAAACTGCTCACCTTGAGCAGCGAGCACCCACCGCTGGCCACCTGCGCAACAAATGCTGGAGGATGCAGCCGTAGCTTAATGGCTCAGTGGCAGGAGTGGAAACTACAATATTTACCGCAACGGTGCATATTTCAGCTTCTTGCACTGATGGGAATGGAAACGGCTAAATGACCAACACTACAACTGTCGTCAATGACACAGGGCTACAGCTGCCATCAAGATGTTAAACAGGAGCCCAAAACAACAAGCACACCGAAGGCAAAGCAGAAGTCAACACAGAGGGTGGGAATGCGTTTGCAGGAGTCGCCGCGGGCTCGTACGAAATCCCTAAACCCCACACCGTGCACTTGAAGTGGGCGCTTACGGGCTGTGACGCTCTAAGGTATGATAGTCCAGGTTGCACCTGGTTTGTCTGTGGCTCTTGCTCATCATTGAGCTTCATCTTCTTCACCTTCATAAGTCAGGGTTCAGGGCAACGTTCACAGGGCCTGGGGGCAGCTCCAAGAACGTTACCTTCATGCACAAGTTGCTTCGTGAGCAGGTGACTGGCATAGGCTAGCAGAGCATGGAGTCCCGAAATAGTCCGGTAACCCCTAAACCCTACGTGTTTCTCATGTTGGGAACTTCATCGTGGGATCCACGAGGGGTCTGGGGGCATTTCAGGAGGTGAAGGGCTTAGATTCCTAGATTTGCGGCAACGCAACGGACCTTGCCATGTCTTGTTCCAGAAACGTCAAAACCAAAAAACATTCTGCAGTGTGTTGCGCAAAGAAGCAGAAACACTGGGCATGTTCGCCAACGGCATGGACGCTTGTGACAGCACCTCCACCCACCCACCCACCCCAGCCGAAAAGAACGGGAAACCCAGGCGCCGTGCGAGGCGCGTGGTCCAACCACATGGTGCGCGCGGCATTCCCGCCAGTGGTACGAGAAGGACATTTGGGATAGGTTGAGCGCCTGGAATGCTGGCAGGCGCAGCAATTTTCGAGGATGACATGAGGCGTTTTGAGGGGGGTTCACGGACTACTTAGTAGTATCACCAAGACTGTTCATGCAAAAACTCACTTTTTCTCTGTATTGGAAACTGGAAGCAGCTAGAGACTCTGGAAAACTCTGAGAACACCTAAAGGCATGAGAACTTGTGACTGCACATCACTGCACATCTTGTTCCAAAATCGTCAAACATTCTTGCATAGTCTGTTGTACAAGGATTACAAAGAGGCGAGCTCTGCAAATACCAGTCCTGTAACTGTTGGGTATCTGCACAAAAGGCATGAAAGCTTGCGGTTGCACGTCGTGTCCCGGAAACATCAAACATCCATCCCTGTGCCGTATGAGAAAGGGTTGTACATACCAGTGTTTCAACCGTGTTCGAAAAGTCGAAAAGACATGAACGCTTGTGACGACTCAAGTCTTGTCCCATCCTTGTCCCGTGTGTTGTCAAAGAGGCAAAAGAGCTGTAAGTTCCATGGTTCCCCCCCACCCCCACCCCCACCCCCACCCCCACCCCCACAAGGCCGGAAATCGTTGAAACACGGCGGGAACGCCACGCAGTCCAATCACGCGAACTACCCATGTGAGCGAATGGTAGCAAGAAAGCTTGCCGCACTGCTCACCTCTGCTCAAGCATGTACTGAAAGGCATTAGCACGAAGGCTACAAGAGACTGGACATTAGCTGTGACGCCAACCTTCTGGCAGTATGTTGCTATGACACCCAAACCGCCTTGAAAACACCCCCGAAAGAAAATGAGACCGTTACGTTGGAGTTCGGGTGAAAAAATGCTTTGGAGGGATCCGGTGACACACCTTCCAACAAGAAAAGTAAAACCTAAGCCTAAAACCTTAAACCCTAAAACCCTAGAAGCTGACGGGGCCAATCCTCCGCCCAGGCTTTGTCGAGCTCTTTCTGCATGAAGTTCACACCTCAGAGGCTTCCAAAAAGGACCAGGCCACGACAAGCCAAAGATGCCAG